ACGGCCTTCGTCCGAGAGCTTTTTCTTCTCTACACTTAGAGCAAGATAGCCCGGGCTAGTCGATTTTGCAGAGAGTTGAGTTAGCGCTGCAGCCGCTGGAGACGCACCTATAGTCGTTGGTTTGCCGGTCGATCCACCTGAAGGGGCTAAGACCGTAGTACGCTGGTTAGCCTTGAGAGAAAAGCGTTGATTCTGGCGATTATCAAGGCGCGTAATAATCAGGCAGAAATTCTCATAATCGACATTAGGATCGCTGCTTGGGTCATCTAACTGAGTCTGCAAACGGGGTGGTAAACGTTGGTAAAGATTCTCTTTCCATTCCTCTTTCGCAAGCTCTGCCTCAGAGACAATAAGGGTAAAGGTTGAAATGAACTCTGTAAATCTGTCGCTGACTTTCATAGTTAACTGACGTAGCTTGCTCTGAGCGTTAGTCTTGCGGTATGGGTCTTCGTAGATAGAGCGGAGGTGATCCATAATATCTTCAACGTTCTTGTAAGGGTTCAGCGAGTTCCGACGGGAACGTGCAATAATATGTTCCGCTGCTCGTCCTTCCAGGCGACTTTTCACGTAGGTCATTTCCGCTTTAGTAGTTTCAAAGTGATCAGCGTTCGCGTCTAGTTTATCGTAGATTCGGATCTGCCAATCATCGAAGCGGACCTTTTTGCCGTCATCAAGGAGAGGGGGATCGGGCATCTTTGCCGAACGGCGACTAATACCGCCCGTACCGGAGAGGGGAGTCTCGTCACGCTGGTCCCTAGTGCCTGCGGCTGGCTGGTTGCAATCTCTGGCCTGAGCCCTTTCCATGGCAGCAACCTTTGCGTCAAGTTCGACAATCCGGCTCATGTAGCTCTGTTTTTCCTCCACAAGTTGCTCAATCTCGATATCCTTGGTATTGGCTGCCCAGGCTATCTCAGTAGCAACCTTTTCAGCCTGTTCCTTCTCCCGTATAATTCCCGCGGCTCGAACTTTAAACGGGACAAGCTCTTGAATGAGTATCCAGGTTTCGTCAACTGCTGTTTCCAGATGATTGTAAAACTTGCTGTAAAACATTTTGCGATGTTGCTCAGTAAGTTCGCCTTCGGGCCCAGCCCCTGCGGCGAGCTGTGAGATATCCAAGTTATCATCTATACCCATCGAATTAGCCAGGTCGTTGAGCTCGAGATCTTCTTCGGTCTGACGTTGCTCTTCAAGGCGGCAAGCCCTGCGAGCCTGACGAGCTGCTTCATCTCTGGCAGATTTTGCAGATTCTGATACTACCTCTTCCATTTCCGTTCTCGGGAGGTCAAGATTGTCAGATTCGCGTTCAAACTCGCTATCATCAGGGAAGCGGCCAGGGGCATTCTGTCTTTCTCCGTGATCTTCGTCACTGGGTCCTCTCTGGGCTGCAGTGGCTTTGGTCTTCTTCCGGGGGGTAGCTGGTACCATAATTTGTAATCCGCGATCCGTGATCGTCGTTCTTGTTATCGTGATTCGGTAGGTGGAGCGATTCCGTTGGAAGAATTAAGTGGGTACACACGCTAACGTGTGCCGGCAATTTCTCAATGCAACGTTATCGCTAGGAGTAGAAAGGATGAAATAAAAGACGAGCTTAGTTTGATGTAACGAACGGCTACACTGACGATAGGGAATCGTGAGAATGTAGGGTATGTATTTGACGAGGAAACTAAGCTAAGCTATGAAGCTATTCAGGAGCTGGCTGCGATATGTGTGACAGCTCTGACGCTAGTCCCTATCGGGGAGTTAGGTTATAGGGTATCGCGAGGAAGGTCCTCGGAGGCAGGTCACAGTCCGTGACAGCCGCTCCCATGAATATCTGGGTTTGTGCTGTCTTTCGACGGAGAAAGCCCAGAAAAATGTTTGCCATGTTAATGTAGCGCGATAGTACAGCATTTCCTCCTAGAGAAAAGGTCATGGGTATTAGAAGGAAAAATAGCTTCCTTGATTCATCATTTTTATGATGGTAGTACTGGATTTTTTGGGGAGTGTAGCAGGCAAAAGTGAACTAGGAGTGGAGAAACGAGCAAGAAGGAAATCGCTAGTTAGGGTGCAGTTTAGGTATTGAGGTTACTCACTCAGGGCACTCAGTCTTCCGCTCATCCCGTGCTCAGTGATCGTTTCAGGCTGCTCAGGGCGTGCTCAGGTCTACTCAGTGAGCAAAAAGCGGCGAGGGGTGAGCACTAAAACGGAAAGGGAAGGCTGTCGACCTGGCTAGAAAATCAAGTACATATGCACTCTTGCGTGAGGCTACGGCTCCGGTGTTGTGACCGCCGAGTATCCGCGTACGGGATAAAAGGGATATCTTGGAACCTGACCTGGGAAGACACATCTATCTATCTACAATCTATACTTTCGCTTCAGAAAACAACCTGTTCACTTAACTGTGTACACAGTGCCTAGCTGGTGATACCAACACAAAATAAAAACGCCATTTGATCTTGTCAAACGCAATACCTGCCGCAAAACTCAGCCAAATTGCGGTCACAGACTGCGTAAACATTGCGAAGCCGACGCCGGTGGCTCGAAGCTCTAGTGGGAAGATTTCGGATACGATAACCCACATGATGGAGTTGAAGAAAAAGGCCCAGCAAAAGGAGAATAGAAAGATGAAGGCCACGCCTGCGCGACTGCCCGAGAGGTTATAATCATCTGGAAACTCTCTCGACAGCGGTGTCAGAACGGCGAGGCACATAATCATTGAAGCTTCTCCGCAGAGGCTCAAACGTTTTTTCATCCGGAAGTATCATAGGTCCATGGCCTATGCTAGTAGGACAGGTACGTTCTTCATTGAACATTTTTCGGGAAAGGTTCGTACTTGGGACAAGCCATTGACGTCGAGAATGGGCTACGCCTCAGAATCATCCATGACCGGCGCCCTCTCTGTATTGGTTGTTGGCTGTTTTGAATGTTTCTTGGGCAGTGCTGAGAATAAAAGTTGAGAACGAATCCACCAGACCCTTTATTCCGACTGTCACTGTTATTAAATCCTCCGACTGCCCGATTGTCCGCAGGAAGCGAGAGGCGTTATTCCCGAAACACACTGGTGTCCCAACGAAATGCGGCAAGAAACCAACAGCAAAGGTGGTCTTACCGGGGACTGACAGTGTACACCTATTTCTCATCACATATCACTACTTGTCTCCCCAGTGGTCCATCATAATAAAACAACACAAGAAATGGCCGCCATTCCGCCGACAATGCGTGCCTGGGTGGGCATGCGGCGCGGCCCCGTCCGCAGCTCACTCGAGCTGATCCCCGACTTCCCCACACCCGCAGTCCCGGCGGAATCGTCCTCCGACGTACTGATCCGCGTGTCGCACGTGGCGCTGCAAGTCAATAGCGAGTTGTTCTTTAAGGCGCTGCCCAAGCTGTCTCTGACCGGCCCGTTTATCCCGGAGCTCGAGCTGTCCGGTGAGGTGGTGGCGGCCGGGGAGAACGCGCCCGCCGAGGTACGCGACCCGGGAACGCACGTCGTGGCTTTCGAGGTCGCTCCCCTCAAGGTGATTTTGGGTCGTGGCATGCTGGCTGATTATGTGCGGCTGCCCAGTAGTCAAGTCGTGCGAATTGACCCTGCTGTTGACATGGCGTCGGCTTCGGGTCTCAGCTGCTCCGGGTGCGCCGCGCTCAAGATGATCCGCACGGTGGGGGTGCGCGAGGGTCACACAGTGCTGGTCAACGGGGCCAGTGGCTCCGTCGGCTCGCTCCTCGTGCAGCTCTGCAAGCTGCGCGGCGCCAAAGTGGTGGGTGTGGCCAGTGGTGGCAACGAGGCCATGGTGCGCGGCATGGGCGTAGACGAGGTAGGAGAGAGGCCTGCTTGGTATCTTGCTGCTGGACTAACGCCTGCGCAGTTTGTCGACTACCGACAACACGATCCGCTCCCAGCTTTCTTGGCGAATCAGTATGGCGACAAGCCGTTCGACTTTATCCTCGATTGCGTCGGCACGCAAGCCCTCTTCGTACACTCTCCAGGTTATCTCAAGGCCGATGGCGCCCTGGTCAATATTGGTATGCTCGAAAACATGCTTGCGACGACATTCCACATCCTGCTCAATACCCTGTTACCCACCTGGTTGGGTGGCGTGCCCCGTCGCTATATGATGGTCAGTTCGCCTCCGCTGCGCGACGACGTGGTCTACTTGGCCCACCTAGTCGAGGAGGGACACTTACGGATTCCCGTCGACTCGGTCTTCGCCATGGAGGATGCACTGCTCGGCTATGATCGCATCGCTACCAAACGCTCCAAGGGTAAGGTTGTAGTCAATGTGCGTGGCGACTAGGTGGAGAATCAGAGTTTCTGCCTTGTTTATCAGTCTTGGTCAAGTCTGATCTGTATTCGGTGGATGATTTGGATATGAGACTTAATATATGGAATGATAGTACAGTCAACTTATGGGGTTTGTCGTTCTTTCGTGTCATGGTACTATCATCAGCTTTCAATTAATTTTTGGGTTTTGATTCTAGCCTTACGCCCTGGCCGAATATGCCCTGTCAGGATATTTCACCTGGATGTAATATATAGGCAGCAGAGTAGTACGAGCAATCTTCCTGCACCACAAGCATAGTCTAATTTCCGATTTTTTATCAGTAGGGTGGGAAGGACAATCCAGGCAACAGTGAAATGCTTATTACCATTCTATCCTTAACTAATTACAAGTTGTATACTCGACCTGTCAAATCCGCTCGGCCTCGGAATGACGTCATATTTAATCCTGTCCGACGCGGAATAAAAGCTCCTCTCGGAATGGACATCGGAATAAAGACATAAATTATTAATGGTTGTCATTTGGATCCTTCGCCCCTAGTTCAAAGGTACGCGGTACCTTGCGACCGAGAGTCCAATCAGTAAATGTCTCTGAGATCGAATACAACCTGTATAGTGAAAAACCTATCGTGAATTAATCGGATGATTTCCTCGGAGCATCTATTCAGCTAATACAGTACCCGAACTCAAGACACAATATTTTCGATTATTTCTATTAATTCTATTAATTCTATTAATTCGCATTCTATCTTTCCAGGGTAACTCTCTACACCCCATCCTCGTCTTCTTCCCGCCTCTCCCCACGGTCAAAAAGTCCAACCGCCCAAGCTCCCATTCCCGCAATGCTGAAGAATCCCGCCGAAACGTAAAAGTGCATTCCCAACCCAGCCCCTCCGAGTTTTAATCCCAAATTAAACGCTGCCGCAGTAAGAGGTGACCCAATCAGCGTTCCGGCAATCCGGGCGACCGCTAGAAATGAATAGAACGGTGCAATGTCAACAACTCGCACGAGTGATGTCCCGTAAGACTGTATGGATGGGGTGAATCCGGCGGAAAGGGTGAATATCACGAGGGCTGGGTGGGTCAGCTCTCCTACTTTCGAGCATGGGTTGAATGTGAGGCAAACTTACAGATTGTCACGGTTGCTGTGGAAGGGGACAGCCCCAAGAGGATGGCGCCTAGGACTCCAAATATCGAGCTTACTCGCGATGTCCATAGATCTACATCCTTTGGCGAGAAATGGTGGCGGGATGTCAGGGTGCGCGTGATACTCGGGAGAATGAGCAGGAAGAGAACCAAGTTGGCGATGGCTCGGAAGGAGACAAGGTAATTTGCCTGGGGGCTGAGGGTTAGCCGCTCGCTCTAGTATACAGACACGGTGAACCTGACCTCAGCAAGAGTCCATTCGAATTTCTTCGACGCATACTGGACCAGATAATCCAGCGATTCTCCCGCAAGCATCGACGAAAGAAACGATACCCCGATCAAGATAACCCCCATTTGGTCCTTGATAAACCTGGCTAGTGATTCTATGCGCGTTCCAAGACTCTCCGTTTGAGTGGCTTGTCCGTGTTCCGCCTGGTCATCCTCCTCCCCATCGTTACCCTCTTTTGGACACCGCGTTGAGTTCGGAATTCCCCAGGCGACTGCAATAGAAAGGATCTGTAACGGGAAGCTCAGTAGTAAAGGCATATAGACACTTCTCTTCATCAACGCAGAGCCCAGGAGCGGCGCAACCACCTCGGATGCCAACTGCGTTGACATGAGATAGAAAAATGCTTGAGCTCGTCGGTCCTCCGAAACCACGTCAGCGAGAATGGCGTGCACGATTGCCGACACCACCATCACGCCTCCGCCCAGGGAGCGCAATGCTACAGATATAAAGAGTGATTCGAGTGGTACGCTGTCGTGGAAATAGCACACCAGCACTATGCAGATCTCCGCGAGGGTGTGACCAAGGATGCCGAGGATCAGAACAAGCGTGCGGCCTTTCGTATTGGAGAGCTTTCCGAAAGGAATGGCCAATATGAGAGCTGGGCGTTACTGTCAGCGACTCACTTGAAGTACGCTATAGGTGAGAGCTCTACCGATCAAATTCTCGCCCATTTTTAGCCAGGCCTGCAACGATACTAGAGCTTCTTGGACTTCCGGGACTTTACACATGCGATCGGTGATCTCGACCGCCGGTCCAAGGGGACTCTCCGATTTCAGCTTATAATATCGTTCGCAAAGAATCGATTCGTAGAGTTGTGTCTTTGGCGTTGCGCGCATGGTCTCTGCAAAGTTGAGGAGTAGTGCAGCGACGTAGCATAGGATCGGAATTCGCCATGTCTGCCAGACCAAGACTACACGGTCTCGGTATGTCTGGGCTCTTTGACGGGATGATTGCCGAGAAAGTAGCGGCGTGTTTTCATTCATGATGAAATTCAATGGTCAACAAAACCTGGGGTAGACGAGACTTGGGTCTTATATGCGATACGGCGCGATGTTGTCATGCCGATCGGGATAACTGGGTACTATTCCGTATTCCGTGATAAGCACTAATGGTGTCTAGGCTCAAGACCGCAGACTACGTGGCCGAGGGACTGTCATTAAACGTTATCAGTTCATAGTGATGGGCAAATTAGATTGAACGGTCCACTCGAAAAGGATTCGATGGGCCGTGTCGCCATCCAAACTCCGGGTGTTGATGACGATGGTTGTTGGTGTCTGTTGCCTGGCTCCCATCGTTGCGACCGCGGGCGAAAAGGGGGAAAGGTGATGAAAGGTTGGTGGTGCGGCAATCAAAATGAAGGTGGATGGGGTAAGAGATGTGAATGGCGAAGTGAAAAGATAGTTTGGAGATGGTTCGCAAAAAAACACAAGGTGACGGACGGAAGGAAAAGAAAAACGGCCAAAAAAGAAAGATGGTTCCAGAGGGGGTCGAACCCTCGACTTTGGCGTTATTAGCACCACACTCTAACCGACTGAGTTATGGAACCCGTTCTTATAAACATTGCCCTTATTTTGTGAGCTATATATTGTCTTTTCAGTCTCCATCCCTGCCTTCTCTCTATCTTCCTTCTCAAGTTGAATGGCGGGGGGGAATTGAATTAGATGCTAATGCTGAGCGGGTATATCTATCTATCTGCAGGATAATGTCTCTTGGTCACCGCTCCGTCCTTTTTGCTTCGATGCATTTTTATTTTTTTTGTGGCTCATTGTTCCAATACTATTGGTCTCTCAGCAATATATATTCGGGAGCAGTTTGGTCCACCACTACGGGAAGAGTTGTGACTTGACTCAGGTCTAAGGACACAAGACAAATATCGTAGTATTTACAGTTCATCACATAGGTTCCATAGAAAAGTAATTTCCTGTATGATTCAATAATATAGCAACACCTCGCAAATACTTCCTTCGACACAACACAGACGTCCGTCCGGCGTTGTCCTTGACTCCTCCCCAGTTAAACAAAGAACCTAGCCACGTGTCTGTTGTGAGAGCCTACTGTGGGAGCAAAGACCTGATGCTCCACTTATGATATTGTCATAGTCATTATCAGATACAGGTATTACTGTTGTCTGCTTACCTCAACTCAACCTGGCCCTTTCATCGTACTCTGTTGATTATAGGAAATAGTCTACGTCTCCTTGCCGCAGTTCTTTCTGTTTTGTTGTAGAGCCAGAATATCCAAGCAATCATGTCGTCCTCGATTGCCATCTCGGTACCCTTACAGAACACGCTGGGTGTCTTCTGTTCAACTAACAAGGATTCGCCGGTATCGATGGTAAAGCTGGCTTTCGCAATAGTGCTTGATCAATACTTCGATCTTCCCGAGTTTACCTGCGCCGAAGCTCTTCCAAAAGACCATGATGACCAAACGCACTACCTAATAACCAGGAGCTGGCAGGTACAATACGCTCCAGAGCTCGCCTCTACTATCTCCATCCGTGCAGCCTTCGGTCTCAGAGGACCAGACCTGTCGTCTGACGATAGCTTGGCGCCGCTCCTGGTCAATCATACGGTCACTGCAACGCTGAACGGCGGACGGATCGCCAATAGGCCCACGGTAAGCCTCGTCTTCGTCGAAACAGTTCCCACTCTAACAGAGGCATTATTTTCTAGCCTTGCTGCACAGCACGTAAGCGGCCCTAGAATGTCAAGCTACTCATATACGTTTCGCTGATCAGGTCTTCATAGAACGGCCTTGGCCTTGTCGTCTATTTTGACGAAGCATCACTGTCGGCACATGTGCTTTACAACATCGATCAGAACTCTGAGTTTGTGGCCACAGGCTTTGTGGACGCCTTTGCTACCGCTGTTAAATGCATCTCCTCAATCTCACTTGATACGTTTTAATAACGGGGATTATGTGACAGGTCATTTTGTTGACATCCCTTGCGAAGCCCCCACGTGACGGCGTTGGGGGGCTACCCCTCAGTTGGGTTTCTGACGCGCCAGGGCAACTCACCTCACCTTCTCGCACCCCCCGAAGACGATCAAGATCTATTGATTGTTTTCATCTTTTTCTCGTTGGATCGGGAAACAGAGACAGACATTGATAAGTAACACAGAAGATAGCCCATCCTGCGAACCGACAAGATGATTTAAGGTCTGGACATAATATGAATTGACAACTAGCTACTATGGATAAAACTAACTACAGAGAACAGAAGAACAGAAGATTCAATAATCAATCAAAGAAACTCATAAGTCATCATCGCCTTTACCTGATGGTTCCGACGCTCTCGTTTATCCCGATTCCCTCGCACTACAGCCCCCTTGCCGCAAGTACATTCTTCAACGTCTGTTGGAACTTCGGCACGTTCTCCGGCATGATCATCGTATAATGCGCGCCGTCGACCTCGTGGAATTGGAGATCGTTCCGGACAAAGTCTGCCCAATGGTTCAGCTTGGTGTAACGGTACTCATGTCGCGAGCTGGCGACGTCGCGTAGCGGATCACAGAAGAAGACATCGATGTGGGATACAGTGCCGGAAGGATCATATTCCCAGCCAATCTTCTGCAGGGAAAAAGAGACATTCACCCAGGTATGGAGCGAAGCCTGGGAGAGACCCAGCGCTGCGGTTCGCACAGGATCGGCCTCGGCCAACACGCGGGCGATTTGCTCGGATTTCGGCAAGGGCCGTAGCTCAGAAACCATTTCTCGGGAGCGATCCTCACTGATGATGTCGCAGAAGTGTGAGATCTGCGACAGACCCGCAGACCAATCCAGCTGACGCATGCGCTGCTTGATATGGGGAGGCAGGTTGAAGCTGCCTAGGAACTTCACTTCCTCTCCGTCGGCCTCGAGTTTCTTGGCAATTTCAAAAGCCAACACACTGCCGTAGGAGTACCCCGCCATCGCATAGGGACCCTTGGGCTGCTGCTTCCTCAAAGCAGTATAGTACGTTGTCATAAGGTCGTCCAAGTTCTGGAACGGTTCCTCGCCTGGATTGAACCCACGCGGCCGCATAGCATACACGGGCCGATCAGGGAAATGCTGCGCTAGCGCCAGGAAAACCAAGATTTCACCAATACCCGGATGGAAAAGCCATAGCGGTGTCTTAATGCCGTGAGGCTGCAGGGTGACAACGGCCTGATACTCGCCTACTTGTGCGGAGGTCTTAAAATCCTGGAGCGCGGCTGCCAAGGAGCGAATCGTCGTGTTTGTCATGATGGTCATCATGGGAATTTCTGCAATGCCGAAGTTGGTTTCGGCGGCACGCTTGAGTCGGATCAAGTCGACCGAGCTGATACCCGTGTCGAGGATGGGCATGTCGATGCCCATTTCCATGTCCTCTAGCCCAAGAGTTTCCTTGAATACAGCCATCAGCCTATGCTCCATGTCATCACGCGGCGCCGAGAAATGCGCGTCGCGGTAGGACTGGAGGATGCTTTCGTTGAGCTCCTCCTGATCGGCGTATTTGCCTTGGACCATAGCGTTGTGAATCTTCGAACGCGCCAGTTTACCAAGCGTGGTCTTTTCCAGTCGGCCAGGGGGAAGAGGGAGTACGCGCGGTCGAGCGGAAGTGAACAGCAGCACGGTTCGAATGAGAGCATGGAGCGTGGACATGCGGGCTTCGGTATCGTCCGAAGCATACTCATGCTGATACACGACGTAGACCTGTTCAGCACTACCCTCAGTCGGCCGGTGCGAGAAACAAACCACGAACGACGGCGTAACGCCGGGAATGCGCTCTTGGTTGATGGCCCCCTCGATCTCATGAGGCAAGTACTTGACCGAGTTGATGTTGATTAGTTCCTTGAGTCGCCCGGCAAGCTTCAGGTTGCCCTCTTCGTCGATGGTACCAAGATCTCCAGTCTGGAACCACCCATCTTCGGTGAAAGAACCTCGCGTTGCCTCCTCGTTGTTGAAATAGCGCGAGAACACCACGGGTCCACGCACCTCAAGCATACCTGCGTCACTGGCAGCGCTGTTTGATGGATTTGGAGCGGGTTCGTCTTGAGGTGCGCGCGAGATCCGCATCTCAATGCCGGGGATGCATTTACCCAGGGCACCGGCATCGCGTCGTGCCTGGATATCAACCTCGGGGAAAGCCCGGTTATAAATGGCACCGGCGCAAATCTCAGTCATACCGAAGCCAGGGGTGATTAGGTTCTTGGGTACCACTCCCAACTTGCGCAGATATTCCGTCACTCGGATACCGGTGTTGACATTGTTGGGCTCCCCTCCTGAAACCAGATAGAGCAGGTGACTAAGGTCAATGCCAGCCTTGTCTTCTTCCGAAGCCGAGTCTAAAGCAGCCAACAACTTCTTGAGGAAGAAGTCCGGGGAGAAGGTCATGGATACGGCATGCTGAGACAAAAGACGCAAGAACAGCAATGGGTTACTGAGAACCTCAACCGCTTGAATCTGGATTTGGTCTACACCTGCGTACATGGAGAGCAAGTGAGTCTCCATTAGACTGGCGACGTGATCCAGCCCAATCCAGTTCAGGACTGCACTGCCTTCGGTTACTGGCATGGCTGCCAGCTTGCCTCGGATCGAGGCGAATATCTGCTCATGGGAAAGGCAAACGGCCTTGGAGTTGCCGGAACTGCCGGACGTCAACATGAGAACGGCCACCCCGTCGAGCTTGCTGTTGTGTGCGCCGTTGGAGACAGCACTTCCACCGTTGGCAAGGACTTTGCTATTGGTGTGACCGTGGGTATCGCGATTGCTCTCGCGATTGCCTTGTCCATCAGCATATCCTTTGGCATATCCGCTGGCGTACCCGCTGGCATATCCAGCGGCATACCCATCCACACTCTCATTAGTCACTCCATTCGTGTGACTGTTAACTTTGGAATCAGTGACACCGTTTGAGTGGCCGTTTGAAGAACCATTTGAGTGGCCATTCGAAGAGCCATTGGAATGGCCATTAGCATATCCATTGGTGTGGCTGTTGGTCGACTCGTCACTACCGTTGCTATGATGGCCATTTGCGATACCATTCGGAGTATCCACTGTATCCAAAGCGACGCCATTAGACACTGGCTTCTCGGATTCGTCTATCGTGACCACGCGCAGAAGTTCGTTCTCCCCAAAGTCACTGGTTGCCAGTGTCTGGTGAGTCAGAACGAGTGGATCCTCAAGTAATTGGTGTAAATGTTTGAAATGGGCGCGACGTCCCTCGCTGGTGTTGACGAGAGGCGGCGACAGGGCGGGTACACTCCCTGCCAGAATGCTTGCCCAGAACCAAGTGATATTGTCCAAATGAGTCCGAAAGTGGACCAAAGTGACCGCATTGGGGCGAAAACCATCAACACGACGCAGCCACTCTGCCTTGTGCGAGACCCGGTCACGAAGCTGGGCATAGCTCAGGTACGTGGGGGGACACCGATCGCCCTCAGGATAAGCAACGATGCCAGCCGACGACAAGGCCGACTGGTCTAATAGGGAAGTAATATTTGACTGAGGAATGGGAGCCATGGTGACTGCAAAGACCTATGAAAAAGAAGCCAAAATGGCGGAGAACAAGGAAAAGAAAAAGCAATTAAACTGGAGCTCGGATGAACAGGGAAGTCTGCATGGGACATGCATGGATGGACCGCAGGGAAAGAAGCATGATACATGAAGGCTGTGTATTTATTTGCGGGCAATATTAATGCCTCGGGAAGAAAAGTCTCGATTTCCCCTCCTCGTTGTCACGACGTCTGCAGCAGGTCGAAAATGGACGCTTCATCCACTACGGTCGCTGAAGGATTTCCACTCCGCCGATCACGCTGTTAACCTGCTAAACGCGTGGAGACTCGGTGGTTTTTGGCCCATTGGATCCACCTGCGCCGCTGCGGCCGTGGCGCGATTCTTCGATCGGCCAAGAATTGCAACACCTGAGAAATTATTGATTAATTTTTCAAGTATCTGACGATTGTCATATTCCGCGCTGGGGGCTAAACCGTGCATTGGCCGAATGGGCTTGTCAGATGTATAGATCGTTTGGGATTATGAGGCAAACACGCCACAATCGCAGGGGTGTCGTATTGGGGGCTGTCGGGGCTGGACTGGTTTGGCTCCAGATAGACATGGTTTTAATCCCATGAGTGACCAGCATGCACCTCGCTGTTCTAGTACCTGGACTCTACATGCATCCTTCACCATGGCTTCTCCAGAGCAGATTAACCACCGTGCCGTTGTAGCTTCGGCAGCGACTTGGCCGTTTGCAGGTATCAGTACTGTGTTATTCTTCATGCGCCTGTTTGCCCGATGGCGTTTACCGAAGCAGGCGCGAAACTGGGAAGATTTTGTCCTGACGCTGGCATGGCTGTTTGCGATCGTGCAGGCAGCTATCTTCCAAAAGGCCCTTGACAGCGCACGGGAACTAGATCCAAAGGATCTGCCTGGGACGGTACCTCCTGCTGCCTTTTGGGCGATTATGATGAACAACTGGTCATTCCTGAGCATCGAAATCCCCAAGGTCGCTGTGGCAATCCTGATCACCCACTTGTTCCGGCCGTCGCTCTGGATTCGTGTGGTTATCTGGGGTCTCTGCGTGACGATCAATGTGCTGGCAATCGTCGGGTTCGTCATCACCTTCGTTATGTGCGACCCCGTGCCTGGACAGTGGGACCCTTTTCAGTATCCCGAGACAAAATGCTGGCATCGGTCAGTGCAGATTATGTATGCCTGCGTGCTCTGCGGTATTTCTTCGTTCATCAACATCGCCTTCGCCATTTATCCCGCCGTGGTGGTGTGGCAGTTACAGATGCCGCAGTGGAAAAAGATCAGTACCGTGGGCCTGATGGGTCTCGGATTGGTGTACGTTGCAATGACCGACTTAACTCCATACAATTATCGCTGACGGCTTCTGTTTAGGGCATTCGTTTTCTCCGTTATCAAGCTCTACTACATGACATTCCTGCTGGATGACCCGCCTCCACTTGACCTCGTCTGTGAGTTTTAACCAAACATAATGCAGCCCTTTTTCCTCCTGAAGCTGACCACCAAGACCTCTGCGCGCAACTCGGTATTTGGAATCGAATCGAAAATGACTTTGTCTTGATGGCCGGCCTCCTTCCCTTCGTACCACCGTTCGTCAAAGCATGCTCGCAGTTCATGAAAACACATGCTTCCTCAATCAGCAACCGTTTCAACAGCACCAACCAGCTGTCATCCCTCAAATCCTACAAGCAGGGCCAAGGCGACTATCAGGACATTGAGTTGGTTGCCAAGGAGAATAAACGAGACATGGGGGAGACGGCGTCGGAAACGAGCCTGGGTAAGAACTACCGATACAGCGTAACAAAGCCGTCGAGTGTTTGCTAGGGCTACAATGCATAATTTCTTTTGTGCTCTTGGGTTTTGGAGTCCTAGGCAGCCATTTGGTTCAGCGTGAACGGCATGAATTACAGAATGTCTCTGATTTTTCAAACACCACCCTGGTCCCCGTGTCACGGATTGTATTTCCGCGTCCGCCGGATAGAGGGGGCATTAAGGCTTACCACGATGTAACGCCATGCCGTTTCGGTTCACGATGCACATATTCTATTGGACAATTGGATGACAGCCTAGCCGGCAGGGCGAGGGATTTTCACATGGTTTCATGTCAGCTGCAGCCAAGGGCCAGCCACAGCCATCACGGGCCCTGTTCGCAGCGTCCGAACGGCAGCCGACTGGCATCCGGGTTTACAGCCCCCCCCCTTAGCGCTGCAGCACCAGACAAAAGTCTGACCCAGGCCTAATGCAGCGCCTACTCCGTAAGGAGGGGCTTGCATCATTAACTGGATACCGGCCCCAAACCCAGAACAGGCCATCCATGGCGGGGTGTCCCCGGACGGGCCGCAATTGGCCTGTCGCGCGGTGGAGCAGCTGCTATATTAATTATTAACCTTTGGGACACTGATAAGTGATACTAACTGAAATTGTTTGAGGAACGTGGGCTCCACAGGTGGATCGACACCCGCGGCTCAGTTACTCTCAGCAAATGAAATGATGTACGGAGCACGGAGGGCACAGGTAGGGCCTTAGCTGCGTTAGCGCCTAGGCGCGTTGCCTTTAGTTTGCTGCGTGAGGGACCTTAGGATTGCTACCCCTCGTTGGCTTTCGCTGGGGCCGAGGAATCCATGAAAACGAGCATTTCCTTTGTCTGGTCGATGGAATGTTGAACTGGATCGACTAGGAAGAGACCCCTGGATCCTGCCCCTGAAAGTACGCATTTCACCATCATTCTGGTGGCTTAAAGAAGTTGCTTCTCCCTGCACAATTGCGGACGCAAACTTCGATTGTACGATTACGAACCAACCTTTCCATCCCCGCCAGATCATCCCAAATGGACCGCTCCAACCTCGTCGGTCGTGCTTCCGAGATCGCCGATGTCGCTCGCACCCTGGCGGACGAATTGGCTCGTCGCGAGTTGCCCGAACCCTCGTTTGAACACGGCCTGCCCGCCCCCCTCCAGAGCGATGCGCCCGACTCAGACGCGCAGGCAGCACGCGTAAAGCTCTTGGGCCTGTTGGATGAGTTCAATGACCTCTTGACTGAGCCGGCTTTGCTGGGAAGCCCAGAACTGGTATGTCGACTCACTTTGGCCTTATCAAGAATCGCTCTGAACATGTCCGTAGCGCAATCCGTCCATGAGCATGCAGGCGTTGATCCGCCTGGGCATCGTCGAACATTTTCCCTCGGAGGGAAGTACGGTTGAAGACCTGGCAAAAAAGCTTGATCTGAACGAGAACCTCGTTCGAAGGCTCCTCTCCCACGCTGCTACCTACCATGTTTTCTTCCAAGAAAAACGCGACTTTTTCGTACATACGGCTGCTTCGCGCGTGATCACCGAGAACGCTGGAATGCGTTCTTGGATGCTGATCGGTCTCGGCGAGGTCATGCCTGGTACATTCAAAGTAAGCTCTCTTCGATCCATCTGAGTTGAGTATTGCATTTAAACTGAAACCGCAGATCGCGGACGCGCTCTTTCAACATCCCAACTCGGAGGAACCGCAGCACAGTGTAAGTTCCCCGATAGAATTTGGCTGTCCAGAGCTGACAATTACAGGGTTGGAGCGTCCAAAACAACACGGACCTCCCCATTTTCAGAGCCCTCGCCGATGCGCCTAGCCGCGCTAGCGAGTTCGCCAACGCCATGATATACCACGCCCACCTCCCAGGCTACTCTCCCCAATACCTCACCGAATTCTTCCCGTGGGGAACCGGAGAGCTTACAGTTGTCGACGTCGGCGGCGGGGTTGGCCACATCTCGTCAGCTCTGGTCGCTCATAACCCCGCCGTGCAGTGCATCGTGCAGGATCGCGCCGAGGTCGTCGCACAGGGCGAGGAGACGTTACCGGTTGAGCTCAAGGATCGCATTCGTTTCCAGGCGCACGATTTCTTTCAGGAGCAGCCGGTGCACGGAGCGGACGTGTACCTACTGCGCTTGATTCTGCATGATTGGTCGAATAAATACGCCCGCATGATCCTGCAGGCACTGATCCCCGCGTTGAAGCCTGGCGCGAAGGTCGTGCTAAATGATCGTGTCGTTCCGAGCTATGGGGAGGCCGAACTCCTGGCAGAGCGAGAAGCTCGGTATGTCATCTACTGCCCTCTTTCTTTTTCACGTCACTTTTTGTTGGACATTCACTGACGAAGGATCGATCTTAGGGATTATGACATGTACATGCTCGGTCTCCAGAATGGGCAGGAGCGCACGCGAGATGACTGGAACAAGCTGCTGCGCGACACGGACACGCGATTTAAACTTACGAATGTCTCCAAACCACCCAAGTCGTATCTCGCTGTTGTTGAGGTGACGTGGGAGGGATAGGACAGTTAAACTACATCAACACAGTTCAGCGAGCAGGGATGTACATAGATCTAGACGCCAATATACTTGACCTGTATAATGTATTATTCCCTCGTGGTCCCGTCATTGGTTGCGTATCTTTCCGGCGAAGGGATATCAGGGCAGGGTTGCAGGATAGCAGAGACGCGAAGGATTCGGAAGCGGATCCTGTAGCCCGCATTTCTGCATCCTGCATCCTCCTTGTTTAGCATCTTTCTGTCGCCACTCGCACCACGCTGGACTGGATGGGGCGAAGGATGCTCGTCCTACTGAGTACTGAGCACTGGAATGATTCGTGTTTCTCGCTCAGTATCTGATTGCTTCATCGGGCTTCCGGGAATGAGAAGGCTCTACATCTTATGTTCTAGGTTTCACAATTGTGTGACTTAAACAAGCTGAGAACCCGGGCTGTGGTGATCAAAGTCTTTGGTTTCGAATCTGGAGGATGGAAGGCCAAAGTAGAAGAGGGGCATAGAGTCGGAGCAGATCACCGGGTTACATTCTACGCACGGCCACGGACAAGGTCGACGAAGATGGGCGGACCATTCCACGATCCATGCCTCATTCTGGCAGACACTACTCCGTGGGTCAAACACATATCCCGTCAAATAAACTCCTCTAGCGCCGATGGCCTCGCCAATGATTGTGCCTCATCCATTTGTCGCGAACAATACTCCGTACTAGCTGGGTTGTTAGCTTGATGATTTGAATTGCCGCGCTGAGCGCGACCTGCTTCCTTCGGTATTTTGGTTTACAGTTTTTTTAAGGTTAGAAACTAAGTGGCCTGAGATAGACAATGCCAGTGACTGGATTAGGTCATTCTATGTGTACACTAGCAGGCGATCTTCCAAGACCCTGAAGGTTCGCATGGAGGGGCCGGATGCATTCATCAGCACTGCTGAGTACTCCGTACGTTTGATGCGCCCAAGGCCCCATTTCCGTATTTTCTAAGCTAGCTGAGTGTTGGTAGGTCAATTCCCAGTATGATGCTAATGTTTCTTGGTTGGAAACCCATGCTTGCAAGGTTGCATTTATGGATCTTCTGTAGGGCACGGGTATTTGCGGTTGATGGGCTTTGAATGACGATCCCATGGCCACGTCGCTCACTCAATGCTTTGTCGATTCACTTCTGCTACGCAGAATTATCTCTGTGTTCAAGAAGACCTTTTCGATGACCAGCCCTCCAAGAATCGCCGCATTGGAACCTTGGAGTGGTTGAATTTGGAGAATTAAAGCAAACAAACGCTCAACGAGCAGGAATAGTGGTAACTGGGTGTCAGTATATTTCTTTGGGCTCTCAGGTATTTATTCGTTAATGCTAGTAAATCAACGCTCATGATCTTTACCGGTCTAGTACTCAAGAACTCTAGTTGAATGAATTTGTGATCAGGGATCCTCTTGCAAATGGAATCGTTATCTGGTGAGAGGCTGCCACTCACCGCATCGAATGCTCACATCCTCTTGCAACCCTGAGCACTGATTAGATGTTTGCAGAATGTCGAACCCTGAAGAAAGTCCATCAGCTGGCAACGAGAGTGCTTTGCCCTTGGCTACCAGAGACATGGCAAAAATCTGTTGATCAGCCGTAAGGATCGCACCAGGACAGCACAATGCAGAAACCTTTTAGATAGACGCAAATTTATTCCTCATCGACTTGGACCAGGACTCTGCCAAACTGTCAGATTAAAGTTGAATATAAATTACAAATGATTAGCAGAGTCAAAACGCAGTCGTGGCAACAATCGTAATCATCCTATCGACAAGTCTATGCTCCAGGATGTCCGCTTATTCAGAGCCATCGTTGGGTCTTTCTGGGAATTTTCAAACCAAGAACACTATCAACAAACACAAAGAACTCCCAGGTATCAAGAAGTGTAAGCAACAAGAAAAAAGGTACATATAGTCTGGGGTGAGAACTACAAAAGTGTCTGCTCAAAGCGGCTCAAAGCGGCTCAAAGCGGAAGAAGTGCGTCCTGAGGCATCAGTAAATGGTATACCGTAATTTACACCGACCATCCACCCAGCCCGGCGAACTATGGTATCGGAGGCACGGTACGGTACAGCCCCTGAGGGGCGCCTGGCCTTCCCCTCTTTCTCTTTCTCTTTCTCCTTCTCTTTCTCTTCCTCTCGAGCTCTTTCTTTTTCGCTCGCTTCTTTCATCTCCCTCATCAACTGTTTCTCACAGCCACTCATCTTGAGGAACAGAATTGTCCGCCATGTCGGACCCGGAGCCGGACTTTGTGATGGTCGACGCCATGGATGCCGATCCTTGGGACTCGCCCGGAAATTCCCCGAGGAAGATGGCCGATCTCCGAGGCTGGCTGCAGCCAACGCTGTACCTGAATGACTACCCCGACTTCAAAAAACACCTGAACGCCCACGTCCGCTGCCCGACACCCCCGGATATCAACAATGGCACGATTCGACCACCCAAGGCGCGTTGTGGTTGAAAGCCGTCGCCGAGGCCGGCAAAAGCGTCTTGGCCGCCCATCTTATCTCCGAGCTGCAGGCACAGCAGGACTAAACGCCCGTCCTGTTCTTCTTCTTTCGTCGCATCGTCACGGCCAACCATGGGTGTCAGTCCCTGGTCCGAGACTGGTTGCATCAACTGCTGGATTTCGCACTAGAGCTGCGGAAGGAACTTGAGGTGGTTAAAGAGCAAAATCCCGACGTGGAACATGTCGCCTTTTCCGTGCTGTGGCAGAGTCTCCTGGTCGCCCTTGAGACTGAAAAAGGTTTACCGTACCTTATCACCTGACGAGCGGCTCCACCTGACGACCGAAAACTCGAGCTTGACCGACTTTTTCAACATTTTCAAAGAGCCATATCTCTACCAATATGGCTCCAATTGATGAAGCAATTGCAGAGTTGAAATCCCTGAAGCCTGAAGAACAACCGAATTTTACTTTTATAGCGAAAAAGCACGGTGTTAATCGAACAACTTTAACAAGACGATTTCGCGGCGTCCAACATTCAAAAGATGAGCAATATGAAGACCAACGACTTCTTAATGACCGTCAAGCTAAAGTGCTTATTTCGAATATCAATAGATTAAGCGAAAAAGGCCTTTATATCTCATCTGAAATGCTTCAAAATCTCGCTCGCGAAATAAGCGGAAAGCAACCCGGAAAACTGTGGCCAGGCCGATTTTTAAAGCGACATAATGAGGAGCTTATTTCTTGCTATACTACTGGAATTGATTCATCTCGAAAAAGGGCCGATTCAGCGTGGAAATATGCATTATATTTTGAACTCTTGACTCGCAAGATACAAGAATATGATATTCGGCAGGAAGATATCTACAATATGGATGAGAAAGGCATTATGATCGGAGTGCTTCGCAAGGCAAAGAGGATCTTCTCTAAGCAATCGTTTGAAAAGGGCTTAAAGCAGCGGCTTCAAGACGGGAATCGCGAATGGATTACTACAATCGCCTGCATTTGCGCAGACGGGACCTCACTATCTCCAGGGCTTATATATCAAGCTGTCTCTTCGAAGCTTCAAGATACGTGGCTTCAGGACTTCAATCCTGACCTACATACTTGTTTTTTTGCATCTTCGCCTTCCGGATGGACGAATGACGAGCTAGGATACGCCTGGCTACGAGATGTATTTGATCGTGAGACAAAAGAGAAGGCGAGGAGGCGTTGGAGACTTCTCATCCTTGATAGTCACGGATCTCACGTCAATATGAAGTTTTTCGAATACTGTGAAGCGAATAAGATCCTCTTAATGACCTATCCGCCTCATTCCACGCATTCGCTGCAGCCGCTTGACGTCGGAATCTTTGGACCTCTATCTACAGCGTACAGTACGGAGTTAGAGCGATTTCTTAATCAATCTCAAGGCCTTTGTCATATCACGAAAAGAGACTTTTTTCACCTCTTCTGGCCTTCATGGGAAAGCGCTTTATCACCTCAAAATGTCGAGTCTTCATGGAAAACGGCAGGCGTTTGGCCATTGAATCCTGAAATCGTTCTATCGCGATTCAATCGAAAAGATAATAGTCGACCTTCATCTAGTGGCTCATCTCGCTCAGCGCTAGGTGCAGAGGATTGGAGAAAGATTGAGAGGCTTCTTAAGCACGCTGTCACTGATTTATACGATCAAAAGGCTGAAAAGTTGAATTCTACGATGCACGCTCTCTCTACAGAGAATATTATCTTGAAGCTACGCTGCCAAGGCCTCGAAGCGGCCCTTCTTCAAGAGAAGAAGAAGCGCAAGCGAGGGAAGCCTCTCTTATTCGAATTACAAGCCCCTGAGGATGGTTACGCGGTATTTTACTCTCCTAATAAGATTCAGCAAGCTCGTGATCTTCAAGCAGAAAAGGATGAGGCTATACAGCTTGCTAAAGCTTCAGAAGAGGAAAGGCTTCGTAAGCAGCGAGAGAAACAAGATAAGAGGCTTTTAATTGAAGAACGCAAGCGAATCCGCGCTTCAAATCGTGAAATACGGCTCCGTGAGGCAGGGGTAAAAAAGCAGAAAAAGCAGGATGATCAGCTCGCTAAGCAAGCCGATATACAAATTCAAAATGACTTCAATCTCGCTCAAAAAGGCAAGAATAAGGTCCCGGCAACTCCAAAGGCAAAGAAATCGGACGATAGAGTTGCTATAGACCCTGAGGTCGTTAATGAGGCCCCCCCTGCACTAAATCGTAGAGGCAGGCAGATCCGCCTCCCACAGCGCTTTCGCGATTAAAAAAAGGCCTGTATAGCTTCATTTCAATGTGTATTTTAGTCCGCTCAAAAATTTCTATATAATTTGAATTGTATGTGGTTGTATGGCTTCAATTTCTATATGACTACTGAGGCGGAAAACGCTCGTCAGGTGGGGCCGGTCGTCAGGTGATAAAGTACGGTACTGTGTGGTGGATGCATTAGATGAGCTGATGATTGAGCGCTCTTCTTTGATCCTCGCCATCTGCGGATCCGAACATTCTCTTTCGGAACGTAGCTTTGGGATATTACAGCAATGTCTGGACTTAGCCCTTTCCGTGGGGTGTGATGTGAATGCTCAGGGAAACACGGCAACACTGCCTTGCACTTCTGCACCGAGAGACGCATTCCGGGAGTTGAAAGGCTTCAGCGACATGGAGCAAGGGTAGATACGGGAAATCGTCGAGGAAATCAGCCCTTACATTTGCTTACATTTGTTGGAGCTAAACACTGCCTCGGAAAAACTCTTGAGGCGCTGATTCGATACGGTGCTCGATGAGACGCACTCCGGGAGAGAGATGGGAAGACGGCCCTCCATACTTGCTTGAAAAATTCAAGTGGTAACATTGAATGGATGAAACCATATGTCAAAGACTGGAATGTTCGAGATCTTGATGGGAACACTCCTTTGCATATTGTCAGCGAGCCTGATGAGTCTCTGATCCAACAGTTGGTTGGCATTGGGGCAGACATAAATTCCAGAAATAATAAAGGGGAGACACCATTGCACAAGATAGATATTGACAATTTCGACATCCGCAGTGGAAGGGCCTTGTTAGCTGCAGGCGCTGACATCGAAGCCTGGGATCATAACGGCCGAACATGGTTCCTACGAGCTGCCATGGAGGAGCACTTCTCCATGGAGACCTTGCAGATAATACTTGACCTTGGAGCCGATCGCCACACAGAAGACTATTCAGGGAAAACCGCTTTACATTTAGTCTGCGAACACTCCTGGAAGTCTGATATCCTAATGTTACTTTTGGATGCTGGCCTGGATTCACTGCATCGAAATCACATGGGGACACGCTATATCACGCCTTGGCTAGATATCCTCTTCATACCTCTTTTGAATCAATGGATGAGATCCTCAATGTTCGAGGTACTGCTATTCAGATCCAGGCCAGGAACTACAAATGGGAAACGCTTTTGCATCTGGTGTGTAGTAAGCACTGCAGCCCCGCCATGGCGGAAAGTCTGCCTTCAGTTGATATCGAAGCAATGCTGAAGATGACAGATAATGAAGGGAAGACTCCGCTCCACAATGCGGTAAGTAACTGCGAAGGAATGGCGGAGTGGGCAATAAGCAAGGCGCCTGATTTGACTGCCCGTACCCATCAGGGGCAAAAACTTACTGCACATGGCCGCCGAGGCCAAGAAGAGCAATGTGATTCGTCTCCTGCTGGAAGGCTATTCAGAAGACCAAAGGTACGATGCACTGAATCAGACTGACCGAAATGGACGCACGCCGCTTCATTATGCCTGTCGCTCCGGTCGTCCGGAAAGCGTCCGGCTTCTCTTAGAGGCAGGCGCAGATGTTCGAACAGTGGACAAAGACGGATACACACCTTTACATTCATGCGCACTGTTTGAGCGTTGTTCTAGCATCCCGAATGCCGATATATTCCGCGGTACACATACAGAATCTGATGACAAAACACTGCGTGTCAGCGATATAACCCACCTCCTTTGTCGCTACGGGGCGGACCTACTAGTAGAGACGAGGCTCCGAAGAACACCAATTCAACTCGCTATCGAGAACAACAATAAAGAGATGGTCTGTGAGCTATCTAGAGAGATGGATGAAGGATTTGTCGGATTGCCTTCCCAGGTAGACCTTGACCGGCATTTTCTCGGGCAACTGTATCTGTCAAACCGCCAGATATGCACGGACACTCTTGTAGAATAGCTCACTCGAACAAATTATCCCGAAGGACTTTTTACTCTGCTCATTCGTTCCGCCGCCTACAGGGCACTGGAGGAGCTGGCAGCTCGTGGGACTGTATACACCCTGCAAAACGTTCACTGGAGGAGATTTCTGATACGCTTGGCACGCTTGGGTTATTCTGATCTTCTCGAAAGACTACTGAAGAAAGAGACGAGTATCGATTGGATCAATGAGACCTTATTGTTACCTGAAAGCTGGTCTAAGGCTGAGCATCCATTGCTGTTCTTTGTGGCAGCCCGGGAACTCCCGAGTTTGTCCCTGTTGAGGCTCCTAGTTGAGACCTTCAAGGCAGATGTGAACGTGCGATCATTTGCAGAGGACCGGATTTCTGAGCCGAGTGTCTTACATATACTGGCACGAGGAGAACACTGGTGGCAAACCAAAGCCGTTCGTTATGTCTTCACCCAAGGTGCTGATATGACCATGCAAGACCAGGGTGGATGCACACCCCTCCACATCGCAATGAGTGCCGAGCCTCGACGCATTCATATTGTGAATGCATTGCTACAACATGGTTCCAATCCAAATGTCAAAGACAAACATGGTAATACTCCATTCAATCTCACGACGGGAGATCATAGGTTGTTTCGGCTATTTCTCTAGTATGGCCCAGATGTTACGATGGTGACTGTACCGATGCTATTCAGCGCTATTCAGAATATAGATGTGGCACTGGTTGAGGGAATTCTTGCAGCCGGTGTCAACTGTAATGATCCTTTCAAAAACTCGCCGGCTCATCCCCCCGCCCCCAAAGTGCACAAGAATTACATGGATAAAGAAGCAGTAGAAAAGGACTACAGCCTTTATATTCCTCTAATTGGGGTGGCGGCGAAAATGCAATTTGATAAGCCGGATGAAGCTCCCAAACACATAAAGGTGGTGAGAATCGTGGAGATCTTATTGGAACATGGCGCGAGCCCTTTTGAACCGTTGAACGAGACGACGATTCTGCATGCCTTGATCGACTACGGTGGTACAATAGGTCCTTTGTTAAGCCTTCCCAAGCTGGACCTAGAGCAACGGGACAACAAAGGTGGAACGGTACTGCTGGCAGCCTGTGGAGGTGAAGACCCAAAAGAGGTTCCATTTAATCGATATTTGGGCAGTTATCGAATTGGACTCATCAGCCAGCTATCCGCGATGGGTGCCAATGTTTCTACCACTAACAGCAAGGAACAGAACGTGCTTCATCTATTAATGATAGCCATGAAGAAAGGTGAGGACCAAATTTGAATTGACGGCACTTATCATAAATTTGGCTATTCAGCAGCCAGAGCTTCTTGGGAAATACAATGAGGAAGGATACACTCCGCTCCTCGCTGCCGCCAGAAAACGTGTTCCGACAGCCGTCGCCCTCGCCGAAGCCGGAGCCAACCTCCAAGAACGCGATTCCGATGGTAATACTCTATTGCACCACTTGGCTAGTCATCTTTGCAGGCTGTGGGGCAAAGATGGCCGTTGCGCCTATAGGTTAATGAACCTTGGGCTGGATTTCAACGTTAGGAATCATCACGGTGACACGCCGCTCTCTAAATACATTCTGTCCTTCAATGACCAACCGGTGAAATTTTTCGGTGACCACTATGTTGACCAGCTGAAAAGATTTCAGAAATATAGGGCTGACTTCCAGAACGTAAATGCGGCCGGCGAGACACTCTTGCACCTGGCCGCTAGGATGTCCTGGCATGCAAATGCCGACTGTTATGAGCAGCATTTAGATTTTAGTGTAGAGGCCTTTAAATGCTTGATGGACATGAGATTGGACCCCTTCCAGGAGGACTACCATAAGAGGACGCCTCTGGTGTCTGTTTTGATTGTGTTATATGCCTGTTAGGACATTGTTTACTGACAAGTCTTTTCCAGGATGTGGCTGCCGCCTATGGGAAGGATGAGATCGTTGCACTTTTCCAGAAGAAGTAGAGATAGGCCCTTCTCTTTTGATATAACTCGCTATTTCCGTACATGGGACGAGAATGCCTTATCTTGACACGTTCGCATCTCTGGGGGTCATGTAAATGTTGATACCTTGCACACAAAAGATATACTCCAAGACTCTTAAGCAAGCCTGGTCCACAGTGGATCAGTCAAGCCCCAACCCTCTTTCATACTCTCTCCATCCTTCCCCAATCGGCTGAATGAGCGTATAGCTCGCCGAGGTATTGAACTCCTGCACGCCATTGATCAGATACAACGGGACCATCTCCCCATCTGTGCTAAAATACAGCTTTGGTCGTTCCCTCCGATAATAATCGGTGCTCGCCCCATCCGTAAACTCCACCGTTGTGTTATAAGCCAGAGTGATATTGTTATAGTGCCAGGGCCCTTCCCAGCTCTTTGCAAAGACATGGGCTCCCACGCGAGGCCCCTTCTTCCCCAGTGCGATATCTACCATGTGATGAACGAGGAAGTGCCAGTGACCGCGCTTGTCACGCCAGAGGAAGGGATCCTCGCTACGGAGCGACGGGTCGATTTCGATGTTTCCCGGCTCTACGCGCAGGGTGTAGGGACCGGTGTAATTGGCTGCATGGTATATATTGTTCTTCTCGGTTGCTAGAAGCATCTCTGACGTTTTATTGTCGGGGGTCCAAAGAGACCAGGCGGCTGGGTTCGTGACGTTGATGAGTAGCTCTGTCGGGGTGTCCCAGGTTCGCAGATCTGGGGAGCTGGACACGGATATAGTGTTGTTTCGTTTGATCGAGCGACACGTGTCGGGAGCTTCCCAGTCGTAGCCAATAAAATGCATCAGATACTTCTGGTCTGATGGACTCCAGATCGTTGTTGGGTTATGGTGAAATGTACTGAAGAGTTCCTGGGCCCACGTGTAGGGCCCACGGGGTCCGGTTCGCGACTCTGCTCTGATCACGGTACTAAATGGTCGCCATCCCGAAAGGCCACATCCGTGATCCATTTGCGAAATTACGAGATGGAAGAGTCGCTTATCCTCGTGGTCTTGAATGATGTGACCTCCCCAGGAGGAGTTCCCTGCTCCTTCGCGATAGAAGTCAGGTAGGGTGATGTTGGTATGATTATATCCTGTCCATCGCTCTACTGGCCGAAGATCCAGCTCGCTGCAGTCGGCAGCGCGCCAGCCTGGATCACAGATACAGGTCTTAGTGCCAGAGCAAACGCCATTGAGGCTGCAGTCTTCGGATTTCTCGCATTCCTGTCCATACACCCCAGCAATCGCCGAAAGGAGAGAGAAGGGGAGGATGTGAGATAATAATCGCATGTTGGGCCCCAATGACGACCCTAGTGCTTATGTCAAGAAACGACGATGGATAGCGAAGGTTACTGTTTCTGAGATTCCGGAACGACATCGCAAATGATCGAAGCCAAAGCGGGGTTGTGATCCTGCAGGGTTCGATGGAGCATCAGCCAACGGAGAAATTATGCAACTTGCCCCGTCGGCCACTTTTCTACCGAGACTCAAAGCCCTTGGCGAGGTGCAAGGAGTCATTTAGCTTAAGTCCTGCAGCCGCATTTCTTAGCGAAGTTTATTTATAGGATCAACTGTTCATTCAGCAGTCATCATTCAGTTTCATGTGTACAAAAATGGGCCTCTAGGCCTGTTGAGAAACCGAATCAAGTGAGATAATACGCCATATCGCCTCCTTCTTCGCGCTCCAAGGCCAGTTCTCCATTGGCCAGGTATAGAAACTGGTTCGAGTTGTTGTACCGAATGTCGAAGTGCTCGCCCCGGATGGTCTTCATATACTCTGCAACACGTCATCAGCCGCCTTATCCTATTTTCAGAATTCTCACCATAGGACTTACCTTTGAAGTGGAGGACGCTGCCTGGGTACATCGCCGTGACCGTGTTGGGTCCCTCGGCATTCTTCTTGCTGTACCAGGCATTGCATCCCTTGGACCACACGCACCGCTTCAAGCTTTCTTGCGCGTAGGCGTTATATTCCCGTACGACAGTATCTTTGACCACAATGGATCTAAATTGATCAGCACTTGGGCTGCAGTTCCAGGGAAAGGGGAATGCAAGCTACCTGATGTCTTCCGCCGCCATCTTCTCAATCCAGTTCAACATATAATCTGCAGTCCATGCAAGCATTTGGGGAACAGACCCATGGCCGATCGGGCAGTTTGGACCGCCAAACATGAAGTAATTTGGCACACCACCTGCGCACGTGGAGAAGTAAGCAGAAGGCGTTTCTCTCCACTCGTCTGCCAGGCGCCGGCCATCGCGACCAACGAGATCCCAGGAAGGGACAAAACTAGTATCGAAACCCGTGGCGCAAACAATCAGATCAAACTCTTCTTCGCCTTCTTCGCTCTCAATGCCGGTTGGTGTAATTTTTTTAATGTGACTGAAGGTGAGTCGTGCACTACTAGCTTGGATTGCCTCAAGATACCCATTGCCGGGGCTCAGACGGCGACATCCAAGCTCGTACTTGGGAATGAGCTTCTCGATAAGTTCCGGGTTATTTTTCAGCTTCTCTCGCATCGTTGCATCGACCAAGTCGAAGATCATCTTGTTCTCTGCAGATCCCGAAATCATCAACCGATATACGCTGTTCACACTGCATAACGTATTCAAGTTAGCAAGACTCCAACGTGCAGGCAATGAAGACTGACGATGTCTCAACCACCTTCCGATACTCGAGGAATTTTTCTGGATTCGTTCGGAACTCCTCCTTCTCCTCTTCGGTGTATGCGAAGTTCGTTGAGTTTGCATCCCTGAGCAAGTTGCCACACAAGGGCGTTGAAACCCACGTGGCGTGACGCGCGTAGTTAACTATCTTTGCAGCTTTGCGCTGAAGAGGTGGAACAATCTGCAATCCTGACGACCCGTTTCCAATAACTGCAATTCGCTTGCCTTCCCACTGGTACTCGGTGTCCCTGCGAAGGCGTTAACATCGCGCAACGTCCAGATGTCAAGGGTGAGCTGACCATTTCGCACTATGCACAATCTTTCCTTTGAAATGATCGAGTCCCTTAACATCCGGCCATTTCCACTTGCTATTTTCCGTATTAGTGGGACATTTGATATCACCTCCCCGAATAGGATCTTACTTGACGATGCCACTCCCGTCAATCAAAATGTCCGCCTCATCTTCGATTATGAATTCCCCTCGTTCCAGCTGGAGCTTCCATTTGGCGTGTTCCTCGTCCCATATCGCTCGGACGAGCTTGGTATTAAACGTCACTTTCTCTTTCAGCCCGTACTTTTCTGTCGTCCGCAGTATGTAGTCTTCAATCTCTTTGCCTCCAACGTAGAACTTTGACCAGTCGGGACTCGGCTCGAATGGAAATTGGTAGCTGTCTAGGGGACGTAAACACAGGGGTGACGTTAAAAATTGGATCCTCTACTTACGAACGGGAATATCGCTATGGAGAAGGACCTAGTCAGCTCGAATTTTCCCCTGTCACTTTACGAGAGCATACTCACCAACCTACCCCAGGATAAACATTCTCCCACCAAGCACCCCCTACTTCCGGGTTCTTTTCATAAATTCTAAAGTCCACAAAGCCAAGAGGTCTCTCATGCTTCAATTTGTGTGCTAGGTTGAGACCAGAGAAGCCGGCACCGATGCAGACGACGCGAATCTTCCGGGGAGTGAAGGCAAACCGGGTCTCGTCAATCCGAATATTATTTGCCTCGGAATGGCTGGATACTGCGTATGATTCATTCGACGGCATATTTAGATTACATCAACTCCACGCGTCAAAGAGATGTGAGAGATAAACAGGCAGGGTCAAGGTTAATCAAGAATGATAAAGGTGACGAACCCACCCTCGGAGCATCACCCCCTTTAATGTTGGCCCAGCGAAAGCACCGTCTTCGTGAGTGATTGCCTATCAGGTGGTGGAGTGGTCTAAATTACAAATGTCTTGCCATTAGTAGTTAGTATTCCTGTTATATTAATTCCGGCGGCGGTTCACTCTCCGCGGGGGACTCGGAGGCACACGGTCCAGGAACTATTCCCAGAATGAGAGCAGGCGATACCACGGAAGGATGGCCATGAGGTGTCCAGTCCGTCCGTGACAGGGGATCGCATCCTGCTGCTGCGGTGCCGTGCGCAAGTGGATTTGTGACAGGCGCCGGATCGCCCCACCGTTTCCACTAATCCAAATGAGTTGTGCTCCGAGATAATCTTGTCCTCGGGGCCTACCTGATTGGGTCGGTTACTGATGCCATCCGGTCAGAATCCATGTTAAAAGGATTCTGGCCGGTGCTCTCGCCAGGGGCCCAGCGAACTAGCGGCCGGGGGACTTTGTTAGGGCGGCTGGTCTGAGTGACATTGGCTCCGTGCGCCCTTTGTGGAGACCGTTCACTATCGAAATGAATAAATCTATGAGGCATAAATCGGCCTCCAATCGGAAGGACGACGCATTGACCGTCATCGATCCTTGACCCAGAACTCCAATATAACAGGGATATTGTCTATCACCGTTATGGGTAAACAAAGAATCACAACCTGGCTTGACATGGATCATACGAGGCACCCAGAACCAGGGATTTGGATCAACTGTTGCTTTCCCCTTTAACGGTGATGGAGTTGGTAATAGAACAAAGCAACCCGTAGAAAAGAATAAAACTCCCCCTTTGTCGTAAATGCCTCTTCAACAGACGTGTACTTCCCTGCCGTACCTGAAGCAAACCGAGATGCCGAGTCCCTTTGGCGAACCCCCGATAGGCGTCAATCTGGGCGAGAACCACACCCCTCGAAACAATGCCACTGTGGTCTGTATGTTCGGGCTTGCAGCGGTGGCAGTTGCTCTGCGAGTGATTGCGAGAATCAGGGTTCAGCATTCCCCAACTGCAGCTGACGATTGGTTTATTTTCGCAGCAATGGTACGTTTGTTCCTTGGCTTTGCGTTGGACCGGTCGTTTTGACTGACATAGGAAAAGCTTTCCGTCATGGCAACCCTGACCTGCACCATCCTGGGTGAGTTTTGAATTCGATCGGTGATTGTATTCGCGATTCTGAGACCAAGTAGGGGGCACTTATGGCCTGGGAAAGCATGTCTGGGTCGTTCCTCTTGAAAATGTGATTGTCGTCATGCAGGTCAGTCAAAGCATCTAACTCGTGAAATCATGCTCAATTGTTCCCTACTTACATATATGAGTATAGGCACTCTTCGCATATGTTTTTATCTATCCCTTCACCATTCCCCTGATCAAAATGTCAATCATATTCTTTTGTCAACGCATATTCGGTATGAACGGGACCATATGGTTCTGTACTTTCCTCACTTTGGGCTACTGCGTTGCCTGCACGATCGCATTCCTATCCTGCTGTCGCCCGCTTTCATACTACTGGACCCAATACCGAGACCCGACTGGAGGCAAATGCATCTTCGACCTATATCCCTTTTATATCGGGAACGCGGTGGCCAACGTGGTCACCGACGTCATCATCTTGCTTGTTCCGATTCCGTTGATCTGGAAACTCCAGATGCGGAAGACATTGAAGGTGATGATCTCGTCGATATTCATCCTCGGGGGATTGTAAGTTACTATATGCCTTCCCTTGGTCTTTGGGCGATAGACTGACGGAGCTTAGTGTCTGCATCGTAAGCCTCGTCCGAATCTACTTTATGACGTTCCTCACGTCTTCCGTTGATATCACCTGGATTATGGCCGACGTGTTCATCTGGTCCAGCGTCGAGCCTTGCGTGGGAGTTCTCTGTGCCTGTCTTCCGACCATCAGACCTCTGCTGCGGTCAGCTTTCCGGCGTCTTTTGGGATCACTGAAAGCTGAGCGAACGTTCGGACCAAGCAGCTCCAATGAGGATGTTAATGAGCTACACCGTCGCCAGTATTTTCAACGACCAGTATATATCGGACCCTGTTCCCCTCTAGAGGCTACCGTACGTTCTAAAGATAAGGAGATGGTGCTCCTCAAATCCGTTACTAATGTTAAGATAATCGGGTCATTTCACGATGAGACTTCTCACGAGGATTGCGACCATGATCCGCTTTCTATCAAAGTAAGAAAGGAATTTCAATGGAAGGTGGAGCACCAATGAACCGACCATACAATTTCAATTTCTTTCCAGGGAGGAATAGTGTTTTCGCATAATTTCAGCGCTGGGCCAGGTTATCTGTTTTCTCGTCAGCATCATGGAGGCTTGTTGTTTTATTATATCTTGTGTCTGCAATAGAACGGTTGTATGAGTGTCTGGATGGTAATTTGATTTGATTCGTTTTGTTGGTACAGATAATTATTCCCCAGTTATCCATCGTTATTTCGTTCTGTTGAACAGTCCGACCACATCCATCTCGGCCAGCAGAGCACATGCTGCCACAACCCTAAAGCTGTTCATGTCTCTGTAATAATGACTGCGGCGCGTGATCACGAGCTCCATGCCTTCATGAACGCAAGCCAAGCAAAACTCGAGTCCGTCGGAGACGAAAGATTCTCCGTTTTCATAGCCTAGACCTTGTCGACGCATGTGGTTGGTGACCCATTCGCAGATTCGTGCGTATTCATCATTCAGTTTTATGGATTGATCTCTTTGTCTGCGACTCAACATTCCAGTCCCGCTTACCAGACAACCTGTCACGACTTCCATCTCGGTGATAGGAGTTGTCGGGTGATCGGAATAGCCGTTCATCGCGGCGATAACCGCATCTTCGTACCTGTTCCTCGAAAAATTGGGTAGTTAGCGAACTGGACTCATGCTGGAGAAGAGGACTTACGCTGCTCGGAGACGGCTTGCTTCGCCTGCAAGTTGCTTGCAGCCGCCTCGTCCCACAGAATTGCACCGCGATGTACAGTCCGCAATGAACGCGTTCCAGAATGGACCCTCATCCAGCTTGCATTTCGAGATGATATCTCCGTACCAAATATGTCCTTCGTCCACCGCCCGATATAACCTTCCTAGAATTTTGTCCGATCGGTAATACATTCGACGCTCTTCCATGTCATCATCGTCATTGAACGCCGGATGGGAGACAAGCTCGTCGAAATTGATCCGTGTTCTTCCTTGGAGACTGACTCGAGGACCCGGTGCTAAGCTGTTTCATTCTAGTGTTAGCGAAATCGATTTCCATCAAGCGATAAGGACAAACATACAAATCCGGACGGTAATTGTTCATTCGAGGAATGTCTTTCATATTCACAGGTATTCCCGATTTTGAGAAATCCACGGCGGTAGAGTGCATCTCTGCTAGCTTTCGACAGAGAGCGTCGCTGGTTCCAAGAGGCTGTTGATCGGCCACAACCATGTGCTTCGTGGCGATAACTCCCAGATGGTCGGTCTTCATGAAGTCAATGAAGAAATTGGCCATGTCTCCAACGGTCACAGCTCGCCTAATATCCACCGCTTCCACCCGCGGATAGTCGGCGGGCTTGAAGGACTGAAGCTTAGAAATAAGAGCTTTATCCCAGATGACATGATAGAGATCACCGTCCAGATCACCTCCACTCAACTGGCTAGGCAAGTCTCTCTGTCCCTTTTGGCTGAAAACAACGCAGTTTCTCAGCGCTCGAAGCGGATGGCGTGAGGGTGGAACTGTATTGATACCAAACTGAACGTCTCCGTCGTGGAGCGCAGGTGAGCGCGTCACTAGAACTTTCCCCGGAGGAGGAGGCAAAGCAAGTTTACCTTCCAAAGTATCATATGTCACGTAAACCTCACCCTCCTTCAGGAACCCTGTCTCATCCATGATTCCGTACAATGTCATTCCCTTTGGGACCGGGATACGTGCCTTGTGCTTCAGGACGCGCAGTTCCCGTAGCACGACATGTTCAACCAGAGAGCGGAGAAAGCCGTCCTTTTTGTAATCCAGACTCAGCCAGTAGCATTGTCGAAAAAGGCGATGCAGCTTGATGGTGTCTGCAATACCCTTGTCGCGCAGGAAGGTGGCAGTCTTGTCGGTGCTGGTTGTAACAGAGCGAATCTGATGCAACGCCTCTCCTTGTAGGTCCATAAACCATGCCTCAGGCGCGCCCATATCCTCGAGAATTTTTATCAATTGCCGGTTGAGGACCAGACCGTGTGGCTCTGATGACATCTTGCAGATCTCCAGATTGTCCATGTCTCTGCTATCGAACTTGATCATGGATGGCCGCATCTCGACCACGCAGCCGGGAAGATCGCTGTCCAGGGCAAGCAGGCCTTTGGCTCCACCCATGCGAATCTGAAAACATGTCGGGGTTCCCTTGTTCTCCGGTAATGTTACCCATATCAACTCCATAGCTTCACGGGAGATCCTCCCGACTCCGTCGCTGAACACTCGCGATCCATCTGCTGACTTGACATCAGGAATGTTACGGAGCTGGATGCCATTTTCGGGAAGCGAAATGGCAAACGGGGTCTCGGAGAATGCCTGGCCGATTCTGGCGGCACATTTGGCTGGGGAGGTTATTGCCGAGAAATTTCCGAGGCCATTGATGATGTTGAAGTATGTTTGGAGACGGTCGTTGTGATCGATGAAAGGGGATGCAAACTGTTCGACAATGGTGTTAGCGGTCACAAGCTTAGACTATTGAACACGAAAAAAGGATTTCCACTTACCCAGACGGAATGAGAACGCAACGAAGAGTGCGAGAATCCTAGGAACGTGAACGTGCGCCCAGCTACCTGAATCCCATGGGTGACCACTTCTTTGAATCGTATGAACACATTGTCGTAATTGACATTCGAATTAAAGAATAGATCCTGGCCATTTTCATCGCTGAATTGGACGCGGATAAAATACTCGTGGTGATCAGGGAACCTTCTTAGAATTCTGTTCATCGGCTCGATTTCGGGTCCACTCAGCGTGATACGAGTAGGAGTCACCGTCACTCGATTGATGCGTGCCAGGTTAGGGGTCGGATTGAAGAGTCCGTATCTGTACGACATATTCATTTGAATCTGCATCTGGCTGGTCCTTAGATGTTCTATCAGGGTGCTAACTTCGAAGTTCTTCGGGTTCTCGTGGGGAAAGGGCCAACCGATCATTTCCATGAGCTTCTTCATTGCGTCGACGGACACCGATGCTCTTCCGGTCGTCTTGTCATTCCTAGTCATCGCAATGATTGCTCTGGTGAGCTCAATCACTGTAGCCGGGTGGAGGTAGCCGTTGTACGCTAGCGCTTGAAGCTGGAATAGAATGCCGAAGGGGAGGGAGGCGAATCTTGTATAGTTACCTAGCACTGTTCGCAAAGCCTGAATCTGGCTGGAAAGTTTTGCTTCTTTCTCCGTCGGGACAGGCGCCGTGACAATGCGACTCCGTACCATTGTGATATCCCACTCCTTGAGTTGTTCGGTCTTTTCGTCGAACCCTTCCCGCGAGACATGGAATTGGTACACTAGGCACTGCCCGACGATTTTGGCGTGTTCCTCGCTGAGAGCACAGGCACGAAGTCGTCTTCTCTCATTAACAGGAGGTGGTTGGTCATTTAGGCTCAGCGCAATGAAATCGAAATCATGGACGCCTCTATTCGTTTCGACCTCGAAGAAGAATGGCACATCAGAAAGAGTGATCGTCAACACGCCGTTTTCCGAACACACCATGCCCACCACGGTGATCAACGGCATTCTGATGACTCGCGACTCCGTCTTGACCACAATGTCTCGTTTTCTGAATCGTATGACACCTTCTGTCGTCCAGGACTCTTCGGGGGTGTATACCAGTTCGCGATCGGCAAAATCGCAGCGTCCACAGCTCAACGTCGTCATGTGGAAGGAAATAATTGTCTCCGGCTTTATTCCCAGGCGCTTCCTCCTCTGCTCTGCTTGGTGCTCTAGGGCTCGAATAACCAAAGGGTTTGGATGGCGGTCGCCTAGCTTGCAAAAGATATCCACTCCCATAATCGATAGCCTTGGCCTGACTCGCGGTCGTCCAAGAAGCGGAGTCGGGGTCTCTTCCTGACCGTGTGCCGCAAGGAACCTGTTTCCGTCATCCTCACGAAGAAAGGTTATGAAGCCAAAGTACCTTGCTTTGGGTTTATCGCACATGAAGTCCATAATCTGCAAGCGCTCCATGATCGGATCAAATTCCCGCTTGAATCCATCTCGACTCAGCTGCATAGGGATTCCACGGACAAAAACTTCCATCTTGACGTTGTGAAATTGGCAGGGCCTAACCTGTTGTATAATGTGGAAGAAAAGAGGTCGAATCAAGGGCAGAAGGAAAGAAGACCAACAAATTCAAGAAAGACTATGGAAGAGGGACTTAAATGTAAGGCTCGGTTGCTTCTGTTGGCTCACTAGTCCCAGGGAAGTCCAGGTTTATTGCTGGAATCTTTCACTATCTCGCTTGTATAGACCCGGTTTGCCGGAGATAGTTGTTCCGGTTGTGAGAGGCGTTTGCACGTCCCGGTTCATTCACTATGCGATGCTTCTTCCTAGAGATAATTATGCCTCTAGAGTGATTATTCGCTTTGGACCTTGATTCTACGAGAGCCATTATAGGCATCTGACTTTTAAATAGAATGTTGCCTTTATTGTTGGTAACCCTTGTTCTTGCACTTGGCTTCATCTACAACACTCACGATATATCTTCGTTCAAGGAAATAGCAATACTCTCGCTACTACTGTAAGCACACAAAGGAAAAGAGGAAATAGATTCTCTTGCAAACAGAAGCTGTTATGATTAGTGAACTAGCAACTTCTGTTATTAGTTGCTCGGGAATTCACGGTTTTCTTGCACACTTGCCTTTATCCTCTCCTCCGACGGTCGCCTCCGAGAAAATACCATCCGGATAAGGCACGCATTTTCGGCCTGCCGATCCTCCGCCAGGCACCACTCTTGGCATTCACATGAGGAACTACTCCGTACTCCGTACTCGCCCTGGGGATCCACCCCCGATGCAACCCTGTCGCTGCTATTTTTACAGTTGGAAACTCTGAAACGCACCCAGAGTCAGAATTTGTCACGGGTTCCTGACAGCCGAAGGGTCTGCGATCACATGCAGGGCTGGATATGCCTTTTCGACCGTTCAGTGGCATCGAACTGACTGGTTGCACCCGACATTAATATAGCAAAAGATAAGAAATCTCTTTTTCCGGGACTAGGCCACTATGTTAGTCCTCAGACCCAGTTAAAGCAATTAAATTACTACCCCATGCAGTTCGTCCGCACGATCTACTCCAGCCTTATCTACCTCACGGTAGATCCCTCGATGAATTTACCTAATCGGCTCGTATTCAGGTCTCAGTCTCAAACAACCTCAACTCAACTGCTCGGTTAGCCGATTAGACTTTGCCGGCCTGGTTTCACGGGATAATCGGATGTCAAGAAGACCATCGATAAACTACTGCCAAACAGCGAGAACTCTAGCCAGACACGGGTTTTCCTACACTGGTACGCTAAAAATTCTCTGATCAAACAGAAAGGATCGACCTTCAGAACAGCATCAGGGGGAAATGCATGTGTCAATGAAAAGCCGTGAGATTTGGGACGTGAACCTTGCAGGCCAGGCCGAATGGAGCATATAAAGGGAGCCAGGGGCTCCTTGAACAACATCCTACGAGCAGAGCAATCCATTCACTTTCTTCTTTCAAGCCCTCCTAATATCGAATACCTTTTACAATGCTTGCCGGAAACTATTTGTTCATCGCTGGGCTCTTGGTAAGCCAGGCCGTTGGACATGGCCTGATTACTCGCATCCAGGGCGCGAATGGGGTCGCCATGCCTGGGTTGACTGGTTGGTCATCTTTTTTTAAGCATTTATCTCTGCCATAGAAAGAATACTAACAGAACTCAGTGGTGGATGGAATGCCCCGGGACTGTCCATCCGCCGCATGCGGTGGGCAAAAGGACACTGCTGTCATTCGTGATCAGGAGATGGGGAGTATCAAAGCCTCTGCTCTGGGTAGAACCATGGGAGGAGGTCCAGTCGATGCTGCTCGCGTCATTGATAAGTTTATGGGAACCCCCAAAGGCAGACGTGGCCACCCTACTTCTGCTGACCGACGTCCGTTCCTCCTTTGCCTGTCTCTCCTTAACGAACTAACGCTCTAGAAGGTCGACAATTGATCAACGATGCTGCAAGTGTTGTCACCAATGCTGGGGGTACAATTTTGAATGGTACGTACTGACTTCGTAATTCAATGACATGAGCCATGGACTAAAGTACATCTAGGCGTGCAGGATATCGCAGATAAGACCCCCTTTGGCGGAACGATTAAGAGTAAGATAACTTTCCCTCCGGTGGAGAATGCACATTAAAAAGCCACATCTAGGTGCGCAATCTGCGGTCGACGATGTCCTGAGTATTCTCCCTGGTCTCAAATCGGGCGCAGTCACCGCAACAGGTACGAAAGAGAACGGAATTCAGCTATACAGCGGAAAGGGATCCGCCCATGGTCTTCCGACCGCATCTCAAGATGGCATCGTGACGATGGTCTACCATCAGGTAAGCTCCTATTGCAGCGCAAATTGTCAAAGGAATTTGACACTGACATTTTTCAGGTGAACCAAGACGGGGCGGGCCCTCTAACAGCCGACATTGACCCTTCCAGTGGCGGAACGGACCCGAAGGCGTTTGTCCGAGCCAAGGTCACCCAGAACATACCCGGGGTTGCAGGATTTTCTACATCAAGCACCATGGACTATGAGGTCAAGATCAAGGTCCCGTCAGGTGTCAAGTGCCGAGGAACTGTCGGTTCGGCGAAGAATGTCTGCATTGTGCGGGTTCGCAACACGGCCATCTCAGGCCCATTCGGTGGGTCGGCTGCCTTCACACAATAACAGGAAATGGTCGAAAGGGGAGAATGGTGACGGCGTCTAGATATTTGTTAAATATCTGTCTCACTTTAGAAGTTTCTCATTCTTCACTCGTCGTGTGGTGCAGACGAAGGTCAAATGGTTCGTCGACAGATTGATGGTTAGGTATCATATAATTATTAATTTCGCAATGACAATGTTCAAAACCTGATCTGAACATCCTGGACTTTCCTTCGTGAGTACTGAACAACATGAAAGGTTCTTGGACCGGGGTTTTAAGATACGTAGTAACCCACCAAGGTGGCGGAAAGCGAAGGAAAAAGCATTGGCAATACACCAAATACAGGTCCATCGTGAGTAGGTATTCATCTAGACAGAGGAACCAAGAAATTCCCTCCTCAATATGCGACCGTTACCCAACTCATCGATCATAAGGCCTGTAATAGTAGTCAAACTACAGCAGAGATTCAGCCCGACTTTCACCCTGACGCTGCTTGGCTGCTTCCGCTTGCGCTTTCGAAGCCATGAGCCACGTATGGTCTACCCCTCTCCGAGTTCCAATGGAATATTCGTCACCCCAGACTCTTTTGTACTCCTCCTCTTCGAAGAACAAGGCGTTTCCTTCATGAAACCGTGCCAGGATCACGGAAGGGGGATGTCCTTGGCAGCAAAGACAGCCTTGCATGTTCTCTGGCCGGTGACGAGTGACCATGCCTGCCTTGACGCCATCTCGAAGAGCATCTTCACTGCTACAGTAGAGATCATAGATATTTTGCTCTAGTGACAGGTGCGCAAGCCGAGTGTCGAATGAGGCGTGTTCGGTGGTGCAGCGTTCCGCAGCGGATAGGTAGAAACCCCCAATGGTATCGAGATCGCCCAGACCCTCGTAGTTAGGATGACTGACTAGTCGTCTCCCTTGCGGGGAGATCGAGGTGGTTAGACCAGGCACCAGCTCCACCAGAGCCTGTATGGACGCGTCGAGGTTCATTATGGAGATGTCGTCAATGTGCCGCTGGAGGGCTGTTTCAAAGTGGGGAAAATGCATGCTGATTTTGTCTCCACGTTAGATAATCGATCTGTTAGATCTGGGGATGTGAGGAGATAAAAAAAAAAGAAAAAAAAAAAAAAAAGAGAAAGACTCCCAGGACTACCAGGGATGATAAATACAGTCTGTCATGTTAGGTAGGACCTTGGGCAGCGACTTTACAACCTTAGGCAGCCAACAACAACAGTTCAGCAACTCTAGACCTAATCGGGACTAGGGGCGATGATGGGTATCGTTTTGCCTCCTTCCTTCTTCCTTCAACAATCAACAGGAAGATACCGTCATGTTGAACTACAATCGAGGTGAGTGGGCCCATTCAACAATTATCAGGACTCTATGATAAGGCTCATCTTTAGAAGTGTACACGGGAATGCAATTGCAGTGATCTGTACAGACGTCCGCTAATCATCTCACTCCCTTGCCTCACCTAATTCTTTCGACACATACCATCCCTAGGTCCTTCCGGAGCTCCACATTTACGAGGAAGTGTCGGCGGGGTCCAAAGCACGGACGACCATGCTCAGGGACTTGTAAACACCAGAGATGTCGGCTTTCAGGGAAGCCAGACATTCAGGCAGGGCGACCTTGGCGACGTGGATGAAGAAACTCTGTTTCAAATCGTAATGTTAGTCATGATATATACCACGCCAGGGATTGATTATGGCTGAGTGCGTCAGTGGGCATAACTTACGCCCGTCTCGTCGTTGACCTTGGTGAACGCCTCCTGCAGAGTGTTTCGCTGGTCCTTATTGAAAAGATCCGCGTTGTCGGTGAAAGCGTTGTTCAGCTCGATGCCGTTCAGAGTGAGCTGGATAGTTGTTAGATCGGATCTCGTTGTTCCTGGCCGTATGGGCACCCCCAAGAGAAGCCTACCGTGTGGAAAGTCTCGCAGAGAACAAGCTGGATGGCATCGGGGAAGGCAGCGGTGGGCTGCTTCATATTCAGGTTGTTGTCTTCGGCGTGAGCGGTCTGGTTGTACGTGGAGACGACGTCCTATTGAACAAGTTCGTTAATGATGGTTCTTTTTAAACAAAAATTATTGACACTTACATCGGCAGTGACAGACTCGGTCTTCGCGGCAACGTGACCGATGAGAGTGGTTGTGTACTTGTAGCCGAGGTCGAGCTCATGGAAACGCTGCTGGATCGCAGCGGCGGCAGAGGTGCTGTTGTAAGAGCTGGCAGCGGCCGAAAGCGCCAAAGAAGAAGCGAGAAGGAGGTTCTTGAACAACATTATGAATGGCGTGGTGGTGATACGATCTGCTGGACTGAGGGCTGGTATGTGATGATTCAGTCTGGGAACTTCGTCGAGGGCTAGGAGCCCTTATATAGCGAACCATCTGCCTCCGCCTATTGCCCTCGAACCATGGTTGGGTCAGCAGTTGACGTTGAGTCCCCGTCTAGATCTACATTGGAAACTCTTCTCCTGGCCACAGGGCAAAACCAACCCGAGCATCCCCCGTTCAACAACCAGCGATTGATGTGATGGACCTGCAGATCGAGCGCAATCAAACTACACATCACGGAGTAGATCGAATCAACAATTTGTCAATAACCACGGGCCGATATCATCGAGTCAGTTCAGAGACCGAACAAAGATTGCAATGATGGTCGATCGATGAGGGTTGATCTTGGTAGAATTTGGGATTTTCTATTTCCAGTTAGCAGATCTCGCCCGAATACCGAGCCCACAGACCCTCTGAGTGGTATCGAGAAATTTTTATTGGCCAAGGATCGAAATGGGCATGCTGCAACTGCAGGAACTCCCGACGATCTCCTACATTGGGATCATCGCTGTCTCCACCGTGAAGACTTTCCCGCCAGGTCCACTAGTACCCGGTAGTGCCTTGCTGAAAAACAGGGCAGAAGACCCCTGAGCGTCAAGGGCATAAGTCACTCAAGTCAAGTTCAAGTTCATTGAGATTCCAAATTGTCGTTGTAAATGTGGATATGAGATGTGCCAACCAATGCACCGTGCTGTCGGACCATCGCGGGTTGTGGGTTCCATCTCCCGCGTGAACTACTCAGCTTAGACACGGCCATTGAGGGCTTTTCTGCGTGTGGGTGAGTAGAAACATGCCTCGAGAAGGAAAAAAAATAAAAATAAAAATAAAAAAATAAATTACGACAGACAGATTAATCCAGCCATCAAGTCGGTAGTTACCAAGGCGTGGGAGTTACTCCGTAGTTGAATTGCTCGTCTTTGTGGTCTCGAATTATCCAAGATAGTTTCGTTAATCGACCAAGAATCTTTCCCACGGCCAAGATGAAAGGCCCACTATTTGAATGCGCTGATTTGGCCTTAACTTTGTGGCAGGAAGGAAGACTAACTATTACATTGTGAATGGAATGATTAAACAGGAAAATCCACGGACATCGATTTGATCATGGCTCATGATACATTGCTAACTAGTTTTGCTATTGTCTATAGGTGTTTTGAATCAAAGCTGAAAGGAATTCTCTCGGTCGTAAATGGGCTATTTGTCCAGGAGAATTCTAGCTTAGATGTGAATCGCCGTGCCGTTCTCTTTCCGAACGAAGTCCAGGAAGACGTCCAACTCGGGGCTCTTCGCATGGTTGACAATAAACACCGCGGGCTTTCCATACGGGGCAGCCACTTGGACAGTCTGTCCGGCGCGATACGTCTGGCCCGACCAGACGTGAGTGTAGGTTCGCTTGGGGTCGGTTCCCGGGAGGTACACTTCCACCGACTTGCGTCCGGCATCGAGGACAGGCGCCACGTAGAGGTCCGATCCGAGATAGAAACTCTGGTAGCTGATTTCACGTGCCCGGCGATCGTCCGAGTGGTAAAGCACGGGCATACGCAGCAAAGGCCATCCTCGGACCTTGCTGTCGGTGTCCAACACGCGGCGGCGATAGGGGCCCAGACTACGGAACAAGCGGGCGTTGTACGCATAGTACGAGTAGGTCGTGGAGTTGGTGTAGAACTGAGCGTTCACTTCGGGCACGTTGCCCTCGTGCGAGCGGAAGACAGCGCTAGAAACCGCGGCCAGCTCGCCCCAACGTCCGAGCAGCTCAGCCGAGCGCGCGATGGCCCCGGAGGAGCTGTTGCTGGTCGGCGGCGCAAAGGCAGTGGTGTAGCCGCCAATGTCGGAATGACTGTGAGCGTAACCGGACATTCCCATCTGGCCCATGATGGTGACCGCCGACTTGATGCCGTCGTTGGTCGACCACACGGTGGTCTGATCTCCCACCCAGAAGAGGTTCATGTGTCGGTTTGCTCCGAGGGACGCAGAGCGGTGGAACGTCACCATTTCCGAAGCAAGGGGCATTTTCTGGGCCACCGAGCGCTGGAAGATAGCCCAGTCGCGGGGGTATTGGTTGTGGTAGAAGAAAGCGTCCGACGAAACGTTCTCGAGCTTCGTGTCGGCTGAGATAGGGGTATACTCTCCAAAGTCCCACATGCAACCGGAGACGTTAGCATTCCAGACTTGCGTGCGGAGGACGTCGGCAAACCAAGCGCGAGCGTGCTCGTTTGTGAGATCCAAAATTCCGGCATCGATTCCCTTTCCGCTGGAGATGATCGAGGTGGAGTTGGTGGTGGCATTTTGCACCATGTAGCCGCCTCGAGACGCTTCAAGGAACAGGTTGCGACGATATCCATCACCCTTCAAGCTCACGTTGGCGAGGAAGGGGTTGATATAGTGCAGCGTTCGCACGTTGTGCTCCTCGCGCAGACTCTGGACGAACTCGGTCCAGTTGGGATACAGCGCGGAGTCGGACTCCCAGTTCCACCACAGGCGGGAGATGTTGACCTTGCCATAGGGGGCTTCTTGAAGGTGGGTTCCGGACCTGGCACGGGTTAGCATCTTATCTCAAAGGGCTTCGCAAGGGCGCTTATACCAGTCTTGAAGCCACACTCCAGCCACCGGGCAGTCCTGCTCGAGGCCTTGGTTGACGATCTTCTTGACTTTGTCCTGGCCACCCTGAATACCCAGAATGGCACCGTGATCCACCCACTCGGGCAAGGCAGGCATGCGACCAACGTAGTCCGTCAGCATCGTGATTGCCGCCAGCATGCTCTTGGCTTGCATAAAGTGACCGCTGACCGTCCGGGCGTCGTAGCGAACAGTCACGGCGGCGGGCTTGCGGAAGTCGAAGGTAGCATAGGCCGTGTCCTCCTCTCCCAGGTAGAACACGCGACCAAAAGTACTGATATACTGAGGGATGGCGGTATAGGTCGTGAATTGGTTACCTCCGCTGAAGAAGCTCTGGGCATTCTCAATGGACGTGACGGGCTCGTCACCTCGTCCGACTCCTTGTTCGCGAGAGAAGATAGGGACGGTCTGGTTCTTCATGGAAGCAAAGGAGCCCTGGGCACCGAGACCATAAAAGTCTTCCGATGCATCGGATCCGAGGGTCAGGTAGATTCTTTCGATAGGTGCTGCAGCCTCTCGCTCCGAATCCACGGTCAGGTCAAAGGCAATACGATCCGGAAGATGCCTCGGAACATAAAAGTCGATCGCATAGCTCACGGTTCCGTTACCGCAGTCAAGCAAGAATCCCTTCATCGAGACGGCTTGGCTGTGCAAGCCCTTGTCGTGAGAGACGTGCGAGACCCGGGTCACGTTCTGACCCTGACAGCGGTTGCGGTCCACGTTGGAGATTTTGAAGTTGCCGTTCGCATCGACAATGTTGTCCTTGCCTGCGCTCGCACTGAGGAACGGTTGACCCGGGACGGTGGTCAGAATCGTCTGGTTGTTCCGATCAAAGGCGAGTTGTGACGCGTTGCCCTGCCAGTTGAGCTGGAAGCCATTGCCCAAGGGCCAGCTGGGTTGCGCCTGTCCCAGGGTGGACGTGGCGAGCACACCCAGGGTCGCCAGGTGGGAAGAGGGTCGCATCGTAGCAGAAATCCGGAGAATCGAGGATGATGGACCTTTGCAATGCGGTAGGGAAGAATCCTGCGCTCGCTGGTCTTCTTATACTCGCCTTGTTCGTCGACCCAACCGCGGATCGGTCATAGTCTTTTCTGGCGATGACCTCGTTGTGGAGCGCCTCATGGCCAACTTTTCTTTTTTCCATGGTTGTATATCCACCAGCGAGCACCCCGATTTCTTCGTTTCCTCGTCAACAGTACCGTTCTGAGCACCAATCGTTCGGTAAGCGAGCCATTGACTCGGTCGCTTCGGGTCACTTGCAGTTTGCTGCCCCGGATTCCCATTATTCACGATGACAGCGTCGGGTGGAACCCGTCGGCAACAATCTGGCCATGAATCTGCCCATTCTCGACTCCGACCAGTGCCCTTCTCCACCGAAGGAGGGACGATCCGGAGAGTCGCCGACGGCCGTACGAAGTCTGGAGTGCGCTGTACGTAGGGCGCTGGCAGGTGAACCGATTCAACCATCGTTACGGAAAGTCAATGACACCCTCCTACTCGATCTGATGTCGCTCTCGGACTAAATGTCAACAGAACCTCCACGGACTATGTGCCTCTCTATTTTGACGCCTCGAGGGACTCCGATCGACACAGTCCGGGGGTGGCTCTCATGACGTCATGAACCATCGTGCCGACCGCGTGGAGAGTGAAAATTCTCATTCCCCGACCGAAAGTCCCTCAAATTTCTTTGCTCGGGGCCTGGGGAACCAGTCTTGGTCCATGGTAGGCTCATGATTGGGCTCGTTGCTGATTGCACGCACTAGAAACAAGGTAGTGCAGCGCACTAACCAAGCATTTCCTCCACACTCTTCACCACGATATGCTGCCTCTAGGCGAGCCCCCACATGGTGTCTGCCAAGCGCCATGAATGTCGGAAATATCTTTTAACGGTCTGAATGCTGAACGGTCCATGATGTCAAGGCAGGGCATGTGAAGGTGCAAAGTTTAAAGAGTTGTTAGTGCTAAATGACACGAGTCAGATGTTCTGGAGAGGGCCCTAAGAAGCCAGGAAAATCAACACACGGACTAACTTGGCTCGTCCTCAATATGCAAGCATTCTTTGAAAATGATCTTTTACGTATATGAAACGAATATGAGCCTACCCTCTCGATTGCTTTACTCCCCACGACCGGTATTGTAGGCGTTTGGATGTCTGAGGCAAGAAGCGAAGCATCTCCTCCAAGACCCCTTTTATATAGGCAATCAATCAATTTAGTATTGATCAAGGCATCCGCTCATTGATTTCATCTTTTGACTACTACGGTGCACCTGGTCCCTGTAGAACGCCTACAGAAGCTACATCAGATAAAGATACTGTAACTGCTTCCAAAATGTGGACCATGTTCGACATATTTGTATAAAGTATAGCCAACTGCTCATTATTGAAGGAGAATGTAGTTATAGCAGCAATCCACTGCGCATAAAACCGGAACGAATTTCACAAAGTCCTAGGTGGTTTGATATAAATCATGCCGCAGCCCATGGGGTTTGGCGCTAGCGTTAGAGGTTTTATTATCGGACAGGCTCAGGAGGGATAACTGAGTATTTACCGAGCACCCTCCTTTATTCCAGCTAACTAGTTGGCACTGGAGACCGCTGAGCATTCATCGGCATCGTTACCAAAGGCACCGATATCATCCGACTTGAGTCAGCACCATGGGTCGCCCTTGTTCTATTGCTCAGTGACTGGCTCTGAAGTTTTGGGATCACATTTGCTCCAACATACGCCCTGGACACTGTCCATAAGAGCGCATCCACCGTGTTCCCAATCGCTTGGCTGACACTCAAGTTCGGATGGACAATCACCCACTTCGTTACAAAGGCTCCCGTGTCGCCGGACTTAAGCCAGCACCACGGGTCACCCTCAGACCATTCATCACTCACGGGTTTGGGGTCCCATTTGTTCCAACGGCAGATTGCCTCAGGCATCCAAACGCCAACAACTCTCTGCGAACTCCACTATTAGTGCTTCAGCTGCTCCGTACTTGCTGCAGAATACGAAGCGTGCAACTTGGCGATTATTTGCTACGCACAAACAATTCAACAGGAACCATAAATACTCTGGAAAACACTATTCAAAGGAGTCAAAAGCATTGATTACCATAAAAAGAAAAGACAACAAAAAAAAAATTCAATAAATCCCCGGGTCAAAGCCTGCCATCTCCGAATCCCCCAGCCCTGCCGAGTCCAGGGTTTGCTCATACAAATCTTGTACAGTCAGGGGAGCAAGACCTCCTACCTTGGACGGCAGGCGAACTACATGCACTTGATTCGATGCCCCAGTCTCCCGCCAGCATGAATAGATACACCAGAAGTCTAGTGGCATCACCGTGGGGTAGAAATTGAGGGTCGGCTTAATTTGCGCTCGCTGGATATCAAGCTGTTTCAATGGGACCTCTTGCTTCATCGTGTCAACATACCGAAACGCCTCCTCTGCTACAGATGCGTTGAGCCAGGTCGTCCAGTCCCTAACGGGGCGTAGGGTAGAATGTGCAGGTACGTTTAACTCCAAGTATTTTGAGGCCCGATAGACGCGCTATAGCTCGGAGGGAATCTTCAGGCTTTGTTTTGGTTAGACAAATTAGCACTTTTTGATCTGTGAAAGTTCTGATTCTCTCGGTATATTACTGTAGGCTAACTTGGCTAACCATCTTCTCCCCCATCATAAGATCAATCCCTAGTCTTTCGATTAATGGGAGCTCGGCGGATAAAGCTTCTATCTCTTCGGGTGAGAATAAGCCATCCATTTCAGCACGGCCGAGACGTCTGAAAGTCTCCATGTGACTTGTTGAAAAGCGAAGTTGACGCAGGTGATCCCCTTGATGGCGAACCACAGAGTGCAGGACCTCCTTGGGGATATCACATAACGTGCAGGCTTGCAGCTTGATGAATTCCTGTAGGAATCTATCCAAAATCAAAACCAACCAAGGTTTGATAAGGGTGAGTCCATCGAAAACTCGTATCAGAAGTGATTCTAAGTGCGAGAGACAGCCAGAGGAGAGCGCGTGGATCAACTCAGATAATCGGTCGTGCCGTCCAGGCTTAGATGCCGTAAGTTCCGATGTCGGAGATACTGTGCCCATGCGGCAGCCTGCTTGGAATCAAAATCAAAATTCGTAAAAGCGAGAAATCGAAGAGCAGGTAGCGTGCTGCCGGAGGGTAAAAGAAGAACTGGCATTGGCCGATAGCCTCTAACGTAAGGGTTGGCATGATGCTTGAGTATCAGCCGCTCCAAGTTGGGAAGAGAAAGAATGACTTTTCCCAGTTCTCGGTTCACATCGGTGTGATCAGTTAGTATACACGTATAAGTAATGTCAAGCGATCTGATATAAGGTGCGCCCATTAGTAGGTCATGGCTAACGAGCTTTTCTGGCGCGCCTTCGAAAAAGAAGCGAGCTGGCGGTCTATCATTAAGAATCTTGAATAGCCGCGGAGGGAAAGAGATGCTACGCCATCTAGCCGTATTAACTTTAGGGATTAGCTCGAATGACAATTAATAGAATGTTTCGCACCTGATGATATTGATATTGGGCAAATTCTCCAGCAGCCTGTTGACTAACTCGTCGTAGGCATGCTTGTCGTAGGACGTTCCGTATGAGAGGATAAGGATGCGAACGTAGGGAAATATTCCCACACCTATAGTCCCCTCAAGAAGAGAAGATAGTTTCGTAGTTACCTCCCTGTATCTTCTAAACATCCCTACTAGGTGAGCTATAGGGGTGGGAGGAAAAGGAAGTGAAGTTCTCCATTCCGGACTGCGGTTATCATGAGGGAAGCGGACGTGGATAGTCCTAAATAGGACGGGTGATACGAGATGGTAGAAATCACGGCAGGCCAGATTCAACGACAGCAGGCTGGACCAAGAATCCCAGCGAAGCTTTGAAGTTGATGACATTGAAGGTTAGTACTGACTGCGTGTCGCGATGAACTGGCAAGACTGTGACTCACAAAAGTAAGTGCTAGAGCCCATAACTCGCGAGGAAGAAGTTCGTAAAGGATTTTGTACTTGTCCGGACACATAGCTTGATAGATTGATGTGCAGGAGTGCTGAATTGACGATTTGGAGATAGTCGTAGATTGGAGTTCACTGTTGATGTACTGTGCTGGTGCTAGTAGCAACTTGCCACAACCTGAAGTCGACGCTGGGAAGTCACTCGGGGGGTAAATTACGCCTGCTGGTATCGTATGTAAAGGCTGTAAACTCACGGTATAGCTAGTATCTGGCTAATGTAGCTAGAGGTTAGTGGAATAGAGGACCCTTGACTGACCTGGTAGAGTTACATCGCCGGAGGCTCGATCTAATGCATCAAGTGAACTTGGCTGGGTGGGATACTACGTTTGTGTGGGCCTGTAGTGCGATAGGCGCTTAGATATGATGGACAGACACCTAGGGGCATGGACTAGCCTTGGGAGTTTATTTCCTATGATCACCAGAGATATAGTGTTTATCATAGTTAGAACGATATCACGACAATGTCATTCTGCTCTAGGGCGATTTTTCAAAGCGTCCATACAAGTTGAAAATATGTCAGAGGGTCGAATGTTTTGGCCGAGCCTTCTCGGCCTTTTGCTCAGTGCCCAGATAAAGCACTGGATCATATCGACTCCCTGTTTATTTACATTCTCTTGCCTCTACCAACGATCGCTAACGGCGTATTGCTTGGGGCATGTTCAAATCAACGAGGCGAAGCCAGAAGATTTGAAATGACACATCTGGCTGTTTTCTACTCGCGCAACGCAGTCCAAGGGCATTGAAAACGCGCCCGGTCGAGAAAGCTATCACAGTTGATGATCTACCTCGGGGATCGCCGTTGGGGAGGCTGAGAATTGCGACGAGATGACAGACTGACAGCAGTTACAGCAGTCATCCTCGTATTGATTTTCTGATCCATTGGTTCTCGTTGGCCGCGGAGTGAAAGTGGCGACCGATCGACAGGGACGTCCCCAAAAAGGTGCCCGACGAGGCAGCACAATTCCTGAGTCACCGTGACTCAGGAAGAGTCAGGGCGGTCCCTTGAGGTCCTTCAAAAAGAACGGGCGATCCAGGAGGCAGCAGGGCTGATCCACGTCGCCAAGCGCTCCTCAACGATGTTCGCCGATCTCCCCGTCCGCCTCTCGGTCGTATCTCTGGCTTGGACGGCCGCCCTGTCCGTCCCTCATGTCTTCCAGTTGATCCAGCGATCCTACGCACACCAATATCGTCTACTAGACGATTCTTCTGACGACGATAAAAATCAGGCTTCGGGGAAATCGCCCGAATCCCTCGTCCAACGCGTCGTGCTAGCGGTCGCGGCAGCCGTCGGCGCTCTAGCCGCGTTTCTACCCCTTTGTCGCGATGATGCTACCGGCGCCTCGTCGCGGATCGCGACAATCCTGCAGCTGGCGACCTGGGTAGGGCGACCGATCTACTCTCTATCTATGACGCTAATTGATACGCGCAGATCCTTCTTCTTGGCCAGGAATTGGTCCTCATCACGCGCCCCCGATCTCAAGACCGATACGCGCTCGGCTGCTTCAGTGCCGGGGCATCCCTGGCCTTGGGCGTCACAGTTGGCGGCCTCAAAGCGGTGGCCTGGCATGACACGGAGGTGCGCATGGCCGTGAGTCGCGACGTTGCGACCGTTGCGGTTCAGGTTCTCGCCGCCGCCATCCTCACCATCACAAACCTGTCCATCCCCCGAGGACCCACGACGTATCGCAATGGCAAAGAGGTGGACCGGCGCGACGCTGTTTCGTTTCTCAGCCGGTACAGCTACGACTGGGCGCGCTCGACCCTGGCTGTGGCCGTCAAGAATGGACGCCTCAACGCCGAGGACATGCCCGTCGTGGCCGACTGGGTGCGCGCGCGAACGCTGGCGGAACGGTTTGCCGCCGTCAGCTCCATCGGCACGCTGTGGAAACGATGTCTCGCCATCTACTGGCCCACCTTGATCTTCCAGGTGATTGTCCAGCTTCTCTCCGCGACATGCCGGTTCCTGCCGCAGCTGGCTCTCTTCACGCTCCTGCGGGAATTCGAGAAACGCGACGCCGGGGCCGACAATCAGACGCGGCTATGGCTGACGGCCGCCGGGCTCGGGGGCGTCTTGATGCTGTCCTCTTGGTTTACCTCCCTCATCGACTGGATTGTGGACATGCATCTGGCCGTGCCCATCCGGGAGCAGCTCTTTGCCGTCATTACGAGCAAGGCAATGCGTTTGAAAGATATTGCGGCGTCTGCCAAGGACAAGAAGGACGACTCTCTCGAGGCCGCCGACGACGTCGACGCAAGCGATTCGGAGGACGAGGATGAGGATGCGCCCCCCCGAACCAAGCACTCTATCCTCAACCTCCTGGGAGTCGACGTCGATAACATCTCCGACTTCGCGTCGTACAACCACTTGGCCTTGGACTGTACGCTTGATCTTATCATTTCGCTCATCTTCCTGACGAAGATCATGGGATGGAAGCCCACAGTGTTAGGCTGCGGCATACCCGTCCTGCTGACTCCCGTGTATTACCTTCTCACCAAGCGATACAGTGCCAGTGAAGAGGCGCTAATGGAGCATCGCGATCGCAAGTCGTCGGTCTTGAACGAGGCGGTCCGAGGCATCCGTCAAATCAAGTTCGATGCGCTGGAGAATGACTGGCACGGGAAAATCATGAAATTGCGCCAAAAAGAACTGGACCTTCAACTGTCGGTCTACAGGCTGGATCTCGCCTTGGTAGCCATCTGGTCCTTCGGGCCCATTTGCATGAGTATCATCTCGTTGGCCGTCTTTGTCTATCTAAACAACACTATCTCGGCCTCCATTGCCTTCACGGCCATGGCAATCTTTGAGAGCATGGAGTCTACACTGGCTATTCTGCCCGAGATGGTAACCGATCTCTTGGATGCCAATGTGAGTGCGCGCCGAATCGATCGCTTTTTGAACCTGGAAGAGCGCCAGGATGATCGACAATCTGGAGACAAGATTTGTTTCCGACAGGCTACCGTTACTTGGCCGTCCGACGAATCCCAAGAAGAGCTCACTCGATTCCATTTAACCGATGTCGACTGTGACCTGCCGACTGGAAAGCTCACGGTGATCTCAGGCCGCAGCGGTGCCGGAAAGACACTTTTGTTGCATTCAATCATCGGCGAAGCTGAGGTGGTCACCGGCAGCGTGACCGTCCCCAATATTGACCCTCTCAGCGACCCCGATTCTCCCGAGACGTGGATCACCGAGGGGCGCATGGCCTATGTATCTCAAGATCCCTGGATCGAAAATTCGACGATTCGAGACGCCATCCTCTTCGGCCTCCCGTGGAACGCCAGTCGTTACTACGAGGTGCTCAGCGCGTGCGGGCTCAACCCCGATATCAAGACTTTCGCCGAGGGCGACCGAACGGATATCGGTGCAAACGGTGTTAATCTCAGTGGAGGTCAGAAATGGCGACTGGCTTTTGCCCGAGCCCTTTACAGTCGCGCCCAAATCCTAGTGCTCGATGATATCTTTAGCGCCGTCGACTCGCACGTCGGTCGCCACCTCTATGAGAAGGCACTGACGGGGCCCCTTTGTGACGGCAGAACGAGGATCTTGGCTACTCATCATGACCAACTGTGTCGAGGAGCCACGGCATACTGTATTGTCCTGGGCGATGGGCGAATGTTGAGTGCAGGCACCCCTGAGGATTTGACCGCGGACACTTCGTTCAGCGCCAGTCTGTTAGACCCTGTCTCAGAGCAGTTACACCAAAATGAAAATTCCAACACTTCACACCGAAGGAAATCTATTGAGATTTCTCACGGTAAACGTCGCTTTTCTACCTCGAGTGCCACAGGCCTGACTCGCCGCCTGACTGGCCAGGAGGATCCATCCCATGGGAATGCAGCGCCCGATAAATACTACGAGGAAGAGAAACGCGAGACTGGCGCGGTGAAGTCCCAAGTTTTCAAAACGTATATCCATGCCTGTGGTGGTTACTTCCACTGGGTCCTGATCATCCTTTTCTGTCTTCTAACCTTGGTCGACAACCTAGCCGTTCCTTACTGGATGTCTGTTTGGACCAGGGCCTACGACGATACCCCGGTCTCTCCTGTGCTAACTGTCAATGAGCCATTGAACCGCGTGGCAAGTGCAGACTCTGTGGCGATCTCCGGTTTGCACGTTGACTCCAAATTGGCTTTCTACCTCGGCATCTATGTGGCACTATCGCTTTCATCTTTGTTCCTGGAGATTCTTCGCTCCCTGTTAGTCTTCCAGGGATCCATTCGAGCGTCCAAGGCACTTTTTGAACAGTTCACTAATGCCATTCTCCGGGCGCCCTTACACTTCCTAGACACCACCCCGGTGGGCCGTATTTTGAATCGATTCACCGCCGACTTTGGCGTCGTGGACTCGAGTCTGGCGTCAAATCTGTCATACCTGCTTCATAGCTGTGTCCTGGTACTGGGTGCTATTATCGCCGCCGTCGTGAGCTCCCCGGCAGTTATGGGCGTTGGCGTTCTCTCCCTGCTTGCATCCTGGGGTGTAGCCTACCTTTACATCACTGGTGCTCGGGAATCCAAAAGACTTGAAAGTACCGCACGATCGCCTATATTCGAACAAGTCGGTGCTTTGCTTACGGGACTTGCCACCATTCGGGCATATGGGAGAGAAGCTGACTACGTCGGTCGGATTTATGATCTGATTGATGACCATTGTCAAGCTTTGTGGCACCGGTGGCTTTTCGCGTCGTGGAGATCCTTCTGGCTCAGTATGGTGGGCGCCTGTGTACGTCTTTTCACCCCCCTAATCCTAGACAAATACTAATCTGGCTCTCAGTTCGTTGCCGCGGTCGCCGTCACGTTTGTCGCAATTCGCAATCTGAACGCCCCGATGGCGGGCTTTGCGCTAAGCTTTGCTCTGGAAATGTCACAAAATATCTCGTGGTTGCTGGCGGAGTATGCACAATTGGAGCTCGATTTCAACGCCGCCGAGCGCGTTTTCGAATACACACAACTGGAACAAGAGTCTGCGGACGGAGCTCTGATACCCGCCGCGTGGCCTACCAAAGGCGAAGTCGAAGTTACGGATCTACACGTTAGCTATAGTCCAGATCTTCCGCCAGTTCTCAAAGGACTCAACTTCTCGGTCAACCAAGGCGAGCGCATCGGAATCGTCGGTCGAACGGGGGCTGGCAAATCCTCTTTAGCTTTGGCTCTACTGCGTTTCCTCGAACCCCAGTCCGGTTCAGTTCGGGTTGACGGAGTAGACTTGGGCACCATTCGATTGCACGACGTCCGCTCCAGGATCGGTATTATCCCGCAGGATCCTGTTGTTTTTGCTGGGACGGTTCGCGAGGTGCTGGATCCCTTCAGTCAATACGATGATAGCGAGTTGCGTGAAGCACTCGAGAAGATCGTCGTCGAAGAAAGCGATAGCTCATCCGGAACCTCCAACGATATCTTTTCTCTATCGTCGTCTATCGCCGAAGGCGGCCGCAATCTTTCGCAAGGCCAACGACAACTCCTTTGCTTGGCGCGCGCTATCGTATCGCGGCCCAAAATCTTGATCATGGACGAAGCGACCGCATCGGTAGATATGGAATCGGACGCGCGTATCCAGCGATCGATCAGACAGGATATCCGTGACTGCACGTTGCTCGTTATCGCGCATCGGCTGTCGACCATCGCTGACTTTGACCGTATACTGGTGCTCGATCAGGGGACAGTGGCCGAATTCGATAGTCCGTCGGTGTTGTTAGAGAAGGAAGATGGAATTTTCAGGGCGATGGTGGAGCATAGTGGTGAGAGAGCTGCTATCGAGCAGATGATAAAGCCTGATAGACCTTAGATAATTCTTTTTTAATGTTTTGATCATTTTTCTGGATTAAAAGTATACTCAAGCAGGCCTTCCTTTTTTGTCCAAAATAAATAAATAAATCAAGCAATTTTAAATTTCGAAAAAAACAAATTGAACAAGCAACGAGACAATGCATGCCTGATTTATGCCTGATGAATGCCTGAGAAAGTCCCTCGGCTCAACTGCCCTTCTGGTTCGGGCTCGAATGACGTCATTGCTATCTGCGCTTTACCTGCGACTCAATGGGGATTCCATCGTCACTGTGCGACAGCCAGATGGTCTAGTGCAACCGGATACTCCATTAGCATTGGGTTGATTCGGAGTATGTTCAGACTCAGCAAATACTCAGTCCAGAAACGACAAGACTCGGCATGAACTATAGCGTGACTCTAATTACAACAACTCTTCAAGGCAATTAAGCAGTAAACATAATCATTCCCCTAACCCTACATCCCATTTGCCCCTCGCTAGGCGAATAAAACGTTATTAAGCGCACTATCTATGCGGGTGAACTATTAACATGTTCCTGATATATTGCCCAAGATCTTCTTTCGCTAAGTGACCAATTCGGTACAGAATGTCATTTTTTGTGGAGCCTTTGCCCTTGAAACTCTATGATAGTCTACTCTCGCAATATACCTCTCTCGGCATCTCCCGTCGACTCTTGCAGTTGTTCCCTTTCTTCAACCGTTAAATCACCCCCGGCCTTCCCAACCTTGACAAACATGAGCAAGATGAAAGCGACGCCAGCACACGCAACTCCGAACCAAAACGCAACCTTATAGCTCCCCTTCAGACCAAGATACTCAGTCTGAGCGACCGCGAGATCAGTCACTCCCAGGAAAAAACTGATACCCACGAAGACAATGCTGTTGATTACGGCCCCCGCAACCCCCTGTCGGTGCTTGGGCAAGTTGGTGGTGATGAAAACGTTGCTGACGCTGTAGGTGATGTCGACTCCGACGGTAGCGCCGATCATAGCAGGGAAGATATATGCCCAGTAGCTGGGGTTGTCCGGAATCATGGCGAACAGTAGCACGCATACCAAGTTCCCGGCCGTCCCGATCATCATCAGAAGCTTTCCTGGCAAGAGATGCAAGGTGAAGCCGCTCGTAGTGGCCAGAATGAGACCCCCAGCGGCCATTGGAGCGAACCAGACGGCCGTAGTCAGGGGATTCTCTCCCAGAATGGTTTCGATGCTAGAGTCCAAGTTAGTTAGATTGCCGCCATTCCAAAGGCAGTCATTCAGCCCAACTTACTAGAAGCTAGCGTAGAATAAGTAGATCCCGAAGATGCCATAGGTGAAGAGTAATGACACGAAAAGCGGAGTCATCGACTTGACTTTAAACAAGTCAAACGGCAAAAGGGGGACTGGGGCCACCCAGCCTTCGACATAATATGCGCCACCGAGCAGAGCGATCCCTAGGATGAAGGTAACAATGATATAAGGGCTTTTCCAACCGTTGGGCGCATGGGAACTATCGGTCACCGAGTACACCGCCAGAAGAATTCCTGGCACGATCGTGAGACATCCCCACCAGTCCATCTTGCTATGTTCCGACAGTTTGATGGGTGGTAAAGAGAGCGTCGATACCACGAAGATGATCAACAGCATGATGGCCCCTATCCAAAAATACCACTGCCAGGTGAGGTAATGCCCACTCACGCCACTGACGCAGATCCCTGAGTAGAATCCGATCGGAGAGAATGCTCCATACAGACTGAAGACCATATTCTTCCGCGGGCCAGGGCGGTAGATTGTTCCCAGCAGCATAATACCGGCGGGCAAGTAGGCGGCAGGCCCCAGTCCTTGCAGGGCACGACAGAATATCAACATCATATAGTTTTGGCTCCATCCAGCAACAAGCGACCAGATCATGAACCATAGAATCCCGAAATTGAAGACCAGGTGGGCACCGAACATGTCGGCGAGGCGAGCGAACGGTAGGAGAAAGGCCCCGGTGACCAGGGAGAACACGCTGGCCGGCCATGTCTTTGATTCTGTAGGGATGTTTAACTCCGTTGCCAGGACGGGCAGGATAGAATTAAACCCGCTGATGAAATACTCCTATGCGGTGTTAGTCCCCTGGAGCCAGAAATGCTCGAGCGATTTCCTTACTGCTAACATCATCGAAGCCAACAGCGAGAAGCAAAACCCCAATTCAACCCATCGGTTCGTGAAAATTGCTGGTCTCTCTCGCCCCAGCTGCTCTAGATTGGCTGCATCTCCTGGATACTGTCTGTCCGCTTCAGTTTGACTGGCTATAGTCCGTTCCCTCTTATCATCGGGGTCCATGGAGAAGCTCCCGCTTGACTTGAGAAGATGGTCATAGGACGCTAAGAGGCGTCAATCAGGAAAGCAAGTTAAAGACATTTGAATATATACAGTACTCTGGCAGTCCAGATACTTGGGCACAACGGCGCACAATTTAAGCGCGAAAAACCGTAGTGGGGATTCACAGACACTTGATTGCATTTTCTGCTTTTCTTGATCCACCGCCAACCAAAGACATACTATTAGGCTCTCGCGATGATATAAAATTGAGCGAATGGACTGACATGCTGGTACTTGCTCGCTCATTGTTGAATCTTGGATCGACGCCACTTTTCGCGTGGCTCCACTCGGGCTCCAGCGCGTTAAACCCGACGAGGCAGCCAAGACGCATGATTTGCATTCGCAGGGTTCACGTCTTTTCTCTTCTCCACGTTCTCGACCCTTCGCTCTGATAGCGCGCAAACTAATGTTCAGGTTTCCTGTCACCGCAAAGAATGCTGCGTTTCAACCCCTCCGTAGTCTCTAACCTCCGCCTTTCTCTATCTATGCACATCACTTGTGCTAGGCATATCCAATGCCAACCCCGTCCGTATGGAAAGCCTGCCATAACTGCCGGAGAAACCGACTCAAATGCGACCGTTCTTATCCATCGTGTCAGAAATGTTCGATCGCAGGGGAACAATGCCTCGGGTACGGAAAGCTTTTCCTCTGGAACAAGGGGGTAGCCAGTCGGGGCAAAATGATGGGCAAGTCTTATGCAGCGCCGGTCATCGTTCCAGCCAGTTCAGGTCAAAAGGACACCTTGAGTAATGGCTTAGGAGGGGAGATGACTTCCAATAGCATCTCACGCGGGTATGGAGCTTCGGGAGCATCGTTGCAGATGTGCCTCACCGATCCATTGTTTCAGGACGTGGACAGTTCTTGCAGACGTTATTTAATTCACTGTACGCCACTCGATGAATTCTTGTCGCCTCCACTACTTACTTACGTCTATTCAGTTGCGGATCACCTATCCCGAGATCTGGTAGTGTCCGATACCGTAAATGAGAATCCATTTCGCGGCCTGATTCCGTTGACTGGGGAAATGCCTATCTTGCGGCATATCCTAGTCGCTAACGCAGCTGTGCACATCGCGAGTATAAACAGACGAGTTTGTCATGTCAGCCAAAGACAGTCACAATTGCAAGCCTCAATTCAAGGCTCTCTAGAGCAACCTCGTCTTTCTTCGATTAACACCGATCGTGCCATTGTGGATGCTCTGTCGGCAAAGCACAATGCCATCAACCTGCTGCGCTTTGCATTGCAAAACATTCAAACCATAAACACTGACCTTGTCGTGACCGTTGTGCTCCTTTTTGTCAATTTTGAGCTTCTCGTGTCCGGCAAAAACGAGTGGAGAGTGCATCTTCAAGGCGCGCTTCGACTTCTAGGCTGCTTGAATCTAGTCCAGGGCGACCAATCTTCTCCCCTAGCCCTGATGCGCGACCGAATCACATCGGATTGCTTGACGTACGGTTCCCTTCACACTTTAGAAAGAGCTCTTGGGTTGAACTAATGGGTTTATAAACTAGGTATTATGTCCTCGGCTCGACACTAACCCACTTTGACCCTCTACCAGACCCCCCGGAGTTCAATGCTGGGATTCTAGCAACTCTGAGACGAGGTGAACCTAATAGCTATTTATCTTTTCCAACAACGCTTCTTGATATCCTATTTAGAGCCTGTGAACTAGCAAACAAATTATTCGCTAGTCTTACCAAAGGGACCGATCAGTACAGTTCGCTTGTGGAAGAGGCTTTGTCTCTTCTCGCAAGCATTGACTCCTTCGATATAAACTCCTGGGCACTATCGATCGATAGTATTTACACCCATCGAATGGTACGCCGTATGCACACGGCTTCCGCCCATCAAGATGCGGTTCGAATCTATATTTGTCGGAGTGTTGGGGACCTTGATTTGCTGGGGTTCGATATAGAGCGCCTAGTTGAGAATATCATTCACCACCTGTCTTTCTTGGATGCTGAAGACCCCCTTTTCAAAGCTACGGCTTGGCCGACTTTCATTGCCGGTGCAGAGACTAACAATCATGCCCATAGACAGTGGGCACTAGAACGCTTGGACCAGTTATGGAGTGCAATGCCTTGGGGGTACGTACAAACTGCGAATGAAGTCATGCGAATGGCCTGGGGTCTGAGAGAGAAATCGCCATCGGGCGCGGCATTGCAAGCTGGCTGGATACATCAATTGAAGAGTCTGGGAAATCATTGGTTGATTGCGTAATGGCTTTGGTCTCAGATCTTGCCAACAAGAATGCAGTGAGATACGGAAACAGAATGAGCACTCCCCCCCACCATACGAGAAAACAGAAGTCCAGCTTCGCGCTATCTAAAGAAGAACATCCTCCGAGACTTGTCTCCTTCTCACCAACAGTTGAACGTTCGAATCCGAGCTTAATACCCACCCCATTTTCATCACCGCGGGCGTGGTTCCCTCGGGTAATTTAAAGTCATACTTCATCAGAATATGAACAAGAGCAATTTTGATCTCATTCGCCGCAAAGAATCGTCCAGGACAAGCATGCTTGCCGTGGCCGAACCCGAGATGGTCAGGGCTGGTCGAAACCAGATGGCGGAATTTCTCTTTCTTAGGATCATCCGCCATTTTTACGAATCGGTAGCCGTCAAATTTCTCGGGCTCTGTGTAGGATGACTCGTCAAAATGCATTTGGATTGGAATGCCGATCTGGACGCCCTTTGGGAGGAAGGTTCCGTCGGAGAGAGTGACGTCTTCCAGCAGCAGACGACGCATCAGGACTATGGGCTCATCAGTACCGCGTGCTGGGATTTGACGAGACAAATGAAAGGCATGGAAAACGTACGCATTGCGCCCGGTTTAAAGCGCTGGGTTTCTTTTATTACACTGTCCATGAGTTTCAATTTGAAGAGCCCAGGCTTCGTCATTCCTTCTTCCTTGAGCACTGTTCGGATTTCTTCACGCATCGGCTCTATGTATTCCGGATGCGCGCAGAGATCATAGATGACCTGGCTTAGAAGATCCGTGGTCGTATGGATGGCTGCCAAAGAAAACCCCAGTTGCAGCAGCGCGGGATCGTAGGGTCTCCCCTTGGAAAGCTCAATGGCCCATTGGATGGCGTCGTTGTATGTCTTCTCGGATCCGGCCGCATGCTCGGCCATTCGCTTGTCAACCACCGGTCGGATGATTCGAACGGCTTCCTCAATCTGCGAGCGGACTTTGCTGACCTCGGGCACAAAACGCCAGATCAATGGGCGAATAAATACGGGCCATTTCTTGAGGGCCATGACGCCGAAAAAGACATTGATTGTGTAGTCGATGGTGATTCGGAGCCAGGCAGGGTTCCGGCAAATATCCGGTCCCAGAAACACTCGAGATGAGAGGCGTGCAACGATCTCAAGAAGCGTGGTCTTCAAATGAATTTGATGCCATTCTAGAACCACTTAGCGGGCATATCTATCACTAGACGAGGTCAAATGAACCGACCTGGGTTATCCGTCCACTGGTCCTTGAATGTCAAGGTCCCTTCCTCTGACAGATCCTCGGTGACCAATCCTATCAAAAGATTAGCCTAGGCGCGAGATATAGCAAGATTGAAAGCGCATTCTCACCCAGCGACGGGGTGACCTTCGCCTGAATCACATCATTCGCCATGTCATTCAACCCCTTACTCGGGTTGAAATTGATAAAGGCCGGGATATGTCCCAGGAAGTCCTGTCACCCGTCAACTTCGCTTTGTTCAGTTACTCTCCGCGCAGCGACTTACCTTATGGAGCAAATGAGTGAAGCTGAATCGATCATCCTTACGGATCTCATCGGCATACTTGGGTGACAGTACCAGCACTTCAGCGTTGTCGGTCTCAACACGGAACGCTTTGCTTGCCTACATAATTGTAAAAAACGTCAATGCGACTGCAGGAGAGAGTGAATCATATTCACTCCGTACCTTGGTAAAACCTTCGTCTAGCAACCCCTGTGCGTTCCATAGAAAGGTCTGTTTTGACTGGTTACCCGACTGAAACAGGCCGGGGTCATTGATTAACGGGAGGCTTCGCAGCCGAAACTGGAACAAGAGTTTCTGAGCAAATGGGCGAATAAGAGTAATTACTGCGATTGGCAGGACAAGATTCAGAACCAGGACAGTGCTCAGCTGACCCGGAAACTCGCTCAGCAGATTGCTCAACATGTTGTGTAGCACTCAACCCCAGCCGGCGCACATTAAACCCAGCAAGGAATTGTGTAATTGGACGACCGGGAAAACCACATTTTTAAACTGGAGAAAGTTTATATGAGGGACCTTCAGCTGCCCGAGGATTTCAAATCCCAATCGGACCAGCTGAAGGTGCTGTATTCGAGTCGGCCTCGCCATAACATTCCCAGTTCATCTGCCACGATAACTCAGGCTCACGAAGGCAAAGGGGTAAGCCGTAGCTCGGCTATTGTTTTACCTTCTGGCCAGCTCCCGTGGGGGTATTTCCCATCCAGCAGCAGAGAATGTCAACCTCGGTAGTTTTACGGTACTACTCCGGTGTACGTAGTGTGGAGCATCGCAACCTTCAAGCCAGCGTGAATCGTATAAATCGCGAGCGGCGAGCCTATAGAATTCTGGACCGCGCCGCCCTGTGCATCCAATGGTTTTAGTTGCCACGAAATGGCAGGGTCCGGGGTCAAGGCTCCATTAGCGCCAGAAAACGCCAATCGGATCCCACAGGGTGAATCCATCCGGACATTCGGAGTCTCGAGTCGTCCTGCCGTCCCTTTGCCGTGACCTGGGATGGACCTACCGCCGTTCTTTATTCATTCTAACCAATCAGGGGGGTTGTGGATGGCAGGATGTCTTGGTGACGTGCCTGGAACGTCCGGGATATCGTATCACACACCACCTTCACAGCCCAGTCCGCAGGGATTGCCAGTAGAATGGAAAGTTTCTATCGTGTATAACGCAATCCCCTCGCGGTCACATTTGATTAGGAAGCCCTGACAAATGGCCTTCTGCATTCCAGTGGCGTTTATTTAATTTCCAGGTTGATGCAGGTCAGCTCGTCGTAGACTTAATTACTACTGCGCCCTCCCACATCTGATCGATCATCCTGTCAGATAAGATCATTGAATCCAGTCCAGGCTTAGCCGATTCGCAATCCAACCAGATTCTTCTTCATTCCTTTCTGCGCTTCACTTCAGAGCCTTCCCACACGCAAACATGGCCAGGATCGCTCTCATCCGGGCCAGCACCCGAACCCCCGCCGTGGGCAAGGACGTCGCCAAATGGGTCGGTGAGATCCTTCAGACCCGACCGACCGATGACCTCGAGGTTGAGCCCATTGCTATCGCCGACTTCAATCTCCCCATCTACGACGAGCCCGTCATGCCGGCCATGGTGCCTGCCCTGAAGCAGTTCACCAAGGAGCACTCGATCAAGTGGAGTAACACCATCGCCTCGTATCAGGGATACGTCTTCGTCATTCCCGAGTACAACTACGGTCTGTCGGGGGCCACCAAGAATGCTATCGACTACCTGTACAACGAATGGCCCGGCAAGCCCGTTGCCATTATCAGCTACGGTACCCAGGGCGGCAGTCGGGCCAATGCGCAGCTGAGTGACAGTCTGGAACTGGTCATGAAGCTGAAGGTCGCGCCGACAAAGGTGCTGCTGCCGTTCGCCCCCGGGGCGGATATCATGACGGCCGTGAATGAGGGTCTTCTGGGCGAGGAGACCCTGAAGTCCTGGGAGGAGACAGGAAAGAAAGCGGAGGTTCTCAAGGCGTTCTCGGAGGTCAAGGACCTTCTCGCGAAGACAGAATAAATTATTGATGCAAGGATTGGCTCTGTATGAATGTACATACTTTCTTTCAATCTCAACCGATGATCAGCTTAGCCCTTCTAGAGCGTAGTCTCTTTGACCTCCGTTCAATATTCGGCTTTTCTCTTTTCTTCATCTCTACTTAGCTCGCAAATTCAATTAGACCAGAGGGACACACGAGCTTGAGGGTTGTAGGTTTTTCGTATTCCACTCGATAGCATCTAAATAGAGTATGCTATGTATATAACAGGGTCAATCGAATTCTTCGGCCTCTGCCTTTGGCATTCTAGCTCTCACGGCCTTGAACTGCTGTAGAATCTGATCCCCTTCATGATCATGATACCCATCGTTTTCAATGAGACTTTGTGCCAGAGAGTCCATTATCTTCAAGGCACTCATGATGTAATCACATGATTTGATGGACCGCGAAATCCCCTTGAGAACAGCCATCGTAACTTTGGTATTGCTCCTGGTAAAGCCTTAGTTTATCGTGCCGTATCGTGTTAGGTAAAAGAAGTCTTACACCATATTTGCCAGCTGTGGAGAGCAAAGCAGCAAAATACTAGGACCCAGCTCGGATTGGAACACCGACCACCGCTTCCCGTATCGTTTCCGCTCGTGAAACAGGGCTCGCAACTGAGCTCTTTTCTTCGTATCGAGCTGTTTCCAATTGGGAGTCGTCTGCTCCAGGATGCTGTCGATCATGAGTGTCCGATCCCCCCGCCCGACGCCCATGAGACATCGGCGTTTGCTCTCTTCTTGGGACTTCCAATCTCGATAGCTTGCCAGATATTGGGTATGTAAAAGAACAAGTGCAATTCGCTTTCTAATTTGATCATATTCGATGCGAGTGTCCAGTTGAGAGACGCAAGAGTAGATGTTCTCAAGAAATTGATAGCTCGAGTTGTTTCGGTGGAGACCGGTGGACGTGGACGGCATCCAAAGACCGTCTTTGATCCAGGCCGAGACATTGGTCGTGAGGAAATCAAAGTAGTCCTTCCTAATGCAACAACGAAACATAAGAGCTGCTTTGTGTGAATTGCTCCTTGAAGCAGCGGATGTCCCACTCTGCGCACTAAGCGCCGCAATGCGCCGAGGAAGGTTTTTTGCCCACACGAGCGAGGAAATTGGCTTGAAGTCCTCATCATATTGACTGAGGTCGCATTCAACTTGTACTGTGCTGTGTGGAGAATTCCGATGTTCCATTCCTGGCTCAAATTGAAGTACATCGAAGCTACTGTTGTTCTCTTTTGCGTCGAAGTCTGACTGGGGTGGCGTTGGTAGTGTCGCTACTGTTAATCTATGAGCCTGATCGCTTGGTGCAGGCGGCTATCACCACACTTACATGGATTTGAATTGTACGTAGGAGATGACCAAATGTCTGTGATGTCATCTGTGTTCAGATCTTCCAATATTGTATCTGGAAGCCCTGACTGTTTCATGTACCGGTCAGTCTTTACGCGATACGCTTCTTGTTGCCTATCGCAACCCGCAACCCGCCCGACCACAATATCAACTCTTCGCAGCTTACCTGATTTTGGCTGAAGAGAACATTGGAGTCCATGAGATGATCACTGACATCCGCGAAGTCGAAGAGGCCTTGAGGAACGGGCTCAAGCTCGACTATTTCGCTTGGAGACGTCATCCCAAAATCGAAATATGCTTCCCCCGGAGGAGTCACTGTATTGGTATTGAGGCACAAAGATGGAGGGATTTGATCACTTGGAGGCAATCCAATTGTTTGAGTCGGAGCTCGTCCATCGAGGACCAACATCGGTATCGACACCGCCCCATCAGGTCTTTGAACTTGCAATGGTTGGATTCGATATGGCTTAAGACGAAGGGCTAGACTTTCCAGCTCCAGCGAATTGGCAGTATCCAGAAACAGTTTAAGAGCATCTATAAATTGATTATTTGAAGTCATGGTGACATCTGGGATATCATTGGGAAAGAGAGACTAAAGGACATTATCTGAAGGCTCGCGACGACACCAACGGATATACTCGAGAATCAGGCGTAGCTGAGCGAGGTCATACAGGTTAAGACGAGGAAGCGGACAATCTACCCGAGCATCGTCCAATATGACAGGCCGACCCGAGCCCCCATTTGCTTACTCATGTCATCCAGCGAATATTCCGAGCGAACATGAACCTAAAGAGAAAGAGTAACAGAATGGGAGCTTGATTGCAAATCTTTCCTGTGCAGGATTTTGATTCCGTCATGCCGCAATGAGATCCGACAGAACATTCTGCGCCACTTTTGCAGCATCCCACACCCAAAATGAGTGCTGCATCTTCACCACATCACTGTTTTGATTACTTTCCGAGGCTGCTTTTCTTTCCCGGTCTCGAGCTTCCTGGGCTTCCTTGTCTTTAAGATGTAGTTGCTCCCTTGCCTTGTAGGTTGCCGCTTGGATCGGCTCCACGCGTTCTTTTCGAGACTGCTCGTATGCACGTAGGGCCAGTGGCAGCTGCGCCTGACTCTCAATCATTGAGAGCACGGTAGCAATGGCCGTGGCATCTTCCACGGACTGGGCCACTCCTTGACCTAAATACGGGCTGATAACGTTAGCATGTCATTTGATGTCTACCGGGACCGTTCACCGTTCACTCACAGCATGGCATGACATGCGTCTCCAAGTAGAACCGTGGAGCCCTTCACCCATACCGGTGACGGGGGATATAAGAACATGCGGAAATTTGGCACCGCAGCCGGTGCCAGGTCGATCAGCTTGCGAAGTGTTGGATTCCAGCCCTGAAAGTCCGAAATTACGTTACTCTTCTCGGCCACGGATGTCCATGATTCTTCGGCTTGTCCGTCGTCTGGATGGATGAGAACGACGTTGAGCAGCTGGTGATCTCGCACGGGATACGCAACGACGTGTCGCGAAGGTCCGTCCCATCGCGTCGCCCAGGATCGTTCAACCAACTTCCGTAATTCTTCGTCCGAATCGAGCAGGTCTCGAGAAAGGGTAAATCGATACGCGGCTTCGCCAGTAGGCTGAGCTTTGGCTGCCTCTGGCGGGCATACTTTCGCTTTCAGCGTAGACTTGATTCCGTCCGCCGCTACGATCACATCTCCCACGACGCGCTCTCCCGTGGCAAGAAGGACCGCATTTTCTTCGATATCCACATCTGTCACGCGTGCTCCCAGCCTGATTTTGATATTCTCCAGTTGTCGGCATCGATCCAGAAGTGCCAGCTGAAGATCTCCATGATGTATCGCATTCTGCTTTCCTACCGGGTTGGCAGCTGTTCGAGTAACCAAGTCGCCTGTATCCCATTGCGTGAGTTCGATTCCATCCAACGGTACACATGCTGAATCCTCAAGTCGAAGCACTCCTTCCACTGCCGATGTTCTTTTAGCCCCTCGGTGTCATCAAAACGGTTGTATAGTCAGACTCACATTCATACCAGCGTCTCGTCGTTGGCGGCAACGCGACGCCTGCTCCGACGTGGAGAAGCTGGTTTATTCAGCTGGCTGCATAAAGATACCAGATTTAATTCGTACCTGAGAAGTTGATTCCAGCACCAGCACACTATGCCCTCGACTCGCAAGGGCGACCGCCGCAGATAAGCCTCCAATACCTGCGTTCAGAGGGTTAAAAGAGCACTCTCGTCATCGATTGGCTTTCTCCTACCGGCTCTGTCAAAAGGTTAACACATCTGGCCAATTTCTTTACGTACAATCCAACGTACCCTACCACAATTACGTGGAATGAAACCACACATTTCGAGTACCCAGACGACATATTGAGAGCTGACGTCGTCCTAGGTTCTGAAGGAAAACGCCGGTGGGCTGTGCTTTTCTTTCTTTTAATTTACGTCAAGAGCACACGGAGTGGCACGGCCGATATCACGGTAGCATAGGTCTGATGTCGCACAGTAGATTATATCGATACAAGTGGCAGTATGTGACGGCAAGTGATTACCAAGATAGACTTTCTATGATTCTATTAGTAGTGTATCCCGCACATCAGCACTTGGCCAAAGAAGCCTTAGTGGATATTTGATTGAGGGCCCTCTACAAAATGCTCTTCTGCTCTGGACATTTACAACCAGCATGGCTTTCGTAGGGTACTGACGCACCTAATGGGCCTTTCGCTAAGGTTATTCGCCTAAACTGCTTTCGCTCAAAAATGCGTTCCGAATATGTCCATGTCATACGATCGCGAGTCATCCAGTCGCCATTGTGCATTCTCGGGTCTTTTGGTTTGCTCCGTCCCAAACTCTGTCCGATCTCGGGCTGTTTTCTTGTTATTTAGCTGTTCAAGCTACTCATATTCATATTTCCTCTGACTTTCCGTGTGGTTCAATTTACATCCCGACCATGGCAGTCAGAAAAGGCCAGGATCGCTTTCGCGTGGTGATTGTTGGTGGATCGATCGCCGGGTTGACGCTGGCACACAGTTTACATCACGCCGGCATTGACTACGTGGTGCTTGAGGCTCGAGATCGTATCGATCCCCAGGTCGGCGCATCCATAGGGATCTTCTCTAATGGTGCCCGCATTCTCGATCAGCTTGGGGTTTACGACGAGATTGAACGATACACAGAGCGACCGGTATGGCATGAGATGATCACAGGGGAAGGGAAGCTTATCCAGAAGGTGGACTCACTACAATTAATTGAGGCACGGTAAGCTCCCGGGTCACAGTTATTGAAAAGAATGCTTCAATTGATGGGTTTAAAAGACGGTTATCTAACATTAACATTAAATAGCACGGGTTATCCGGTCTCTTTCCTGGAGCGACAGCGAGTTTTGAAGATTCTCTACGATCGCTTTCCGGATAAAACCAAAATTCATACCATCAAAAAAGTGACTTCGGTCGATCAGCTGCCCGATGGAGTACGAGTACACTGCGAAGATGGTTCTCGATTCGCGGGCGAAATCGTCGCCGGCGCGGATGGTGTTCATAGCAAGATTCGTCGTGAAATGTGGCTGCAGGCTGAGCGCAACAACGGTCTGAAAAATCTGGCTGCAGACAAGAAGAGTAGGTTGAGGTTATTTCGGTGACAATAAACCACTTCGACTGACAGATTACAGCTTTATCGGCAGAATACAGATGTCTGTTCGGTATGTCATCTCCAGTACCAGGGCTGGATTCACAATGCCAGTATCGCGCATTCAACAAGGACTGGTCATTCTTGGTCGTGGTTGGCAAAGGTAGGCAGGTCTTTTGGTTTGCATTCGAGAAACTCGACAAGATTTACCGTCCGCCAAATATGCCTCGGTACACCGAAGCCGACCAGACGGAATTTGTAAAACCGTTCATGAAGCGATATGTCTCGCAAACCGTTACCTTCGACGCGGTATGGAAAAGAAAAACAGCGTCTTCTCTCACCGTCTTGGAGGAAGCAATGTATCAACATTGGACTTACGGCCGTTTTGTTTGCCTGGGAGATTCTGTTCACAAGATGACACCGAACATGTGAGATACCTCGCGCCTTTGTTGCTAGCAAGATCATTAACGATCATCTAAAGCGGCCAAGGAGGAAATTGGGCGATCGAGAGTGCCGCCACTCTCGCAAACAACCTCCATGCCCTTGCTGCTAAAACCAAGCGTCCGAGTATTGAGCGCCTGCAAGCGACCCTTAGAGACTACGAGCAAACTCGGCGAGCACGCACCAAAGAGGTCTGTGAAACCGCGGGCTATGCCACTCGACTCGAGGCTTTCGCCACCATCACACACAAGATATTCTCCTTGTACGTGGTGCCAAACACCGGGGACTTGCTCGTGGACGTACACTGTCAAGCCGTGGCGCAGGCCCCCAGATTGGACTTCTTTCCCATCCCCGAGAAGTCCCTGCGTGGGCTGATGCCATTTGGCTCTGCACACAATGACAACCAGCGGGATCATCTCGCTTGGCGGGTGTTGCGTGCGCTCCCTCTTTTAGGCTTTTTTTACGCTGCACTCCTGGTCCTGGGAGTTCCGGAGGCGAACGCAAAGTTTGAAGGGTTCTTACCTTCGCTTGAACGTTTCAGCCCGGCAGAAAAGCTTGAACTGATTGGGTTCCTGGGTGATCTTGCTCCCTTTCTAACCATCGTCACTACCGAAAGCATCCGAAGAGGAAACAACTTCACCGTTGCCTCCCTTTGGCCTCTTTTCGGCCTTTTCGGCCAGTGGAAAGGGCTGGGGCTTACGGTCCCGATATACCTCTTCTTTCATTATATTCAGTCCTCATTGGAGAGATACGCCGCTCCTGACAACCGTCTCGTGCCTACGAATTATGCGAAAACGCTTGTCGCCGCCATCGCCATCGGCTACATTGTCCCAACAATACTTCTTTTCTCCGGTGTCGCAGTCGCACCTGTCAGTACTGCTTGGCAGTTTTTTCCTTTGACGTTGATGGTCTCGCATCGTGCGTTATCGGTGTCGGTTTCCGATACTACCGCGCAGGACCGGATCACCAATCCTTGGACAGATATAAAATATCTTCGTCGAGCACATGCCATTGGCGGCATTCTGAGCGGACTTACCTACCTTGGACTTTGGTCTACCACACCAGAGTACATGATTCACAAACACAATCTGTCTAATATGCTGACTTGGAGGGGTTGGAGTGAACCTACGAAGTCAGGCCTTGGGGAGCTTGTCAAGTATAATCATTTAATAACTCTTGGGAGCGGTCTCTTTTGGCAGTTGCTCCATTTCAGGGATCTTAAGAGTGCGAAAAAGCTGGATGCAAGTTGGCTAAAAATAATTGGCTTTTTGGGTGGCACGGCTGCCATGCTCGGACCGGGTGCTGCGATGGCTGTGGGATGGGCATGGAGAGAAAGCGTGCTGGCAAGGGGTTAGGCAAAGGCCCTGGGGATTAATTGAACTTATAAGAGATACAGTTCGCGAAGATAGTACAGTTAAAACGCATAGAGTTGAGCCTTTATTCTCTCGCGATTTATATAGTAGAATGTGTACCGTAAAGAACCAAATTAGAAGAATTGAAAACATTAGAAGTAGGACAGAGTCTTTGCCATTTGTTTGAATAGCTCATGGTTTGTTTACAATTTGGTTATCAGAACTCTTCGTTTCCATACTTTCGAGCGTATTGGCCAAATGCTCGTATAGGCCAATATAACTTGTAGTTCGAATAAGAAATCACTCTAGATTCAAATCAGCATTGTGTCACTGAATAGGTTTCAAACTAGAGAGTGAACATACCCATCTCCCACACCTCCTTCGAAGGCTTCTTGAAGCCACTGCCCTTTGGATTGCTGCCGAGACAGGATCAATCTCAATCCCCTTTTAATCGGTTCTTTGTCCGGGTAATTTGCGTCCATCAAGCCCAAACAGACCCATGCTGTCTGCACAACCTGGGAGGCTTCATGCTCAATATAGGTTTGTTCTTTGAAGCTGAGATAAGACTCTCCCCATCCTCCGTCTTCCTTCTGCTTTGACAAGAGGTACTCACAGCCTTTGCGAGAATACTCGCTTGTCTTGTATGTTTCTCCAGCCAAGGCAAGAGCCTCGAGCGCGAACATCCCAGCATACGTAAAACAGATTCCCCAGGCACCGTGCCATCCGCCATCCGGTTTTTGAGAGCTCTTAATGAAGTTTAGCCCTCTAGTTTTCGCGTCTTCGACTTCCTGGGCGCGATATTCCGGGAAGTACTTGGTGAACAATGCCAGGGCTGAGACCACAGCCGTGGTACATTCCACATAGTCGTAGCTGACCATCGTCTTTCCAGCGAACTCGCCAGACTCTAACCACTCCAGATTGTGTGACCCCTGTCTCTGTTCGTACACAGAGAAGCCACCGGTGTCGTTTTGCATTTTCAGCAGACAATCCACTGAGTCCTGTAGTCTTTCAGTCGAAATGCGATTAGGGACCTGAAGTCGCATGATCTCCTGCAGCTGAAGAACCGATCTCATTCCTTCTCCGGTGCACTCGCTAATCATATAGCCTTGGTATTTGGTACTAAATGGCCAGCCTCCCTTGCGATGCCATCGGTAACAATTAGCCTGGTCAGGTATGTTCTCCCTGAGCTGGTGATTGTCCAAGAATGCATGAGACCTGAGGAAGGTTTGCTGATAGCTAGGGTCGTCTGCCAGTCCGGCTGCTGCTATAGCCTGCACCGCCAATGCGGTATCCCATAGCTGAATACCATCTGATAAGTTGCAAGTCATGCCTTCGTCTTTCATCCAGAAATACTGCGAGATTGTTTCTCTGTGTGCTCGCACAGATTCACTGTCATTGCCTTCATGGATATAGCACGCAATCAAATTGATCGCTTTGCTGATAGGTGACAGTCCAATGTACTCTGTGTTCCTGTCTTCAGCCCGTATCAGCTCCCACACTTGCTTTTGCGCGCTTTCTACTGTAGTCGCCTTTCGGAAGAAAGGGATATACACGGCAACGGTCAACCAGTTCATCAGATTGACAATCCATGATTTGGGGTGGTTGTTATCTACCTCAGAAAGTGAGGTGCGATGCGCAGCAAAGTTGATCGTGGCGTAGGGCTGCGTGTAGATTTCGGCGCGGAGTTGTTCGGTGATCTCGTCTCCCGGGTATCTCCATGCCTTGGACCAGACGTAGGACAGAGACATGAAATTGGTCCGCGTGTGGACGTACCATTTCCTAGGAGCTATGGGATCCGAGTCCGCTGCCAGCCTAACTGGCAGTTAGCATTTCCCGTCCGTCCTCGGGGAAGAAAGGGACTTCATACCAGACTTCGGGTAGGAAGGGATTGACGCATTCCCATTCCATCACCCCAAGAACGCAGAGCCAGAATTTAGCTATACCCGGCGCGTACAGCCCGCCACCGAGGCTGTGAAGGAACCCTCGAGCCTTAATCATGCGAGGGTCTTCTTCGCTGGTCCCCAGCAGACGCAAAGCGACGTAGTTCAAGACCGTTCCCAGGTTCGAACTGCGCCCTAGCACATGCCATCCCCAGCCCCCATCGGTCCGATTCTGTCGAGCAAAGAGATGTCGCTTGATCTCGATCGCGTATGCCGGGGGAATCGGGGTCTCGGTGACGTACCATGCGATGAGCACGAACGGCAGGATGAACATCGGGCCGCTGCATTCACTGGCCCACTGTCCGGAGGGCAGCTGCAATTGACTGAAAAACGAGGCCCCATTCCGTGCGGCCTCCAACGGGGTTGAGGGCTTGGGCAGATCTGGCAAACCCTAAGCCGATCATCAGCGCGGATTCATGCATTTGGCGGGAACGAGGGTCATGGACGGACCGTGTCCAGTCCAAGGAAGTACTTCTCGTAGACTGTTTGAGGCCATTTATCGTTCTCGACGTCGGACTCGAGATAGTGCCATGATTGACGGCCTTGTTTGTCCACCAGCCTCCACCTTGTGTAGTCTGTTTGCTCGTCCCCATTTGCATCCCGCGACAGGTGGCCCTCGGCCGACGTCGTCCATTTGGCAATGTGATTCTCCATTTCTCTATGAGATTCTACGTAGGTCTCAAGATTCGTACGTTGACAAATCATTGATTATTACCTGTTCATCATTCTTGTTTTATTGTTCTCCCATCATCTCCTTCCTAGGGCCGTAGTCTAAGCCATCAAGTCCAGCGGTCCATCATGGTACGCCGACACGCCGCCAGGTTAACAACACGGACCGGATGTTAGGTGCACGACGCTGGGCCAAGGAACATGGGTCCTGTATTCCTGTCAGATAAGAAATTGAGATTGCCCCGGCTCGGCTCCATTTGCCTTTCAAGAAATGCGAACATCGCCAGGATGCAGTCAGCAATGGCTCGGCTCGCCCTGCCCTCGCTGGCCTCTCGCTGGCTGCCTGACGGGTCGGGCGGCTGGTTTGTTTGTTTGCTCTGTTTGTTTGCCATGTGGTCATGTGATCCTGTGTTCTTGTGCTGTGCATTGCTAACAATGCAGAGAGTGACTCAGCACTGCGCAGTTATACGCACATGACAGCCCGGACAACGGCAGATCGAGGGTTCGACTCTCGTCGCTGTCGACGTTCCAGTAGTTTTCTTTTTTTTGCGTAATCTCTCAGATTGAGATATGCAATATACTTTTCTTTTCCTCATTGTCGGAGGTGTCAGCTATGAGAATATACGGACTAGACTATATAGTTCTTCGCTCGACGTAAAGTGGGGGAAGTATATGCTTCTGCCAAAAACTTCGGTTAGATCTGAATATATATCTCCCCAACTTTTCCAACAAGAAGAAGCAGAGTGAACTCGGTCTTGATAAAATGGGACCGAACTTGATACATTCTGAAAAAAAAAAAAATAGCCACCAGTCTTTTTTGATCAAGTACTGTAACAATCGATCGTCTGAAGAAGATAGATGGCCCAGTACTCGATGGAGACGCCAGCTCTGTTTGCATTGTTTGCCCAGGCCGTTCTGCCGCCTTCTTCCGATCACCGCTTTTCCTCTGTTTTCGCTCTTCAGCATCACTTCGTGTTTCCTACGGAGTTGCAGGCAGACAAGCAGAGTGACTTGACATCAGACGTGTATTATGCAATTTGCTCATAGATCTTGACACTAATAGACCAGTCTATACAATCTCCAATCTTTCTCATTACATCTTCGCTGCAGGATTACTAACCACTCAAGCCATCCAGCATTCGCGACCTTGCCAGCTTTCCGAGCTCAATGATCGAGTCACTTGTCGTCAATTCCAGAATTGTTACGTGCGCCGCAAAGTTTTGGATCCACCAGGTCTGCAGCTCGATAGCGATCAGCGAATCAACACCGAGTTCGGCGAGTCCCAGATTGAGGTCCAGGTTGGAGTTATCGCTAAAAATCAGCAGCGTCTTGAGGCACTCGGCCACGTGCGAAGCGAAGAACTCGGCCACGGCCGCTTCGTCGTCTAGGGCGCTGGGATCCCGCTTTGCACTCTCTACGAACCGCCGCAGCGTGTCTCCGTCGTCTCCGGGCGCGTCCTGCGCATGCTCACCCCCTTGACTGACTACTTCGGTCTTCAGGCCCAGGCCACGCGCATCGGGAGGATGTTGGCCCAATCCGACGACGAATTGAGCGGGATTGACATAAGTGGAGGAGAGCGACGGCGGCGCGGGCGGAGCCTCGGACGAAGCTCGGATGGCCAACTGCAAGGATCCAAGGAAGTCATTCTCCCGGATCAGTCGGGCCCCGGCGCGTCGCAGATTCTCGAGGATGGTCGGGTGCTGGCTGACGAACCCGATGTCCTCCATCACGCCGAGGTCGATGACCGAAGCTGGGAGGCCTTGCCGCTGTCGGAATTGGACGAAGGAGTCGAGGAAGGTGCTGGCAGCGGCGTAATTGGCTTGCTTTGGGTTTCCTTGTACGCCGTAGATGGAACTGAGAAGGACAAAGAATTCTAGCGGCTGGTCCTTTAAGGCGTGGTGCAGATTCCAGGTACCCTGCACCTTGGCCTCCGTCGCGGCGGTCCAGCTGTCGAAAGACATCTCTAAGAGAGGTTCGTCCTGTCGAGCGGTTAGAGAACAAGAATGCGCTGAAAAAGAAAGGTAAACAAAAAGAGATAAGGTACCTTCAACACAAGCGCCAGGTGCAGCACGCCGGCAATCGGCTTTGCCGTATTCGTGACCAGAAAATCGACCGTCGTGGCATCTGTCACGCTCCCGGGGAAGATTTGCACCTGGCATCCAAGTTCATTTAGCTCTCGCGTCAACTTCTCGCTTTCGGCACTAGGAGAGGCCGATCGAGACATGAACACGATCGAACCGGCACCGCGTTCGGCCAGCCATACGGCGGTGGATCTTCCCAAACCTCCCAGGCCGCCGATAAGGACGTAGGAGCGATCCTTGCGGAAGCGAGCCTGGCCCGCGTTGGTCTCATAGGGAAGCGCCTGCGGTTTATCTGGGAATTCGACGCATACGGCACCGATCGGTCGATTGCCTTGGAACTGATGAAATGCGAGTTTGATTTCGCCGGGACTGAACCGATTGACAGGAGACACTGGTTTGATTAAACCGTCTGCGTACAACTTGAAAGTAGCCTCCAAAAGCCTAGGGTGATCCGTCAGCCAGGTTCGCTTCCGATGTGAATGCAACGATACAACTTACCGGCGACCCAGCGTAGGCTTCAGAGAGAGCAGAGCAGCTGTATCGATACCGTGAAAGCCTCTGTTCCCCTCGAACATGGCCATGTCGAGCTTTCCATGACCCGCCATGTCCCTTCCACCCAAGTCGATCATATTACCGCCCTCAGCGACGCATTTCCAGCTCTGGTGGAGCAGCTCGCCCGACAGAGAATTGACCACGACATCTACACCGCGAGATTCTGTGTTTTGCATGATGTCTGTGACAAAGGAGCTGTCCTGAGAAGAGAAGATATTCGATTCTGGAACTCCGTGTTCAGTCGTTAGGAACTGTTTCTCTTCCTCGGTTGCAGCGGTCGCGTAAATCTGCCATACTTGATTAGCCAATACGTGAAAGGAGTCAAGCATCTTCGTGTCTTACTTGGGCTCCTCTGGTATGAGCAACCTGAATTGCAGCGATTCCCATCGCGTCCGCAGCCGAGTGAACCAAGACTGTATCGCCGGAAGCCAAACCACCAATTTCCACAAGGCCGCGAATCATCGTGGCGTGCGTGCTGGGCAGGGCGACTGCCTCTTCAAACGATAGGCCGTTTGGGATCTTGATGCACCGTTTCGCATCAGCCCGCACGTGGGTTGCCAAAGAACCTGGAGACCAGCAGAGCACGCGGTCGCCCACTTGGAAATCTTGTTTATCCACCAGTTCTCCGACGCTGGTTATGAGGCCTGCGCTTTCTAGCCCCAACCCGCGGTTGCTGTGTACCGCGCCGGTTGCGATAAGGACATCCTGGGGGTCTCAGCGGTGATGAAAACTGCATATATTCAGAATGAGATGAACCTACCTGATAATTGACTGAAGAAGCTCGCACTGCAATTTCCACTTCCGCCCCTTGCAACGGCAAATCTCGGGAGTCTCGTAACCACTGGAGGCTGCTGAGAAGCCCTGGCTTGGCAAGACCCAGCTTCCAAGACGATTTGTCGACAGGCAGGGAAAGTACATCATCGCTCTTCTTGGTAATGAACCGCGGCACTTGGACGGTGCCACCCAGCAGAGCGTACTCGCAGTCCAGCGTTTGCCTTGGCTGGCTTTGGATCTTGTTAAACACTTGCACAACCGACGCCCACGGAGACGATTCGCCAATGCTTTCGATTTCTAAAGTAGCAAAGAGAGTTCCCAGTTCTAGTCGAAGGGACCTTGCAAAACCCAAAACCATCGCGAAGTAGGGGTTATCGACAGCCAATTGAGCCAGTCCCGTCACCCAAAGAATCTTATTGCTGTGAGAATGGGTAATGAAGCGAATGAGAGCGCGAAAGTCCTTTTCCGACAGACTTTAGAAGAATGGTTCAGGTCCATCGACATCGAGTAGCGACACGACATCCACGGGGGGTGTGGGCAAATCCCACAGAGAACAAAGGGAGACCTCGTACCCTTCAGCGTGAAACTGCGACGTCAACTCCTTCACCGCTCCTGTCACTGTGGTCGGATCGGTTACAAGGAGGCTCAGCGGTTTGTACGAAGAGACCTCTTCTTCAATGGCTTGGGCCATGATAATATTGTCGAGTTGGAAAGGAGCTGCTTGGTCCATTACAGAGGATACGCCATTGAAACCAGCCTTCTGCAAGATGCCGTTCCATTGAGAAGCTTGAATATACGGCTCGTCGGGACGGCCGTCGCCCTCTCCCAGCCACCAGCCAGAAAGCGTGCCCTGAATCAATGGGTTAGTCTATCACAATTGCCTATACACCGAGGCATGGTGTGAGTTCTTACCATTATATAATTCACCCATTTAGCCTCTGAGGAAATGGTTAGAACACCACCGAAAGGTCCCGGGCAGAAGGTGCTTACCCGAGCATAGTTCAAGCATGAAGATGCGGCCGCCCGGTCGGAGAAGAGATCGGCAGTTCTTCATGGTCTGTAAGAGATCTGGAGTAGCATGAAGCACCTAGAGCATATACTTAGTACAGATCTTTCCGAAAGTCATGCATTGGACTCACGTTTGCAGCAACAACAAGATCATAGCTGTGAAGCTCCAGGCCCTGCGTCGCGGGATCTTGACTGATATCGAGGACAACGTATTCAATCCCTGGGTGCTCGCCGAAACGCTCCTTGGCGGCCTTGAAGAAGCCAGATGAGATGTCCGTATATGTGTAAGTGCCGAAGGAACATCCACCGCCAGACATAGTCAGAGCCGGAACGATCGTTGAGGTGAAACCTCCGGTACCAGCTCCGATCTCAAGAATGCGCAGAGCCTTGTTGCTATGGCCCAGCAATTCGAAAAATTTCTGGTGGTCTAGCATGTTGAAGAAGTTGTAGATTTCTATGAGCAGGTTGTCTTTAAGGAGGATTGCAAGAGGCTCTGCAGCACCGGTGAAGATATTCTCAACATCATCATAAATTCTCGTGACTGCGAGTGCAATGTCGCGTGCCGGCGTCTCCAGGGCGGCTGCTTTAAGCTCCTCAATTGAGGATTCACACTCTTGTGAGCTAAGGTGGAAGAGTCGGTCGGTATCTCGCACCACCTTGCTGCCCTCTCGCTGAATGTTGGCTACATACTGCTCATTCCATTCCTTGAAACGTTGGAAGTGATGCAACGATGAATCTAGAGACTTCAACTTTCTCGTAGTCTCTAACACACAGAGAATGTTCAAGCGTTCGACAAGCTCGAGACAGCTACTCAAGTCCGTGGTTTGGTGGACCACTTGATCGAGATCAACAAGATCAACATCTGGTCGCCACTGAAGTAGTCTTAGCTCCTGCAAAGCATCGTCGGTAACGTGGTTATCGAGAACACGGAACTCGACTCCTTTGGCCTGCATAATCTGGGATCCATCCGCAGCCTGAAAGTGCCCAATGGCCGATACCATGTCAGCGCCGGAAGACACGGTCTGTGTCTCACATTGGAGATCTTCCAAATGACCGCCATGTCCAATGTAAATCTCCTCGATGTGAACCGGGAGGACGAGCTTGTTCATGAGCCGCAGGTGACCATGGACCGAGCCGAGAATGCAGCATTGCAGAAATTGATCCACCGTAGTGGGGTGAAATGTGAAGGGTGACTTCTGAGATGGTTGGACAGTAGCCGATACTTTATTCTGTGCGATGCTGTAAGAGATGTTCTGCAGTCCCTGAAATGCAGGTCCATACTCCAAACCGGCCGTCTTGGCCGCATGATACCATTTGGTGGCATCCACCTCGCGGGTACCATTCGTCGCTAAAGACGTGCACTCTCTAGGGAAAGATGTTGAGGCCTTTCCGGCGTGGACTTCGCCGTTGCAGTGTCTCGTCCACTTGCTCCCGTCATACGACAGGACTGTAAAGTCAAACCAAGAAGAATCTTGGTTCGTAGTAAGTCTATGGGGCTGCAGCCGGGTAATGATCTCAGTTGATCGAGAACTCTGGAGAAGCAGGGCGGACCCGATGGAGAGCGAGCGAAGCGTGAAATCAGTCGAGCCCGAGAGCTGTCTGATAGCTTCACCGGCCATGGCCACATACCCGGCGGCAGGGAACACTACGTCGTCAGCCACAACATGGTCAGAAAGCCAGGGTACATCTTTGAGTTGCAGGAGTTTTCTCCAGCTCGGCTCCAGGTCATTCCCTCCAACGGTCCGAGCGCCTAATAGGTCATGTTCGGGAAACTCCCTGGTGCGCAATTCACGAGAGATCCGGCTCTCGTTCCAGTAGGATGCATCGTGGGTCCAGGGATATGGGGGAAGATTCGATAATGTGGTCCCCTCGGGATTCATCGCTGCGAAGTCCAGTGACAGTCCATGGCAATACAGTTGCCCGGCAGCCGTGAGAATGGTATGCGTGCCTTCTGTTCCTCTGCTTAGACAGCTGGTATAGGAGATGGTTTGATCCAGCTCTTTGCAGATCTGGCGGAACGGCCCGGATAAAGCGGCATGAGGGCCAATCTCCAAAGCCATACTGAATCGCTGCTCTACTTGGAGCGCACTCTCCACGGCAGCCAGGAACAAAACCGGATTTTCCATGTTTGCCCTCCAGTACGATGGACCGAGCAGGTCAGCCTCATAGGTGGTTTCACCGGTGACGCTGGAGAAGAAAGGAATAGAAAGAGTTTCCGGGGAGGTTTTGATCGATGCAATCAAGCCTTCATAGCAAGACCCAACAGTTTGCATATGATCTGTGAAGAGTCAGTATCTTTGTGCTCCATTTAATATTTGATGGATTCATATATCCTACCCGAGTGATAGGCCCTGTCGACACGCAGTTTCCTAGCCAAGGCTTCAGGTCTATGAGAGCGTACCCTCTCTAGGGTCTCTTCTACAGCAGCGAGATCACCCGAGATGGTTACACTGGAGCGGCTATTCTCACAGGCAATAGTCGTGCCCTTAGAGAGTATGTCGGTGACTTCATGTCGACCCAAACCAACGGCTGCCATAGCGCCCGGTCGACGTTGATGCATGCTGGCCACGCCGCGATAGAACGCCACGAGAATAGCATCCCTCATGTCAATTGCGCCGGCAGCATACGCCGCGGCAATTTCGCCACTCGAGTGGCCCACCACTCCCGCTGGATGTACATCCCATCTACGGAGTAAATTGACCAGAGCAACCTGGATGGCAGTACATAGGGGCTGCGCATATTCAGCCGAATGGATATCCTGGGCGTTGAGCAGCACGTCTAAGAAATTTCCGAGTTAGATTTAGCACCTCATTGCTGCTATTAAGAGCCTCATACCTTCAATCTTCCACGATGGCGCTTCTACTATCTTTGAAAGCCATCGATCCATTTGTTGAATGTCTTCTTTGAATGAAGGGAAGTCTTTAATAAGCTCCCGACCCATCCCAGGCCATTGTGCTCCTTGGCCCGTAAACACAAAAAGGAGGCCTTTGGACCCAGAAACTCGGACTGCCGGCACGGGCTCGAGCGCCTGGCCGTCGGACACGCAAAACGTCCTCATCGTCTGGTGATGGCGTCTTGCGCCCAGGGTGTATGCCAGATCGGGAATGCGAACAGATTCGGACTCCAAAAAGCCCTGATAATTAGATAGCATCTGCGTGAGGGATCCCTCACTATGCGCGGAAAAGACAAGTAGCCGCTGGGGCAAGGTCTTGTCTCCATTCACATGGACAGACCCGTTGGTAGGGGAGGCAGAAGGACCAGCTTCGAGAATGACGTGGGCATTTGCTCCCCCGAGACCAAATGAATCAACACTGATTCTCTTACTGCGCCCTTTTGGCCAAGGTGTGGCTTTGACAGGAACGGTCAGTCTTCTTTCGTGGAATGGAACTAGAAGGTGATTAGCTTCGGCTCTGATGCGCGACATAGAAACTGCTCACTTTTGGGATTGGGAGTCTTGAACTTGATGTTTGGTGGGATCATCTGTCGCTCTAGAGCAAGGACGGCCTTAATTAGACTGCTCAAGCCAGCCGCTCCTTCTCCGTGGCCAATGTTGGGTTTAACCTGAATGACCTTGATTAGCCTGGGGCCTTACAAGCATTGGGATGAGTTGATCATACACTGCCAATATATGTCCCCTGGTCACCAAACACCTGTACCACCGCGGCCACTTCGAGGGGATCACCGGTTGCTGTTCCAGTGCCGTGGCATTCTACCATCGGTGTGTCCCCCGGGTTGCTAATGCCCGCCTTATCATATGCTCGTCGAATCAAGCTGGCTTGCGCTTCAGGACTCGGGTTTGTCAAACCAACGGTTTTGCCGTCGGCGTTGACCGCCGTACTGCGAACGACAGCGCGAATAGGGTTTCCGTCTCGCAGTGCGTCGTCCAGCCGTTTCACGTATATCGCATTCACGGCGTCTGCACGCGCATAACCGTTGGCGTGGGCATCGAACGTGTTGGATGAACCGTCGGCGGACAGGGCCCCGAGATTGTCTAACGCTAGGAAGTATTCAGGTGACAAGAGGAGGTTAGATGCGCCCACGAGCGCGCCGGAACAGTCGCCGCGTTGTAACGACTCGCAGGCCAGGTGTAAGGCAATCAAACTGGAAGAGCAGCCCGCTTTGACGGTCATGCTGGGCCCACGAAGGTCGAATTCGTATGATACACGGTTGGCGAGAACGAAGTCATCCATTCCTGTGATGCCGTAGACATTTCCATCTTGCAGGTCTCGGGCCTGCATCTGGAGCCAATCTTGACCGAAGCTGCCTGCATAGACAGCGATGTCGGTCCCCCGCCAGTCGGTCTCGCCCGAGTTCTCGAGCGCTTCATGCATCACCTCGAGAAGTAGTCGTTGCTGGGGGTCGACCCGGGCCACCTCGGCCTGTGACATGCTGAAAAAGGCGGCATCGAAGCGATCCACCGGCTCATCCAGGAAGTAACCATGCTTCATGGACAAGCTCCCGGCCCCCGCAGCATTCTTGTGGAAGCCGTCGGCATTGAAACGCTCCGGAGGGATGGGTTTTCTTGCGTCCCTCTGGTGGACAAGCAAGTCCCAATATGATTCGGCATCGTGACACCCGCCCGGTAATCTCAGTCCGATACCAACAATGGCTATGTCGCCGCTGGGACTGGGGTTCGTTTCGGGTGCAATCATGATGAAGTGTGAAGTTGATAGTTTGTTGTCGAAGATTCAAGGGCAGTATAGCACCCCATCGGCCTGTGATATGGAATTTTAGATGACCTACGGGGATCCCCAATTATGCCTCTATCAGGTTTTCCCTTCTAGATACTGATGATCTGCAGCGACAAGCTGCCAAGCGTGCCCTGGAAGTGAAGGCCGTCACGATTCTCGGCAACGCGGCCCGATTGCAAGGCTGACGCACGGCAATCAAGTCGCTCAAGTGGCGATCTGCGATCCTGACCGGCCTTCGCACGCGATGCAAACTGCTTTCTACTCCGCCTAGAAACCACTGGGCCCCATTTAACGCTAACTATTACGGCTTCAACTTATCGTCTGGGTGACTGCTTGGCTCACTCGGAAGCACCCGGCCCATGGCGATTCGGCATTGTCTTACCAACTAAAACTCGCCATATATGTAGGCCCCATGCGTGCATTCCGTCTCGCCTTGCCTAGCAGGGCCTGGACCAGGATGCAAATACTAATTCAAGTAAGCCGACGAGATCCGCTTTTTAAGAATGGTCCTCACTGGCTGGCTTCCGCGCATAAGCATGCAGTAAGCAATCAAGTGACCTTAATCGATACACTTATCTTGCTTCTCGATGGAGCTTGGATAGGGTCAAATAGAGGCTTTATTATTGTTAAGACCGTTTGATTACACTCTACGTTGCAGCTTCATTCTGTCGATTCATACTGGACGCCGCTGCATTATCTAACATGGCCACACAGCGAATCCTCCTTTTCGGCGACCAGGCGGACGCCCCCATTCCTATGATCCGTCGGGTAGTTGAGAAGTCAAAGCATTCCAAGAATCTCAAATCCTTTCTGCAGTGCGCGATCGACCATGTGCAAGTGGAAGTTGGCAAACTCACACCTGTCGAGCGGGAGACCGTGGGCTCTTTCCAAAGCGTGCAGGACTTGACAACGTCATTGACGACGAAGTCCGACCGTTTTGGAATTGCCCAAATGGTGCTGGTGTTTATTGCGCGAATTGGAGAGCTGATTCTGCAAGTTGTCACCCTTCCTATATTCGACGGATCGTTCGTTAACAATTTGCATTCAGACACGCGGAAAACGACCCATCACTCCTGAGCAATGGTAGCCATTCCATGCCGCTTCTCTCCCTCGGAATCTGTGGGGGATTACTTCCAGCTGCCACAGCGGCAGTGGCAACGAATGTAGGCGAATTGATCGAGGTCGCTAGCTACCTCGCCGGCGTGAATTGCCGGGTCGCGGCGACGATATCGCGGCGTTCGGTGCAGATCGAGGACGATACCGGGAGTTGGGCCTTTTCAGCGCTCGGCAGCGTTGTTTCCCAGCTTCCACAAATCCTTGAGCAGTTCCATAAACATGAAGTAGAAAGTCCCGAGAAAATTTGAACCAGCGAAGATGACTGACTCGAGTAATCAGTCAATTCCCCGGCATCGACAGGCATATATCGCGATTAGCACCCCTACGTGGGCTACCGTCTTCGGACCACCATCAGTGCTAAGAAGGCTCTTGGAGACATCTACCACGTTGAAACGCAGTGAGATAAGCATATTGCCCGCGTTTGGCGCTGTTCATGCCGGACATTTAGCAGCGCCAGATTTCGACGAAATCGTAGCAGAGAGCCCCCTGCTTGACCGGGTAATTAAGCCAAATTTCAAGCTGATCTCTGGAAGCAAATATGAACCTTTCACCAGCTCTACCCTGAGAAAGCTTATGCCGGAAATCTTGATGGATATCTTTCAGAACAGCACAAATCCCGCGCGGCTGTTTGAGGTAGGTGGATCCTACCTGGAAAAGAGTAAAGGGGTTTCACTCTACATGCTTGGCGCCACGAGCTATCTGGTATTGCTTAGACGGTCCTTGCATTTGCAAGGGCTCAAGGTGACATTGTACACCGGTGCCCCCAGTATTCCAACTTCGGAAATACGTGGGGGGTCTGGGGCGGTCGCCATTATTGGCATGTCAGGCCAGTTCCCCGGAGCTGATAGCATTGACGAGCTTTGGGAATCGCTAATGAGGCGTGATGAGCTCCATCGAAAGGTAAGCTGTGCCCAATATTATGCGATCGGTAAAACCCTGACAGAGCCATCCAGATCCCTTCTGAGCGGTTCAATGCCGATGACTACCTAGACGAGACGGGACGAGGAAAGAATGCCATCACCTCAGCCTTGGGCTGCTTTCTCGAACGTCCCGGTCTATTCGACCATAAGATGTTTAACGTCTCACCCCGAGAGGCAATTCAAATGGATCCTGGCCAACGGTTGCTGATGCATGCTGTCTATGAAGCCCTCGAGAATTCTGGTGTTACCAACAATGGCAGCCTTGCCACAGACAGCAAACGCATCGGTACCTACATCGGCGATGGTAGCGATGATTGGAGAGAGCTCCAGCAACCACATGGAGTCGATAAGTACATCCTTCAAGGTACCCAACGTTCATTCACACCCGGACGCTTGAATCACCACTTCAAATGGGAAGGAGCGACATTTTGCGTGGATTCTGCTTGCGGTTCGACCGCGTCAGCCGTGGGATTGGCATACAGAGCACTCATAAACCGGGATTGTGACACAGCCATTGCCGGAGGATCCAATATTATCGCCACTCCGTTCTGGCACTCTGCTCTAAGTAAGGGTGGCTTCTTGTCTCAGACGGGAGGCTGCAAGACCTTTCGAGAGGATGCAGATGGGTATTGCCGAGGAGAAGCGATTGGAGTCGTGGTGATGAAACGGTTGGAAGATGCCATTCAAGACAACGACAATATTGTGTCAGTAATCCGTGGGTACGCCCGGAACCACTCAGCAGACACTGTTTCTATTACACGTCCTCACGTTCCGACCCAAGAACGAGTCTATCGAAGTGTCCTCCACTACGCTGGTTTGGAGCCAAACGATATAGGCTACGTTGAGATGCATGGAACTGGCACGACCGCAGGAGACTCCGCAGAGCTGGAGTCTGTTGTTAATATTCTGGCCCAAAAAGGTGCTCGCGAAAGTCCTCTGGTGGTGGGTGCCATCAAGGCCAATGTGGGACATTCGGAGGCTGTAGGTTCTAACATTGCATGAGGCTGAGCAGTGATCAGATGCTAAGTACCTTTCATAGGCCTCAGGGATTTCGTCTATCATGAAAGCAGCCATAATGTTCCGGAAAGGCATCATTCCGCCTCAGGTTGGAATGCCTGAGAAACTCGGGAAATTTGATTGCCTAGATCAGGGATCTATCCTAATTCCCGGCGCCCCTGTTCAATTCTCGCGTCAGGCAAATGGAAAGACACGCAAAATCCTTGTGAATAACTTCGACGCCGCGGTAAGTACAGTTGAACCAGCAAATTACAGGTCCGTCAACTTATTCATATGGATAGGGAGGGAACAGTTGCTTCATTTTGGAAGAACCGCCCATTCCGGCAATTAAAGACTCCGATCCTCGCTCTCACCACGTTGTTGCATGCTCGGCACATTGCCCTGCATCCTTTGAGCAGAACAAGCGACGGCTACTTGATTTCTTGACAGAAAACCCAGATACCAACCTCGCGGACTTGGCGTACACAAGTACCGCTCGCCGGATGCATCATTCCCTGCGATCAGCATATTGGGGAGGCAGTACTCAAGACATCATTGACGGTCTGAATAGAGACCTCACCCGAGGGACTCAAGCGGATAAAGGAACCCCACCTGTTGTATTTGTGTTTACGGGACAGGGAGCGCATTACGCTGGAATGGGTGCAGACCTCTTCAGGACATCGCCGCAGTTCCGGGCCACAGTGTCAAGCCTTCAACGAGTATCTACCGCCCATGGATTTCCACCATTTGTTCATTTGATTTCAAACCCTGATGTGGAAATGGCAAGCGCTAGTATTGTTCAGATTCACCAGGCATTGATTGCCCTGGAGATTGCCCTGGTTGAACTTTGGAAGACCTGGGGAATTGTCCCGGACCTGGTGATCGGCCACAGCATTGGCGAGTACGCCGCGCTTTTCGCCGCCGGTGTCTTGTCGGCAACTGATGTCATGTATCTAGTGGGCAAGCGGGCCACACTGGTTCATAAAAGTTGCACAGAGGGCACTCATGGCATGCTCTCAATCTCGGGGACTGCTGAAGAGATTCTTGCTCTCACTTCAGACGAGAACGTGGTGTCTAACTGCGAAGTTGCATGCTTCAACAGTCCTGGAATGATTGTTCTAAGTGGAGAACGCTCGCAGCTGCAGCTGATCGAAGACCAGCTGAAGGAGCGTAATATCAAGAGCAGGTTTCTGGACGTGCCCTTTGCTATGCATTCGTGTCAAATGAATTCTATCGAGCACGAACTTCGGGATGTAGCTAATGGTTTGCGTTTCGGCATCCCAAGGGTCAAAGTTATCTCGACTCTATTGGGCAAAGAGCTCACGGAGTTCAATGGCGATTATCTGGTGCGACACACTAGAGAGCCTGTCAAGTTTGACCAGGCAATTGCGCACTCACTTGCCGAACACCTCAGTGAGTTAACACCACTTTGGCTGGAGATTGGGCCGCATCCCATCTGCCTTGGACTTGTGCGGGCCAATACTAGTGTGTCACCTGATCGTTCCCTCCCGAGTCTCAAGAAAGGCGAGAAGAACTGGAAAACCATCTCTACTATTTTGGCGGCGTCTTATAAGGCCGGAAAGTCTCTTCGCTGGCGAGAATACCATCAGGATTTCTCAAACTCATTGTCTCTGATCTCGTTGCCAAAATACGCATTCGAGACAAGGAACTATTGGCTCTCATACGAGCCAGGGGTGAGCCAGGCCGATGTGCAACCGATTTCTTCCTGCGTGCATCATCTGGTGAAACGGGAGAACAATGGTGAAGAGCAAACAGCCCAGTTCAAATCAGTGATCTCGCAGCCATGTTTATTGAATATGATCGAGGGCCATAAGCTGTCTGGCATCACTGTGTGCCCAGCAGGGGTGTTTAGCGAAATGGCTCTCACAGCTGCACGATATATCCTGACTGATGGAAATCCTAATGCGCCATTCCCGGCGTTTTCAGTATTCGATACACAAATTGATCATCCGATTGTGCCCGATGCCGATTCTAATCAGGTTGTTCAAGTGAATGTCAGTCAACGGAAGTCATCATTGAATGAGCTCGCAGTGTCGATAGCAGATCAAGCTAAACCGTCCATCGTTAACTCAAAGTGTATTATTCGTCTGAGAGACGAACAGGGTTTCAAGGCCGAGCGACAGGCTTTGACTTCACTGGTGCAACCTAAAATCTCCAAGCTGGTGAAGGCTGCGACTGCTGGCCTGGCGAATCGCTTCCAAGGGAAATTATTCTATCGGCTCTTTGGGAACCTCATGGGCTATACGGAACATTACGAAGGGGTCAAGGAGGCTATTGTCAGCGAAGACTTCACCGAAGCTCTCGCAACCATTCAACTTCCTAAACTCCACGGCTCCGATCAGTCAGTCACGTTGTCCCCCTACTGGATCGACGCACTTACACATCTGGCTGGGTTCCTGTTTAACGGGAACCCAATGAGCTCCGCGGATCAGGTTTACATCGGCACACACATGGAGCGCATGGAAATCGTCGCTAGCGAGTTGTCACCTGACGTTCGATACCAGAGCTATGCATACATCGAGCATCCTGAAGGATCGGATACGTACAGTGGACATGTGTACATTCTTAATGGTGACTCGATCGTTGGGTTTCTTGAAGGTGCCCGCTTTCGAAAAATGCCGCGACACACACTTCATCGAATCTTAGGCAAGGTCGATCCCCCGAGGTCCGCTAAACAGTCTCCTGGATCATCTCCTCCAGTGGCATCCCCGAACACATTAGCCAATGGTATACAGACCAATGGACATGTAGAGGCAGACACCCCCTCCAACGGAGCAAATAGTCATACGGCGACTCTTTATTCCTCTTTGATAGAGAGGCTGCTTGAGGAGACCGGAATGTTAGAGGACGAGTTGACACCGTCCACTTTCTTTGCTGAGATTGGAGTCGACTCGTTGATGAGTATTTCTATTCTGGCCGCGGTCAAGGCAGACACTGGTGTGGAGTTGGGTGCGTCATTCCTCATGGACCATCCCACCCTCGATGATGCCCAGAGGGAATTGCGCAAAGTCGAAAAGCCAGGCGCCGGCCCCATGGCACCGCAGACAAATGGCGATTCCAATGGCGGAGCAAATGGTGTCTCTCGCAAATGCAACGTTGTACTCATGCAAGGGCCTTCGAGCTCTTCACGCCACCCACTGTTTCTAATTGCCGACGGGGCTGGCTCTGCGGCGGCTTACATCCACCTGCCCAAACTGGGCCAGGATCTGCCCGTTTTGGCAGTCGAGTCACCGTGGGTACACGACCCGGAGAACTTTACATCTAACTTCAGCGACACCGCGGATATATATATCGCAGCGATTCGCGCAAAACAGCCTCGGGGACCGTACTTGCTAGGAGGTTGGTCCGCTGGCGGAGTGTTTGCATACGAGGTTGCACGACGCCTACTGAATGACGGCGAACAAGTCCTCGGACTGATCATCATCGACATTACGGGCCCTAAACATGAAGACATGAGCAAGGTTACGGCTCCAACCATGGAAATTATTGACCAGATTGGTATGCTGAGTGGAATTGAACGCAGCTACGACGACTCTTCGGCGCAGTCACGCCGGCTGAGGCAACACATGCTGAGCACTGTGACGTGTTTTAGCAGGATGAAGCCAACCTCGATGGCACCTGACCGGCGACCAGACGCGACGTTCATCATCTGGGCCACGAAGGATATTATGCCCAAAGACAAGGCAGACCACGCGGCCGAGTTGGGTCTTCATGCTTGGTTCTACCCATCACCTCATGAGTTTGGGCCCAATGGGTGGGATGCCCTTGTCGGAAACAAAACGGAGTTCTTCCAGATAGAAGGCGATCACTTCTCAATCATGGGTCATCCCGAGGTATATAGGACCCAGTCTACTACGACATATTTCTGTGCTAACGTTGCTTTTAGGTTGGAAAGCTCGGCGAAATCATACGGGAAGCTGTTGCTAAGTGTAGTTAAGATAGATTATGCAAGCTGCCAGTCTGTAATAGAATGTGATCAAAGTTCTATTTTCCTGTCGCCTAGTGTCTGTCTGGAAACCGTATAGAAATCGAGAACATGAATACATGCTATGGCGTGGTCCGGGCAGTTCCTGCAAAAATCCTGGAATGTCATCACAAACCGAAGACCGACAAAGCTAACAGGTAAGCGCTGGGGTAATCCTCTAGTGAACGGTGGTGCTCATCGGGGCAAGTGGAAACGAGGTAGACTATCTGCCTCATTAGTCAGTCAGAAATTGGTAGAAATTTCTCCACGAAATGTCTACCAATGCCGACCAGAAGTTATGTGAATGGTGCTTTGGATCGTTTGAGAGGAGACAGAAGACCTTGTATATAATCACGGACCTAAGACAATCTGCCCCCAGGTCAGTCCAGCATATTCGCAAGATAAAACACAATGTCCGCTGGAACGAAACAAATTTCTGGCCAGAATGCGACGCAGCATGACCTGGTCCGCGGTATTTGGCAACTCTGCCGTCTACACACTTTCGAGGGACTATCAACCGCCAGCATTGGATGTAGGTCAACAGAACAAGGAAAATGATTGTAGCTGATCCATAATCCAGGGCTTGCATTGTTCTTCTACGCAATTGACCAGAAGCTGGCCTTGTCATCTTTGACAACGCCCTTTTCTGGGATCTTCGCCAGTTATTTGGTCACCCACGGTGTGTTTTGTATGTGGAAGTAAGTTCATAGCCTTCCGAATTCCAGGCGGTTGAATCCCGAATCTGGGCGCTGACTGCGGATCCTCACTGCCCAAAGTGATATCTGTGACCGAAATGTGGACGGTAAAGTGGCACGGACAAAGAATCGCCCTCTTCCTTCGGGCATGGTGACTTACCCAGAGGCCATGATGGCCTTTGTCGTTGGATGTCTGGTTTCTGTGGGGATCACCTATGCGACTCTGGGCGAAAGAGTCACCGCAGCAATGGGCCCAATTTGGGGCCTGTCTTTCATCTATCCCTTAGCGAAACGCGCAATCTGGGCCCCCCAGATTGTCCTGGGCTTGACTATGGCTTCGTGTGTTCTTCCTCCGTGGGTAGCGTTGGGGAATACAGAGCCGAACGATTTAATTCTACCCGGAAGCCTTTTTGGCGCGATTTTCTCCTGGCTAGTTTATCTGGATTTAATCTACGCCTCCCAGGTTAGTTTTCCCTGACTGAGCGCCGAATGCAGGCACTCCATCCAGCACTTCTAGCTAACTGTTTGATTCAGGATCGTCCCGATGACACCAAAGCCGGGGTGAAATCGTTGGCGGTATTCCTCGGCGATAATTTGAAGATTGGCTTAGTTGTCTTGGGCCTTCTTCAGATTGTCTTTTTTGCGACGGCGGCTTTTCAGGCGCAGGCATCAATATTCCTGTGGATCTTTGGTATTGCAGTTTGGACAATTTCAATCCCGTGGAGCATTTTATCATTGAATCCCCGCGACCGTCACTCTGGAGGCAAGGTTTTCCTGGCAAATGCGGTCCTCGTTATCTACCTGGTTGGAATTGCGGGCGTGGAGGTATGGACTGCTGCATAGTGATGCACGTCAGTTTTCCTCCAGAAGAGAGACTTGGTGGGAGTTTGGGTCATTATATGGGGACAAGGGCGCTGGGTGTCGTTATCGCAATGAACACGAATATATGGACAGCAAGGACACTTCATGCTACATGAAAGCTCTTTTATATTTCGACAGCAATCTAGGCTTAATACTGGGCTACCCTGCTTACGAAGAGGAATTAACAGATCGATTACTAGTGCCTTTTAACTTGATGTTCATCGCATGTCGAAACTTGCCGTTGCCCCATGGTGTGCTTCGCGTGATTTTGTCGAAGACTTGCAGAGCTTCGTGTTTGATCTTGGTGTCCATCAAGCTGTCCGCTGCGATAGAAAGACAGTGCATGGCTAGATTGGTGACCTCCCTGTTGTATGAATATAGTTAGTGCATGTTGACTGTCTGATTAGGAGTCATGCAGATAGTAGGGACGTACTTATCCTCCGCCTGCGAAGCAATCCCACATATGTCAAGCGCATGGCGCGTCTGCATGCGTTGGAAAAAGCCTTTCGATGAGTGCTCTCTTGGATGGATCTTTGCAAGAAGGAGACACGAGGTATGATAAAGGAGCCGTGCCACCGTTGCACAAGTTTGAACGAGTAAGATGTGCGGGAAAGACGTGCTTTGGCCGACCTCCTGCGAAGGAATATAACAAAGCGGCATCATGGACCGTGGCACGTTATGGGCCCAGTCATCACACCAGTTCTTATACTTTTCCCACTCTTCACAAAATGGCTCCCGGGGGCTGCTCTGGACGCCATGCAATAAACCACCGCGAAGAACGGCAATCTTGGCGCAAATATAGATTATTCGATGCGTCCATTTCTCTTCGTCCCCTGAGAAAGCTCCAGCAGATGGAGGGATAGAGTCGATATTCACTCCCAGAATTTCCGGGTCCCATGGAAAAGGCATGTTTTGATAAAGACAGCTCATCAAGCACATTGTTGCGTTAGACCAAAAGCAAGCACCGGCGAGTCCTGCGTTACTACAGTCGAAGTTTGCTTTCCACAGCAGGGCCGAGGTTTTGGCAATACGTGCTTGCTCTATGTTATCGCCCATGATGTTGTATGCATCTAACAGAATTGCCGTTACAATGCAGACGGTGTGGTCAAGCTTGTTGGTATTTAATTGAGGTAGGAGAGCTTTCAATGCCTTCTCGTAATAGAGCGACGCGTCTGGAAACAGTAGGTATTTACCGCCACATGCCATGATGGCATCGAAAAGCATGGGCTCGTCCAGAGCGTAAAATGGCAGGATGGTGGTGAACTGATCAATATAAGAATTGTAGCCTTACGGTGCGAACATGGGCGCACTCACAGGTTTACCCGCGTCCAGACAGTCCATCCAAGGACCGATCTTTTCCACAAAGACTTCCATCAGGAGCCCTTCATCCATGGCGGTGATGAGTCGCGACGAGGGCACTAGGGACTTGGACAGGTGTTCCGCAGAGTCTGAGCGCCCAGGCACGTTAGGGCTAACGGGCGCCGACAAACCTGGCTTGCCATTCTCTGCGCCCACGCTGTACCCCGATGCAATGTTGCGCGACTCGTCCTGGAATACGATCTGCGTGCCCGGAGCCAGGCTTGTGAGCGGCTGCGAGGCGCTTGTCTGGATGTCGATAAAGTTTAGACGGATTCCCCTCTCGCACGTTCGATCCGACTTGGAGCAGTTTCGACACCGGGGTACGGCCTCGTCGCACTTGATGTGTCTATCGCGGCAAGTCAGACACCCCGTGCGGGCCCGATGTTGCTTCGGCGGGGCCATGGGAGTGGTCATTGCCATGTTGGTGCGGAAGTGCAGGTGAATGTCATTTTTCACATTATTGGCATTGTTATAAAGCCAAGTTCCAGAGATTCCATGCAGAAGTGTGGGCCTCCACCACGGGAGGTAATCCACTCCATGGAGGACCTACCGTATGTACCCCGTAGGTTGTGGAATCTAGCCCTGGCCATGAGGTGGCACTAGGAATGGGCAGTGCAGCAGCCTGCATTGCCGGTTAATTTCGCCAGGGGGCACAGATGTCAGGTCGTCCCGCAAAGTTCGGAAATTTAAAGCGAACCTGGTCTTCGTGTCGACTTGCCCATTTTCTCGGTCTCCGCGTCCCCTTGATTTGTATTTCCCCCCTGTTAAAGTTGAGTTTCTGACTTGTCGTTTTTCTATTACAGATTATTCTACCTATTGATTAATTTGATTAATCATTAAGCGACTACTCTATTTGGCCGTAGTAAATAGATTGCACACTATTGACAACGGGGATAGAGGGGAGACGAGAGGTGAAGAAATCCAAGTCTATCCTCCTCTACCTCCTAAGCAAGCGAGAATAGAGCCGAATAAAAAGGAAGACCGCACGAGGGGCAGAAAGACCAGACCAAAATACGAAGAAGGATCATAAGAGTGCAAAAATAAATGTAAAGATTGAGTGTCGTAAGAATAAATAGTGGTCATTAAAGCACATGGCCCAGGCCGAAGCATTGAGCTGCTTCGTTTCCAACACTCAATGTTGGCATATTTCACCGATTAAATAAATCCTAACAATTGTAGCATATATCGCATCTAATATTAAACACCTGCTAAGAATAAAAAACAAAAACAAAATACAGTCATGATCCATTAGGCAATCAAAACATCCCCGGACTTGGACGTCCGGAAGAGAGAAAATTCGAAGTTGTCAGCCACAACTTCACCACATTCACGCAGCTTCCAACACTTTTCTAGATGATTAAAGATCCCATAGAGGCTCTCCGACCGAGGCACTTGCGAGGATGAGAGCAAACGCCGGAAAAAGTCATACTGGTCGGCCTCAGTCACACACCCGACCACAAATAAGGGCCAGCACAACACCTCCAGTAGGTCGGGATCGTCGACGTACGCGAAAGACTCGACGGAACGTCCCACTTTCTGCTTGATCTCCGGCATCTGCGGGTACGCTCCAGACACGATCACCTCCAGCAAGACCGAGACTGAGCAGGCAAATGCGTGAGTGACGACGCAGATGTGATATTTCGAGTACCGCGATTGCATGTTATCGTCGTGCCGCACCTCTAGATCCTGCTTGAACTGGTTCATGAGAATCAAGTTACCGGTAATCCTTCGTTCTAGGTCGGTTTTGATTGCGTTTGCCCGAGCCGTTAACTCCCAGAGACTAAGAAGCCCGGCGGCTCTCGTGGTCTTCTTCCAATCTCGAAGTAAATACACGTCCAGCAGGAGATCAAATACCCAGTTCTGGCACCCACAGACGGTCTCGAGCTTGATAATGGGGTGTCCTGATTTGAGCAAGTTTCTATACTTGTCGCACAAGCCTGGAGTGGCATCCTTGGTGATGGCCGAAAGAATGTCGAAGCGGACAATGGAGCCGATGAAGAAGTCTCGCGAAGACTCTTCGGGCGTTTTGGGCACCCCTTGCTTCGTCTCGACCTGCTGGCTAATCCAGGGGGCAATAATCGATGTGCCCGCCTGCAGATGCATATTCCAATCAATTTTGCCCGCATGAAGAAACTGCTGGATATGTAAGCACTTAGTCTTCAGGAACGGGTTTCACGCATCCACGTACGCTCGAACAAATGAACGAAACAATACAAGCCAGCATAGACACGTCGTCCGTTGATTTGTGCTCTTTCAAGTTACGCTGAAGTTCCTCTGTCGCCAGGTCGTATCGTTCCATATGTTCTTCGAACTTTTGGTGGGCGGGGGACTCGTCTACGCTCTTCTGCAGGCCTCTATAGGAGCTGCTTAGAGCCAAAGACGCTAAATATAGCGGCCGGGATTTAGACATGAGCCAGATGAAGTATCCCTGGTTAAATTCACTCAGGGACAACGAGCAGAATCGAAATTGCCAGGGGAAGACTTGGTTCAGGTAGTGCGCCAACAAAATGGCGTCGTCCACGTTAGTGATCGATAGCATCGAAGTGGCACCAGATGGTGAGAGGCCTAGATTGGACTGAAACTTGGGTACTGAATAGCTATCCCGGAGGCCCTCAGGGGCGCATAGTATCGGTGGATTAATCGGTAGACGTATGTCGTCCGTGGCGATGGTATCGATTTCGGGCAGGTCGAAGTTCGAATCCGATAGGAAGGTCATCTCGTCAAGAGAAGCCTGAAACCCGGCAGTAGTATGATCAATCATGGGCAGGTGGTCCATGACAGTGGCCATGTCATCTCTCGCATAGGACGTGGGCTCAAACGGATCGGCGAAGGGCTGCTGCTGCACGACGGGCTCGGACACCGGAATGCACGCCTGGGTGCTGGTGCTGTTGGCGACAGGCTTGTTTTGCAGGAACTTCGCTGACGATTCGTGCTGCTCTCGGAACTGGTTCACTCTGCGGTTTCTGGTGGCCTGGGCCACTTTCTGCTTCATTTTGGCCGCTTGTGCCTTTTGCCGGGCACCTCGGTCCATCCAGGCTGGTTTCTCACCAAAACCATGGCACTCAAGGCCCACGCACATGCATTCCGTGCAGATCGGTCGCTTCTCGTCGCACTTCTTCTTCCTCAAACGACATGTCCAGCATCCGTCGTGACTGCGCGTCTCAGTGGCCATCGTCAATGTTGTCCCTCCTTCCTCGCTCGTTCAGAGAAATGCGTATATGTATCGGGGTGGGTAGGAATGAACAAACTTGGGCGGCCTGAAACCGATAGATGCCCTCTGGAGAATGAGTGATAGCCTTCATAGATAGCAATAAATGTAGTCAGCCCCAAATCTACAGCTTCACTATACCGGGTTCATACTAAATAATGCTCCTTTGGCCTACCACCCCCCACCCACCGGCACCAGAATTTCCTAGCTCGTACCAATCACTAGGGCTTACGGGAGGGGTCAGTGGCGCTGATATGAAGATTATAGCGTTAGGAAGCGATCTTATTTGCAGAACTGCTGTCCGGTATCCAATCACTCGTCGCTCGTTGGAACTGAGTCCAGTCGGGTACCACCTCGGCGCCACTTGGCAATGTTTTTAGTGCAGCCTCCGGGTACTTTTTCAACCACCCCCCGGTCAGTGAGAATGATTCAGGGTCCGACTGGGGTATGACACTGCGAGTAACAGCAACAGAATCCTGCTGGATGGTCTGTAGGTAAAATAGTTAAAACTTGCGCCAAGCGGGTGTCCGAGCGTGTGCTGACCATAAGCCCTAATAGAATCGTGCAGTTGAGAGTCCCAACTAGGTGGGGTAGGTTGAACGACCCACAGATTCAGGATCACTATCTGATTAATACATTATCTAGGACATGAAGTAAGGGGGGAGGTGGGGACAGAGCCCCCGTGCTGAATCGGGATGGAATGGGACCCTGGCAGCTGTAGGATTACGACCGACTCAGCACTTTGTGCGCCGTACGGCCATACAATTGGCGGAAGCTATAATATACATCTAGTACACGCATTAACTCGTCATAGCCCCGCGCTCGCAAGCAAATAGGAAACAAGAACGCAAAAGATGCAAATGAGGAATGATATCGGGTTAACGCATCACCGAGCGGGCTATTACTAGTTGCTACGCTTCTGGATGGGAAGAGATACCTAATTGGACGACGAAGACTTTGACTTCCAATACACCAAATTGTCGCTATATTGACTCGGCCTAGAAAGGTAGCCAGCCGGGGCAACGGACGAATAGATCGTCCGATTAGCGGGGGTTGAAGGGATAATTGGAGGTGGGGGAGAACGACAGGAAAGCCTCCGAAGATTGAAGTCTACTGGAGATGGCGAGCACGCACGCAAGTCGGCACACACCAGAAGTGCCACTAACGCGATAGGAAAGATCAACTACTCCTCCGGAGGTACTGTAGATAGGGAACTGAAAATAGGCGTGATCTTTAGGCTGGCAATAATGGCGCCGGCGAAGGATAAGGGTCACCGATAACGTATTGCAATTTTATCATTAGCCTCAAATCGAGTCCCGACAATAGGCAAAGAAATCCCATGACGCTTCTGCAGGGTGAAGGGTGTATATCCTGTTGAATCTTTTGTGAGAATGACGCGCGTTCCGCCCTTCGAATCCGACAGCATGACCGGAAGGAGAGCGACGATGAGTCGACAGCGAAGGCAACATCCTTAGGGACCTTGAAGCGGTGATATGATCCAGAGTTAGGTATGCATGTGGCAAGAGGAATCAACCTAGTTCGACGGCGAGCCAAGCAGCAAACAGCATCTCGCAGAGAGGTGCATACGAGGCGCATTGGCTAGACCGTTCCTCGACGACAATAAACTGGAAGATAGCTCGCCGAGGTCAGCTTATCGGGGCCACCAAGAACCCGGCTGCTTCCCGGTAGGCTATTCCCCAACTCCCCCAGAGGGGTATGCCTGGTTCTTCCAAGCGACAACATCATCGAAGGATTGGGGCTCCAAGGAATGACGTGACTATGGTGTACACACTACGGACGGGAACTACAGTACGATGGCCTCATGGAACGCTGGAGAAGAGGGACAGCGATCAGCAGTAGTAGGGCATTTGAGGAAATCTAGTAAAACGTGGCGTCGGCAGCGAAGGGGAGAATGGGCCTCCAAGGGGTCGATCCGCTATGGGACCGCAATAGAATGAATGCAGCCCGCAAAGCCAAGATCCCAGCTGGAGGATACACTTGGAGAATACATTGTCTGTATAGACCTGGCGAGGGTCGACCAGGTCAAGTGGAGGGCAATCGCTGTTCCATTGAAATTCCAGTGGGTATCACGAAATATGCTGCCGATGGCACTGCAGATGACACTGCAGCTGCGGCAGCCCTTCCAATATTTGTCAAACCTGCAGCAATTTGCTTTTCCGAGGGACCCCTGGAAAGCTACCTGAAGCCAGCCAAACCAGAACTCTTGATTCTCTTGAATTTTGTTTCTGTTCGTCCACGTCACCTATCGTTGTTATTTCATTTGGGTCGACTTCCTCAAGGTGGGACGTGGACTCGGATTCTGCAGGTCGATTACGTCGGATTGAGTAACCGAAGACCTGTCGTACCGACCTAACGATGGTGATAGATGAAGAGAATCGGTACATAACCAGTTACACATATAGGATAGGTACCATGGTAAGCCATCTGCTCGGCAGATCCTTTGCAGGATCAACCCAAGAATCCTCCGTCCGGATAATTTGTTCCGCAGGGGCGCCCCCAGTAACAGGTTGAAAGACCAAGCCTTTTTGCTCATCCGCAGCACGAGCCAAGAGCCGAAAGGGATTGACGAAGATAAGGATCAGAGTCGATTCTCCTCGAGCTGCACAGGCGTATCGGATCGGATTCCGCCAGCCAGCAGCGAGCAGAAGGCGCCGACCGACCGGCATTCAGATTGGCGCTGCGGTGAGATTCACACGCACTAAAATATCACCTTTGTCATGACTGCATTACGAATCGTTCCGGTCGCTGGTGAGCTGCTCTGATTGAGTCCCTTTCCACTGCCCCAAGGAAACACCCGGTTTCACTCTCCTTGCGGCAGATATTCTCATCTCATCCTCGCCTATACCGGAGGCAATCAGGGCCTCCTGCAGCAGGCGATCGGCCGGTAAGCCCGTCCCAACAGATGACCAAGCAATTACAAACCCCGCAGGACGACGAGGCATTTACTGCTTCGAGGCAATTCTGGAGCGCATTTTTTTCCTTAGGAGAACGGAGTAGGAATTTCTTGCGAATGCGCCTGGGGGGAGTGAGACAGTCGGAATCACGACACTCAGCAACCTTTTGTTGAAGATCGCGTTCTCCACCTTTCTGGATGGAATACGAGCCGCGCCCAGTCCCCTAGCACTAACGGCTCCGGATCCTGTACTCAGTACTCCATCACGTTGGGAGCTGGCGATAGCGAATAGAGTAACAACGAGACGAGTCTGCAATGTCGCATGGAGACGATCGTCCCTTCCGCCAGATGACAGCGGGAATCTCTTGGTCCCTCGGCCTCGTCGCGTGTAGCGCTGGAATTAACGACTTGCGTGGTGGCAATACGACACAGCGGCTGTGATCAGATTGGAAGGTGTACCCTAACGAGGTAGTTCGACACCGGTCCAACCACGCGCTCTGGTGTAGATACCCCATGGGAGCGTAGGAACTTCAAATATGCACGGAGTCCTGCAATCCCCGGTCAGGGTCACCGGATGCTCTACGACAAACATCCCGATCTCAATTGTTGGTTGGTCAGGATGACTGCTCCGTTCAAGGTTTTGATCATCGGCGGCGGCATCGCGGGACTGGCGCTGGCCATCATGCTCGAAGCATACGGTTTCGACTACGAGCTGCTCGAAAAGCATTCAGACGTCGCGCCCAAGTTAGGGGCTGGCGTAGGGTTGACCCCCAATGGGGCGCGCATCCTCGACCAAATCGGCGTTTGGGATTCGATGACGCAGCATGGATCGCCGGTCAACGCAGGAGCGGCGCTGTCCCCGGACGGTGGCACGGTGATCTTCAATCCTAACATGGGCGAGTGGCTGGAGAAATTGTGCGTCTGAATCCCTGTAGTCCGGCCAGATGCTAATCTTTTGCCCCGCAGGTTTGGATACAAGATCCATTTTCTGTCGCGCCATGACTGTCTGAGGATTCTGTTCAATAAAATTCAACGGAAATCTAATATCCACCTGTTGAAAGAAGTGGTCCGTGTTGAACTCGTGGACGGCAAAGCGCATGTTCAGACGACGGATGGCGCCGTCTTCACCGGCGACCTCGTTGTGGGAGCGGACGGCGTTCGGAGCAACGTCCGGCGAGAGTTATGGCGTATCGCAGATGCACAGAAGCCCGGCTATATCCCCAAGCATGACCGATCAAGTGAGTCTGTCCCTGGACGTGCACATGCATGAATGCGTCTCTGATGTTTGCTTGCCCAGGTATCATATCGATCTACACGGCCGTCGTAGGGATCGCTCACAATTCCGGCCTGCCGCAGGGCGGCTCGCTCCGTGCCTACAACGAGCAACGATCCTACTTCTTCCAAGAGGGACGCGAGGGCTCAGGAGAGCTCTACTGGTGGCTCTGTGCCAAGAATCCGAAGACGGAAACTGGCATCATTCCTAAGCTTGGATCCGAGGTAAAGCAATCTTTGGTGGAGAAGTATGCGACAGATCAGATCGGCCCCGACCTGACTCTGGGGGATCTGTACAGGCGGTCTATCTACTCGGCAGCCATCCCGTTACAGGAGTTTGTTCTTGAAAAATGCCACTTCAAGAACATTCTGTTGATCGGAGACTCATTTCGCAAGCTTCACCCAGTCGCCGGCCAGGGCGCAAACTCGGCAATCGAGGAGAGCGCGTTCATTGCCGACCTTCTGTGGGAGCTACGAAGGCAGGGTGCTTTACAGGATCCAGCGCGTGTCGAAAAGGCTCTGGCGGAGTTTGAACGCGAAAGATTCGTCCGACTGACAGCCCTGCGCGAGGAAGCGAATCTCGTCCAACGGATGGAGTCGTTCGATAATCCCGTTCTTAAGTTCATGGCCCTGCATGTCATCCCCCGACTCAACTTCGTGGTGGCTTTCCTGCCGCAGCTGGGATCTTCTTTTACCCCTGGTCGCAGTCTCAAAGGTCTACCTGCTCCTAAGGCAGGATATTGTCCCTTCCTGCCAGATATCCAAGCCCGACCTCGGCCTCGTCCACTTTTCGCCACCCTCGCATGGATCTCTCTCCTGGCCTTCGTGGCCTCTCTGTCCTGGTGGATGTCCAGACTGTTTCCGTCTAACCTCCTCGATGGAGGGATGAATCAGAGTATCGGAGGAGCTCCCGGTGTCATACAAATTTACACCTCTCTGATCGCCGTCTCAATTAGCGGGCTGTGGGTCATCGAATCCTACAAAGCCCCATTTCTGATCTCACCTCTCACCAGGTATGTGGTACTAACACCCCGACTATTATCATTGATTTGCAATCTGACCATTCGTCCCAAGTGCCGTGCCGTGGATTCTGGCCTCGAACCACTGGGGCTGGGAGATAATCCTCCCCATCTACATCGCCCTGCACATCGGGTTAAGTCGGACGGTCGCCTACTACCACATGCCCCAGACGATGACTGATCTTGCCGCTGCAAAGGCCTTAGTGCTCTCACTGATTCTTGTATACTCAATCCCAATGGCCCTGTCGGTGACAAGCACCCATAACAACGTCCTAGACTCGTGGAAGATAGCACATCTCTGCCTTCCCCTTGTCACCTTCCTTACCAGTAAGCTTCTGCGGGCAATTTCCTCAATTCCCAATGGCATAGAGGCTGTTTTTAGCACCGGGGATCTTCCTCATCAGAGAACATTTTTCGTTACCATTAGGTTTATCGCCAGCGCCGCTCATCTCGCTCTCGCACTCAAATTTGGAGCTAGAATTTTTGCACAAGGAACAGGGCTGCTCTCGCTCCCTATAGTTCACGTCCTGCTTCCACTGACCGCGGCCACAACTTCGTGGTGCCTGTACTACACATGGGATCTCGCCAGGATAAAGGCTCTGGATACGCCGGTTTCCCACACCTTGGGGTATATTCTAGTGAGCACCGTGTTGTGTGGCCCGGCAGCGACTCTGGCTAGTACCTACTCATGGGGTTCGATCCAGTTGGCTAAGGCAACCTCATTTTCAAAACGCGATGACTCGACAGCCAAAAGAATCAGGAAGAGGTCGCTCACCAATATTACAAGATTAAATGAGTGAGCTTCTATGATTTGGTGTTGTTCCCCAACTGATCAGATGCGAAGTTGGCGAGGACCCCCTTAGGCCCAAGACTTGGTCTATCAGTTCTGGATATATCATTGTAAATTGGAAAAACATCTTGTTATTTATCGCTATCAAGAATATTTCATTAGAATATGGTGAGGCGTGTCATAAACTCCAAAATAGACTTATATGAGTTTCCTTCTACCTGCGTCCGGATCTTCCTATGTCACTGTTGTGAAATATATCAGACGGGAGACCGATAAATCCAAGCCGAAAGAAAAGGGAAAAGGAAAGAACAGTTCAAAGGCAAAAAGGAAAAAAGCGTAACAGAAGAACAGCAAATGACAATAAGGTCCGGTCGTTAGGATATGATTGCCATTGAAACCTAGTGTTCTATGTTTTTATTCAGGAAATGAGCGTATGTCATCCGGGGTGGCCCTCGTTTCTGAACGTTATTATGTGTGGATGATACGATACTTTTTTCTTCTGGTTGCACTGACTTTACAGGACGTTTTTAACAAGGAACCTGTTTCAATTTGGTCATTGTACTGTGAAAAATGAGTTGCGATCATAGCCAATTTTCATCGCCGTGGTGGGACAAGGCCAGGCCGCTCTGCTCGGCTGTCAATTTATTGATCACCTCGAGCTGCTGCTGGACGGACTCCTCCGTTGTGAGCAGTCTCGTTATATTCGGATTTAACTTTTGGAACGCCTGCAGGGCCAATTGAAGGTATTCCTCCGTTGGGGCCATGTCGCGGGCTGACGTGACGGGGTAAAAATCAGCCCACCGGACCAAATCATTGCTTTGCACGGCAAGGGAGGGGGACTTACTTCCGTCCGTATCGACCCAGCCGGGGCTTAGAGCCAGGGTTTTGATTCCTTCGCCCGCCAGCTCGGCGGCGTACTTTGCGATCATGAGGTTCATCCCCGCTTTACTGATGCTGTACCCCAGGGTCACAGTCACACTGCAGGCACGGGTGAATTTTGCATCCCCGGATGGGGACGTGATATAGACAATCTTCTTCTCTTGCCCATTACGAATCAACGGCAGAAAGCTGTTGATGGTGTAGATGGCACCGAGGAGGTTGACATGGACCTGGGAAAGAGTGAGCTTCACGGCTGAAGAGGCGCAGAAGTTGAGAGGACGGAAACAGACACACGCATCGAGTTCTTTCTTCAATTCATCTGGCTTATCGGTGCTGATTGGAAGATGATCAGTAAGGTGAACAGGCTGCTCCCAGCTCCCTCGGTTCTTTGCTCACAATGCCGTTGCCGGATAGAAGCGGAACTCAAGTCCTGTCGAGCAGGCGTTATGGATGAGAACATCTAATTTGTTTCCAGTCCGCGCTGCGACCTCCTGGGCGGCGCGGGAGAGACTGCTGGCGTCGGACACATCCGCCTGAATGATATGGAGGTTATTTCTGCTGGAGGCCAGCTCGGACAGCTCGGGGTTTGGGGCACTGCGAATGATGCCAAAAACCTCATTCGCCGAGTTGGCCGACTACCAGAGATGCTCTCGTCAGCGTGGCATTCTGTAGCCGGTGTCAGACTTGATCAAACTTACCAGTTGATTGACGAACTCCAGCTAGTCTCCCCTATTTTAGCTGCCAAGCGTGAATCCTGACTAAACGAGGAATGGAACGTACCCCGATCCCGCGAGACGCTCCAGCAATCACCCACGATGGCATTGCTAAGAAAAAGAGGTAAGTACTGTAGTGTAGTAATCTGATAATGGGCCTAACGATTTTAGGTGAGTTCCTCGGATGAAAACCGGTCTGACTATATACCAGGAGCAACCGGAACCCTTGCCAGCTGCCAGCGAAGGCGCCGTTTGCCCCCAGAGGCGTAGCAGCCTGTTCTCACCGTAAGGGCAAGGCGACCCGAGGAGCGGATGTTAGTGTCCGATCCACGTCCATCGCGTGATAAAGACTAGGTTAAGACAAAGGCATCAGGCAATTGATGTCGTACAGACTACCTGGTCGTGGGAATTTCTTGTCTGTTAAACTTTGCATTTTGTTTGTTGTCTGCGAGTATTCCCTGTGGCTGGTAGATGGTCACCGTTACCCCTTCAGCATGGCAGACGATTCCGGAAAGACCTTGCTCAAGGTGACTTTTCTGTTTGCCCTGCAGATTTTGCTGCCGGCAGTTCTGGTCGTCCTGACTCCGAGATGCTCTGTATTGCGTTTTGCGGGAATTCCTTTGATGTCGTTCTTCGCATACCACATCTATTTCCTTTCTCCCCAACTGTCGAATAGTGTCTTCCACAACAGCTTCCTGGCGTGCGAGGGCATCATCGCGGTCACGCACTGTATTAATCTCCTGCTGCTTCATTCGGGTGTCACTTGGGATGATCTGGTACGTCATGGAGCCGGGTCGCGCTCGGCGGGATTCATCGCCAAAGTACTCGGGGCTGCCCGGCTCGTGGTCAGTCTTCGAGGAGTCAACACCGGCTGGGAGGTAAAGAATCTCCCCTCGCACCCTTCCTTTCTGACCCGCGAGCGGAAATCTGTCAGTACCAGCTCGTTCCTTCTTCGACAAGTGGGTATCCTGGCCTGGCAGTACCTCTTCCTGGATCTGCTGCTCGCAGTGACGCTGCAGGAACCCCCAGAGAACACCGATAAATTTTACAGCCCAGGAATGGAGTTTGCATACCTGGATGCGACCGCTGAGCAGTGGTTCATCCGAGCCTTTACTCCATTCGTATCCTGGTACGCTGTCAGTCGTTTACTCCTAGATTCGACCTGGCGTGCCTTGTCCGTCATCTTCGTGGGGGCGGGTCTCGATACGCCGGAAGATTGGCGGCCCTTGTTTGGAAGTATGTGGCAGTCATACACCTTGCGTCATTTTTGGGGGTAAGCGTCATGATCCCGACGGATGCTGATGAGGGAATCGGACTGACGCATCCGCAGAAAATTCTGGCATCAAATACTTCGATGGCCATTTACCTCGTTGACTTCCTTTGTCACACGCGACATCCTGCAGTTGCCTCACCCATCACTTGTGGAGCGGTACACCAATATCTCCTTGGTGTTCTTGATGTCGGGCATCCTGCATGGTGTGTCTGCCAATATCATGGGTCTCAGTGCGATGGGGTCTGGTGCTCTCTCCTTTTTCCCTTCATTTGCGTTGGGGATCATCATTGAAGACACTATCCAGGCGGCCTGGACTCGAATAACAAGCCCAAGACCGCAGGCAACGACCCCGATTTGGCAAAAGCTGGTCGGGTTTATTTGGGTCCAGTTCTGGATGTCAGTGACGGCCCCTTGGTACATGTACCCTTCGCGCCGCATTCTAGCCAACCAAGCGGCATGGGCGATGCCATATAATGTTACGGCAAAGCTCGGCATTCCTTCGGTCTTGGGTTTGCTGGGGATTTATGGCGTGTTTGTGAAATTCGTATTTGAGACCTCGCTATGATCGACCACCGGATCCGAGTGAACGAATTTGAAAGTTTCATGGTTGGGTTTTGGGGGTGGGCATGAATGGCGACTCAGCCTTGAGGTGAGCTGAAAAGATTGCAGCTCGTTATGGGCAAGGGAATTGAAATGAATGCGCATGGGATGTGATTTGAAAACGCCCTCTTAATGTAACCTTAATGCTATCCCGTCGCACTGGCACCGACATTTGGTGCAAACTACGGATTTTACTTAGTAGGTTCTCCTGGAATGCGAAAGGACCCACAATTATTAGTGCTTCCAACTGGTCTAGTTTCTGGATCGACGGACGCGACGCGGTCGCGGCCGTGTCTTCGTCCATTCCCTTGTTTCACTCTCTCCCTGGTCTGGATCGGGTCACATCATAGAGCAACGCTCGTATCGTGGAAATGCACCTCCCTGGCGAGCGAGTCACTCGCTCCAGTGAGCCTTTCTCCCAATTTGTTTGTTCGATGTGCCATGGAATGAAGCAGGCCAGATATATTTTTAGTGCCCGGAAGTTTGGTTTCAATCTAGGCACTAATCCAAAGAAGATTCAATATTTCTCATTCTGACTGCGGCTGAACCGGAAATCTTTATCTATTGTATCAGTGCTGACTCCTGCACATAGGTACCGAGGATTGGAGTCAATTGAAGCTAAAGTGCCGAGTCTCGCATAAACAAACTTTCTAATTGATTTCTACTCTGGGCTCCATTAGAGCCGGATTCAAGATCCAACAGTCTTTCGCAGCCGTGGATCGAGCGGAAAGACCTGTTCATCTGCAAGCACATCCTTGTACACATTGTCCCAGCGAGCGCGAAGGGGCCCGGGTGTCTGCCATGCGTGTTCGGGGTCACGCAGCCACAACCTCATCAGGTGTCGCCTAGGATTCAACAGTGAGCGTAAATACCAAGTACTACCATTATAAGGTCCACATACTCGTTTCCTGGCTCGTCCGTGAATCCATTACGAGCGTGAAAGATGCTCAAATTATTAACGTATTGGATGTCGCCCTTTTGAAAGTCCAAGGATGCTCGATTCTCCTCTGCCAGGAAATGCAAGGCATCCAGCGCCTCTGCCTGCGCCTCGGTGATGGGTGGAATATCGGAGGACCGAGGCTGCGAGAGAAAGCCCGTGAAATAACGTCGTGCATATTGAATCAAGATCCGCTCGGGAGCGGACGACGTCGCAGGTTGGTGATAGAGTAGTGGCCGATTAGTATAGGGCTTCTGGCCATTGCCAAAACTAATTTCTTCGTCAGCTCATCCATCAGTTGCATATTAAAATTTTGCTTCTGGTTGTTCTCACTCACCCATCGACAGGCCAATCTTGAGATAGCGTATGGATCAAGTCCGGTCTGGTTCGTGCCAGAATGTTATACACCTGCCAGCTGCTCGAAATATAGCTCTCCCCTCCTTCGATGGCAGGATTCAAGCAAAGAAGTGAGATGATATCTCCGGCATCCGTGTGAAATACCTGCTTATCGGCCGTGTTCGATGGTGCGCCTATATTGCCACTGTCGACCGTTTTGGACAGATCTTTAATGTGCGACAGAACAAGAGAGGTTCCGTTTGAGAAGCGCGTGTCTTCCTGCCGCCCACGGATATTGCCAATATGCGATGACACGCCCGCATAGATGATAATGTTCTCCTCGCGGGTATATCTATCAACGCGCAATCCACGGAGCACAAAAAAGCCGCGACCAAGATGCAAGACTTTGGACAAAGCACGCAGGACAGGTCGCACGGTAGGCAGCGGAAACGTCTCGTTGTTGATGTACCCGAGAGGCTTTTTAAGAGCTAGCCAGAGGGTCAGTCAGGATTAGTTCGGCAGAACCGTTAGATTTACTCACCTTCGAAAGTTCGCAGGGCCGAATCAATCTCTTCCAACTGATCCTCACTTAGCGAATAGATCCAATCGTCGCTCTTTTCAATATCCTTTCCATGCCACACTAGGGGCGAGGATAGTTCCGCCGGGAACCCCTTGGGCAAGCTGGTGGTTAGCGATTCATGCTCTTGTCGGCGTTGGGTGCGTGCTTTATATTTGGTATAATCCGGATGATACTGGATATCGGGCTGCACACGTTGTGTCTCGACCATGGTGCCGGGTGCTCGCACGACTCTGCTATTCGTGACCGGATCTTCCTCTATCCCTTCTTAAAATTTTTTTTTTCGGAGAGTACAAATCACTGCCGTGAACGATGGATGGTTGCACGGCGAATTAAATAACTCGGAAATTCAGCCACCGAGCAACCAAACCCAAGGTTCCACCGTCAGAACGCGGGCGATTACGGAGACAGAGAATGCTATTCCGAGTTGAACTCTCTCGGTGAACCTCCGCATGCAATCTGGATCCCGTCAGTGCGACCTTGATGGTAAGCTGCCAGTTTTGCAGCAATTGCCTAACAGGGATACGATACAAGTCGATGGTTGATGCTTCGTTCCACGAACTTCAAAGCAGGATAGCAGCCCCTCAATATGAAAGAGTATTGCAGACATATGCCGCTGTACCGTCATCTATCTTGCGACCGAGACCATGTTGTCGTATGGAGTACATACGACAAGCGGGGGAACAGGATTTGCTAGCGGTTAGCATCACTGTGGGTCTATAAGGTGTCATCGGAAGCCAAACGGTGTCGGACCCTCGGTGCCCTTATCGTTCCACCCCCTGTATCTTCTGGGTACTGCGTACATGCTCTTGCACCTCTTGGCATTTATGGAGATGGCAATTTCGATGTGTCATTAGGGATGCAGGGATACGAAATATCTCGTCCTCAGTGCATGTCGTGATATCAGGTATTCGTCACGCAAGCCAAAAACATCAAGTATTGGGCTATAAAGCACCATGGGGGTCTATCCGACATGATCTGATAAAAAAGCATCAGAAAGCCATGGCACCCGGCAATATGCAGATATGTGAGTATTATCCTTGCCGTCTTGTACGCCAATAACTGATTGTATAGCAACATCGGAGGAGGTTGGAACGGCAGACACGGATTTCAAGCCTCAAGGTTCCCTTCGGGTCGAGGAATCCCACGTGTTGCAAGACCGAAATATCGGGGTCTTCGGGGCCATTTCGTTAGTAGTGAACAAGATTGTCGGGGCTGGGTACGTGGATCCGTTGCATTCAAAGAAGCTGAACTGACCCGATCCAATGTCAGGATATTTTCAACGCCCGCTACAATCTTCAAACTGAGCGGCAGTGTGGGGATGGCCTTGATTATCTGGGTCATTGCCGGTCTCATATCAACATGCGGGGCCCTGGTGATGTTAGAATTGGGTACTCGGATGCCACGATCCGGTGGAATGAAGGTGTATCTGGAGGCTGCATTTGCACCAAAGCTCCTAGTCACCTGTATATATTTGTTCTACTGCGTCTTCTTGCAGGTCTCCGCAAGTAACGCCATCACCACTTCTAGCTACCTGCTTCAAGCCGCTGGCGTGGACGCCACCACCTGGCGATTGCGAGGACTAGCCATCGCGGCCTCGGCATTCGCGGTGGGCATTCACACAGTGTGGCCTCGAGGCGGCAAGGCTCTGCAGGACCTACTGAGCCTGGTGAAACTGGTTATCTTGCTTTTTATTGTTTGTACCGGGTTCGCCGCTCTGGCTGGCCACGTGCCCAACACACACAATTTCGATCTGTCGACTTCGTTTCGCGGAACATCAAATGATGGTTATAGTATCGGAACAGCATTGCTAAATGCCATATTCGCATTCCACGGTTATGATAATGTTAACACAGTTCTTTCGGAAGTTCGCAACCCCCACAAAACCCTTCGCATCGCCCTCCCCGCGGCCATGGGCATAATAACGGTGCTGTACATTCTTGCCAACATTGCATACGTGAGGCTGTATCCTATCCCGTTTTCGTGGATCTTATCTGATACGTTTCGCCTTAGTTTGCCGCAGTACCAAGGGAAGAGTTTCTTCACAGTGAGGTCACAATCGCCGCCAATTTGTTTTCAAATGTATTTGGTCAGTCTGCGGCGGTCAAAGCACTTCCAGCTTTGGTGGCCATATCTGCCTTGGGGCACCTTCTAGGAATTGCCTTCACCGTTCGTGAGTAGCTCCGAGTCTTTGATACCTACCCAATTTACGATCCGTTTCGATTCTAACGTAGCTTGCCAGCCCGTGTCATCCAAGAGCTGGGCAAGGATGGCATTGCCCCCTTTCCAACACTCGTTATGCAAAACCGACCATTTCGAACACCGATCATGGCACTCATGATCCATCTCCTGGTTACGATTCTATTCACATGCGCGCCTCCAGCCGGTGATGCTTTCAACTTCGTTGTGAAACTATCATCGTATCCCACGACTGTGCTATTAACTGCCACGACCATTGGCCTAATCAAGCTACGGTGCTCGAGAGATCCTGAGGAGGACCGGCCTGTGTTCAAGGCCCCATGGGCAATTATTGTGTTCTACTTGGCCGGTAGCATGTTCCTGATTGTAATGCCCTTCATACCTCCTCATGGAGATAGTGAGACTTCAGGCCTTCCATATTGGCTCTCACCGGTTGTGGCACTTGGCATCCTTAGTTTGGGCTTTATTTATTACCTCGTGCCTTTCGTCCTGCTGCCGTCGCTGTTTGGATACCGATTACGCCCAACCGCAGTCGAGCTGAGCGATGGTTCGCATGTCACACGGTATAGACGGAAGACAGACTCAAAAGGATGGCTGGCCTACTTGCCTTTTCTTTCGACTTGAAATCTTACTCAACCCATGTGTCAGCTACACTTTCTACCCCGTACTTATTTATAGATAATACTTCTTACGTGGAACCAAATGTCCTCTGGGACCTAGAAATCATTGTTGAATTCAAGTAGGTTCAACGAAGCGGAATAATAATGGGTGAGTACTTACCGAATGTAACTGTGCTTCATAAAGGAGCTAAATGAATCATGTTAGTAACCTATTCAGCTGAGACAGCTCTGGCCTTGCAGACACCCACTTTAAACTGGACAGTTTTCCTACGCACCTGCCATCACAGGCTATTGAAAGTTGTATTTGAAAATAGGGCAAGTGAACGGCATGCTGTTTCATTAGTGTCGGTTGACTTGGTCATTGCCCTAAGCAGATATCCTATCGATTCAACGGAATGTAGGTATATGCTCGGTGGGTAAAAGTGAAGTGTCATTTCTAAACTGCAATCTGCCTAGCCATTTATAGTTCCACTTGTTTACACCTATGCATTCCTGATCCATTGGTATGTCATTTGGAATGGTAGGCCAAATCTAGGCCAAGCAAGGTGCTGTGCGGTATGTGGATTAGGTCAGGATACTCCACCTCTCTGGTCTGGTTGACAATATTATTCCAACAATTAGGTATTATGAGGTTAAACTATTTATTTCATTTGATTACAAGTCGTATTGATATCCTACTTCTGCGTTGCATAGGACGTCCGAACACTTTCTTGTGTCTTTTGCTACAGATCTGCAAGAACCGGAAGCTTGTAAGTGCGGCCACATGCAGCCCTGGGCGCTTGAACCCCACACAATATTATATAGAACAGAGCTTCGCCATACATGCCTACATTTCTAATTAGAAGCTGAATGGGCTGGAATAGATTGGACCCGAACTGAAAGTGGCCCAACCCCCAGAGTATATCAGGAAGATGATTTTGTGCGGGCTACCACGTTTACCAGATTCGGATGAAGGGACTCTTATCATTCCATTAGGATGGCCCTTATCCAAAGTACCACTGGAATTCTTCACTTGGATTTATTTTTTTGATTTCAATCTGTTTCGCAAGTGTTTCAGCGTTTAGATTCTGAATCTTTAACTCTTCCTCCAGTTTCTGCAGCTCAGTATTCTGGGATTGGTCGCGAAAATTAGCAGTAGCAACTCTTTGAAGACTGACTTGGGAGGTACTAGGGAAGTAAGTATTAAGCAATTAATAAATGATTTTCAGGTACTTAATAGGAATCGTACCTTGATCTTGCTCGGGAGTTTCTTCGCTGGCTTTGACTACCTCTTCGACTGCCTCTTTGACTTGAAGTTCTTTGTAATGGCCTGCCACTGCTAGAAGATAGAAAGAATATTTGGTCTTCATCTTGAATATTTAATTCAGAAGATTTAGATTCTTTTTCTTGCTGAGCTAGCTCTATAGAATACCTTAGAATAAGTACTTTTAAAGTATTTGGTAAGTGCTTTACAAGTATTCCAGACAAAGACATACCAGATCGAGCCATATGATTAAGATGACTAGCTTTAAGAGTTCGAGTTGCATACTGATGTCGAATACCATAAGAGCTATATGCTCGATTTTGCTGGATGTCTTGTAGATCTAACTTCCATGACCTATATGTATTTAGTAAGTAATTAGCAAGTATCTTTGAAGTACTTCATAAGTACTTGGTACTTACTCTAAAATTGCTTGCAATGGTATTAATTGCTTTCCACAACAATTGGACTTGTTATGTATTTGCTCAACTGCATTTGTACTCTTCTGAACTAAATCAAAAATATAATATGGAATAAGAGAGCAATTCTTGTTAAAGCCTGCTGCAATAACTGCACTCTTTTTATGTCGAGCCCAGTTCTGAACTGCCGGATGCTCATATTCTAAAAATAATTGATCAGCAAGTACTTGAGGGGTACTTAAGAACCAGTTAGAAAGTACTTATGAATCAAACAATTATACTATTTTAAGTAGTCTTCCTCAGATGTGCATTCTAGAAGTGCTGCCATTTGTGCCCCAATATGCTGATTCAAAGAGTTTTTGTAAATAGTTTTACGAATTCCTCGAAGAAAATGCACCCGACATAGAATAAGAATATTTTTTAGGAGCCAGAGTCGTGAATGATGTTCTGGGTCAATCTCTATTAGAAACTGAGATAGTCCTATGTTGGACGATTAATTACTGCTTCGCAAGTACTTGAGAAATAGTTAGGAAATACCTTCAATTTGTTTGTTATCAATATCCATCACTAGAGCATGCAGGCCGGTGCCATGTATAGCACGAAAGGTAAGCTTTTTACCTGTTAACTTATGCGCGATATTATAAACCCTTATGAATATAATATAATAGCCTTCCGTGGTATCCTCAGTTGTAAAGACACGGCAAAGCGTAATAGCTATTCTCAAGTAATTAGTAAGTACTTAGCGAGCAGTAAAAGTAGTTCTGCATACTTTTCTTCTGCTTATTCATGTATGCAGCAAATACCAACTCCTTTTGCTCTTTAGATTGAATACGCTTATATGATATATCAATCTCAACTGAAGGTTAAGTATGGAGGAGTTCAGCCTGGTCTTTCAGAACACAGATAATAAAAATCTGATTATTATTCTGATAGATCTCCTGCACATACTCCTAAGTAACATAATTAGATATCAAGCAGTTATAAATTGGCTACAAATTACTTACCTGGAGATCCATATAGTAGGTCTGTGGAACGGTTACCGACTGAGCTACTAAAAAGACCAGAATACCAAGTCAACGACTTGGTACGCGCATCGCTCTATATAGTGGTTCTTGGTCAGTTCGTCACAATACCCCGCCGTTCAAATGGCTGAGTCCCATCAGCCATCCCCTCTGGACCCCTTGGGCTAAACGGGTTTCGTGGGCGTATTGGATCATATAGAGCTGGCCCCCAAGGGGCTCCCTTGTCAGCCGCATGTCCGATTTTGCAACATAAGGCTGTCCTGCCTAGACCTGATCTGACCGTATCAGGAATCGAACGCGCGACCGGTTGACTTCTAGTCGTACTTGAGAGTGTTCTAATTATACACCTTTTACTATAGCAAATTACCAAATAGATTACCAGCCACTAAACATATTGCAAGCCAAAAGATAAATTTGTGTAAACGGAAGCTGGTACACCTTCTTGCATCGATCGTTCGTGAATTCGATTTAGTTGTCTCTAAGCTTTTTGATGCTGTATAAAGTGCAGCAATCTAATTCGATTTCTTATATTTTTAGGTAATTACTACTATGTTGGGGGTAGTATAATTTCATAAAAATATTGGCGTCAGAGGGTGAAAAAGAAATTGAAGCCGACATCTAATCTGCGGGGGATGGCATTTCACGAATATCTAAGGTAAATGGGCCGGCCCATGCTTACCCTCCTTGGCACCCTCCACCCGCCGAGGGTGAGCAACTTTGGACTCTCCACCTTCCGAGGTTCACCCGTGGGTCGATTTTGACCCTCCACCCGCGGGTGAGGGCGAGGCCTAGTCCTGGTTGTAAATTCGATTGGAATCTTGATTCAAAGTTGAGTTAGATTACTTGAAATGGCTCAGTATGAATTTATGATGCACGATTGCGGCGGGTCATACCGAGGACCAATGGATGCTCTTTGAGCCATCGTGAGTCATGTTGATTAACTTGCGCTAATCCCAAAGCGGGTCCGCTTTCGGGGTGTGCATCAACTATATAGTCCCCTTAATATATAAATTGCTGTCTTCATTTGTTCATGTTTCGAATTCAACCCTATCGTCATCATAACTGCCACAGCAGATGGCTGAGAAAAATTCCATTGGGGACCTACGAGCCTCAGAGGCAAACAGCGTGTCGACTGGCGACAGCGGCTCTCGAGCAGACGATGCGAACAACTACGAGTTGACTGGAATTCCACTAGTCCTGGTCATCACTGGACTTGGTCTTTCGATTTTTCTCATGTCACTGGACTCGTCCATCATTGCCACGGCCATTCCCAGAATCACCTCACAATTCAACAGCACCAGTGATATTGGCTGGTATGGAAGTGCATACTCCTTTGCGATGTGCGCCTTGCAGCCTATCGCAGGCAAACTGTTCGCGAGCTTTGCAATGAAAGTGAGATTATCCAAAATTTCCAGTTGGAGGTAAAAATTCCATTAACACATTTAGGGCATGTTCCTCGGATGTCTTGCCGTCTTTGAGCTTGGCTCATTGCTGTGCGCCCTTGCTGTTAATAGTCCTATGCTCATCGTCGGACGTGCTATCGCCGGAATTGGGGCAGCAGGATGCTTTACCGGGGCATTCTGTATTGTCGCAGTTTCCATCCCGCTGGTCAAGCGACCATTCTACATTGGAATTCTTCAGTCCACATTTGGCATCGCCACCATCATCGGACCCGTATTAGGTGGTGCATTCACTGAGCATGCGACGTGGCGGTGGTGTTTTTGGATCAATCTCCCTATCGGCGCTGTTACCATCTTTACACTGGTCTTCTTCTTCAGACCGCCTCCGCGCGACACGAAGAACTCTCCGTCGGTCCTTCGCAGACTGGAAAGCCTGGACTTGCTGGGCGCTTTTCTTTTCGCTCCGGCCATCATCATGATCTTCTTGGCTCTTCAATGGGGAGGGACCGAACACTCTTGGAAGAGTGCTACCATAATTGGTCTCTTCATTGGAGGTGCGGGTCTCGGTCTTATCTTTGCTCTCTGGCAAATACGAAGGGGTGACAATGCCATGATTCCACCGCGTCTGATCACTGAGCGTACGATGCTCTTCTCTTGTTTTAGCGAGTTTTTCGCCATGGGTGCCGTTTACATTTCAATCTACTACCTTCCAGAATGGTTCCAGGTAATCAAAAATGCCTCGCCCACGAAATCTGGAGTCATGTACCTCCCTTTAGCGCTGTCTGATGTCCTCTCTGCAACACTGACAGGCGCCTCACTTAAGTATCTCGGATACCCAAATCCCTACATGCTCCTTGGAACGGGCCTGATGAGCATAGCAACGGGACTCTTCTCTACCTTCTCCGAAAGCACTCCCCACCAGCAGTGGATCCCATTCCAAGTCCTCCAAGGTCTTGGTGTCGGAATGACCCTCTCAATGCCCTATGTTGCGACACAAACAGTCCTCAAGCCCGAGGATATTCCTGTCGGTACCTCATTACTGCAATGCTTTCAATTCTTCGGGGCTTCCGTGAACCTCGCCATCGCGGAGGCTATCTTTGAGAACAAACTTGTCTCGCGACTGGACAGTTGGGGATTTGACGGCCACGAGATAGAGAACATTCTCAGTGCAGGGTCCGCTGAAGTGAGGAACGTGGTTTCTGCGGCGCACCTTCGAGGCGTGCTAGATGCATACAACTACGCGATCACCAGGACGTTCTACGTCGCAACCAGTGTTGCTGCCGTTGCATTCCTCCTTTCACTCGGGATCCGCTGGAGGAGTGTCAAGCCGAAACCCCAGGCTGTTTCTGATGTGGAGGCTAGGTCGTGAAGTTAGTAGGATTCAGTGTCCCTGATTGGTTCAAGCAAACATTGAGGACGAATAATTCTGGAATGTGAGCCCTAAGGGTTTCGCACACCATCACGTCTTGCAGCGCGAATTACTATTTAGAAGTTTTGGAATAATGATGCATAGCTAGCCATTTTTTAACACAAAATATGAAGCGTCCTTCATTACACGCTCTGGGCCTCTTTATCTGACTAGGACTAGATACATGTGGTGTTTTACCTCGAGCCAGTTACCTGGAAGGCGAGTTAGTTCGTGTCATAAGAGATATTACCGAGGCAATGCAGATGTTGCGGGTTTATCGGACGCAAGGGGGGGGAAGCCAAAAAATGGAGATAGACAGGATGGCCCTGTTGACAACATAGATAGCACGGTGCTAGAAACACCGCCGGTTTCGATACGTGTCGACGCGTCTTGGCCTCACATTGCGGTTGGTGCTGTGGGCGGGCGTGTTGCACATATGTATAAGAGCTATTTGGTGATGAGTGTCATGTTGTATAGCGCGACGTAGGGGTCGGCACGAATAGCGAATATATTCGCATTCGTAATGCAAAATGTTGAGTATCACGGTGGCTGAACATTATGCCAGGGATTGGGGACGGCTATATATAATAAAAATAATAATAATATTGCTACTCCGTTGGGCCCATGGCCATCCGGTCTATCTCGCTATCTAGGGGGGAAAACCGTGTAGGGGGGAGGCCCTATCGGGTAAAAAACTCCTCCGCCTCGGTGGTACATCCCTCGCTCTTCGTACATGCCCCTGGTACCTGTTTGCTAGCACCAGCCTCGTTAACCCTCGATCAACCTATTCGCTAGCTGGAATTGGTCAATCATTCCTTCACTGATTTGTTTTTTCAATTCGACTCGGTAAGCATTCTCGACTGCTCGGTATGCCTTTTGTTTGTAGGTTCGGTAGTTGCCTCTTTCGTAGGCTCGGTGGGCGCTATCTCTAGTAGAACCTCTGATACTAGCTCTCGAATTGCTATCAGACTCGGATTCTTCGTCTGCCGTACGAGCTTTGCCTCTCTGGCGGCCTTTATATCTTCCTCGGCCCTTATCTCTGCCAGGTCTTCTGAGGTCTTGTCGCGAATCTCTGCCATATCGATCCCTTCGGCTGTTCCTTTCCTCTAGCTCCCTCTCCTTCTTAGGGGCTCTGCAGTCTCTCGCAAAATGGTCTATCTTGCCACAATTGGAACATTCCCGACTGTGCTTTATCCGATTTGCAGATTCCTCAGCTTCTTCAGTGATACTGATTCTCAGCTGTGACTCCTTCTGCTGCAATCTTGATAGGATCAATCCTCGTTCAAGCGTGATATTGCTGAATAGGGAGTCTCTCATTGTCCCATACTCCTCGGGCAGTCCGTTCAGAAACGTAATGAGTATAATCAACTCTTCGAACTTATATTTCTGGTCTCTAACCTTTAGGGTTACATTAGGATCAAAGCTAATCTTCTTCAGGAACTGACTGATCTTACGGTTTTACAAGTTTGCGGACTGCCGTAGATCATACAATGACTTTTTCAGCTCCAAAACCATACCTTAGCCGGCCTCGGGGTCAAAGTCTTGCAGACTCTGCGGGATCTCTATGCAATTTGGATCTGATCTGACGAAAGCATTAGATGCGTCAAGCAGGTAAGCAATATAGCTTTCCTTAGCTGCCATTGCTGCTAAAATCCGGAGACTGTCTTACTGGAACACCGGTGCAAAGGTCTCCTCGAAGTCATCTTATACATACATATATATATATATTTCTAAGGTATTCCATAGCGAGCTCAATATGCTGCTTTGTTTGCAAGAGAAAGCCCTAATTCTGTAGGTTGAGGTCCACGAAGCTCCGCAGGTCTTTAACGTTGCAGGCTTTCCAGTTCCTTCGTCGTTGTGCTTCGGAGGTCTTAGTGCTGATATCAAAAAGGATTCGTATTGGATAGTGGTCCAAACCTGCGTGAATTCGCTCGTTGACCTCGCAGGTAACGAGCCTAGGGGTCAGGTCCTGCGAGCCGAGGACCAGATCGATAGTGGTCTTGCTTCCGTTGCGCTCCCACGTGGTAGTACCTGGCTCCAGCCACAGGTCCAGGCACCTCGTATCCATCAGTTCCAGTAACTGGTCGGACGAGGAGTCTCTTTTAGAACGTTCTCCTCCCCACGCCGGGTGGTAGAGATTGAAGTCGCCTAGCAGGAGCAAACGTAGATTAGTAGAGCTGTTAGTAGAGCCGGTAAGGGTAATTAGAGAGGTAACAAGATCGAGAGTAGTGCTATCTACCTGGTCAGGTCGAATTGAAGATGGGCACTTGTTGGCCGTCAGCATCAGTGAGCTCGAGCTCCTGGACGTCCTTCGAATGCGCTTTATGTTTCCAGGTGCTGGAATCGATTTGGCGTATTATATCGGGCCCGCTCGTCCCCTATCGCGGTCGAATCCGGGTATAGGAGCTGGTGGGAGCCATTGGCAGGATAGTAAGTGGTATCTTGGTAAGGGTTCTCCCAAGGTTCTTGAACAAAGATGAGGTCAGCCTCTAGGACCGCAGGATCCCGGAGGAACTGTGCTATCACCTTGTCTTTAGATCGATTCGTATTATATTGGAGGACGTGAAGGGGCTTGATCATGATCGGTCGGCCCTAGTGCGTTTCTGTGATACTGAGCGGGTTCTCGTGATAGGAACCGTAGTAGGTACAGTAGTTGGTACCGGGGTCTTCGGGAGAGAAACAGTAGGGGTCTCACTGGCCGAGGTCGATCGTTCTCGGTATGCTACTCTACCGCGGGATCGTTTCGTGGGTAGTATATCGCCGGTTGGTAAGTCAACTGGTATGATAGCTAGGTGTAAGACTTCCTGCCGTATTGCGGACTGGGCACGGTAACGTTTTGCAAGCCACTCCTTCGTCCACGGCGACATCTAGACATCGGGGTCACTGGGGTAGGTATCTCCGACTCGCTCTGCTGACTGGCTTTCTCCCGGTTAGGCTGCGGAGGCGTACCCACCCGGTCTGCAGCAAAATCTATCCTATCTTCGGAGAGTTCACTAGCTGTAGGAATCATTTCCTGCGAGCCAGCGTGCGGCAGCGTAGACCCCGGTTGAAATCAGATCGTTGAGCGGTTACGTACGTTTACAGGCCTACTAACGGACCTTGTGCGCCTCTCTAAGAGGCTCGTGTACGGCTGACTGCATCCCTCGTTGTTAGACGAGCTAGAGGCCTCCGTACCGCTACATACGGAGAACCGAAAGTCCTGCAGATAGGGACCCGGTACCAGGCTTATCGGTATACTACTGCAGCTTGAACCCGGTCCATCTCTGCTACATACCTCGAATATCCCTTGTGCCAGGCAGCGTGTGCTTCTCTACACCCTGCACAGCATCGCTCCTGGCTGTTAGTGGACTTGTGAAAACGGTTCCAGGTCTCGTAGCCGCCCCTACAGAGCCCGCAACTTGTCTTGTTCGAACAGATAATTCCTGTGATCATATTGTTGCCAGTTAAAGTACCGTTGGATACGAGCAATCCAATTATATAATACTGTCTTATAAATAACGCTATCCTAAATGGTATCTCGTGCGATCGCCTCGTTAGCGTAGTGGGAGGCTAAAAATTCTACGATCAGAGCAAACAATTTCTGGTTCTTATAGTTAGATGGGTAAGTGAGCCACGCTGTACGCGTAATTCGGGGACTTTTACCCTGCGCAAAAAGAATAAGCACCTCTTAGAGATCTTTCTAGCACACAGCAAAGACATGCCACTTTGGATTCAAGATTGTTTCCGGAGTTTCCTGCTAGAAGAGAAGGTTATTCCTTCCCATTCTGACCAGGAAGGTGCGATGCATGAGAAGAAGGCCCTTGAGTCAATATACTGGTAAACGAAAGGTGGTCAAATATCGCTAGGAACGTGAGGGCACGAACGAGGACTTGTTGAGCTTTAGACCCCTGTTGAATTCTCTGCAGATTACCATAGAAGAAAAATTTTGTACTGTATTGTATCCTTAGTCGTGGAGGGCCATTCTGATAGCGCGAGGGAAAATCTTGACTCATGTTTCTGATGATGGTGAAAGGCCAATGGCATGGTTCTAAAGCTCTAAGATGTCACTTCAGTGAGGCATTTTAGCTGTGGAAAACCAAAGGTGTTGACAGTAGGCAACGAAATAGCCTTTTGAGGTGGAAAGCTCATGTCGAGGCGATTCTCTCTTTGTCCCGTAATGAATTGCTGTCGAGGAAAGTGGAGCAGTTACAGCTGCCTCCTATTGGTTTCCTTCGTCCTCCGCCTTTTCTTTGTGTCTTGTATGTAAAATAAGGGGTTCCGAGACAACACCTCAGGTCACTCTCGAGTATCCCATGGGTCCTCTAAGACACGCAGGAATTGGTCCCATCCACATATCAACTATGGACCAACTCTGCAGATGTGTATATAACATACCCTCTGCCTGCCACTCATTTTATCTACAATCAATCAATTCATCGCGTTTTAGTTGGTTCCACTTGATCCCCATTCGTCAGAGTGCATACTAGCAGATAGTCGAAGTGTAACCTGTTGAACTGGATGTTACCTCCTGAAGCCAGGGAGCTTTCCTGTACGGAGGAACGTTCCGGAGGAACGTTCCGGTTAGTTAGTATGGGATCAAGGGATCCTCCGCGGTAGGCATCCAGGAACATTCCTAGGTATCCTGCAGGCATTCCTGCCTGGGGCTTTGCCTCAGGCAGTATATATAGAGTCCCTAGATCCTCCCTCCTAGATAGCCTTTCCTCCCCATGGGAAAATTCTGTGACTACGAGTCATAAACAAACTTGTCTTTTACTAAGCTCCTTAGGAGACCGTCACAGTGGGTCCGCTTCGGGTCTTGTCATTGGGCCACTGGTGCTCCAGCCACTCCCACCCCACCAAGCCACTAAGAGTGGCTGGCCAGAAGAACAAATCCCCTTTGCACAACACAATTCCACCGCACCTTTGGCAAGGTAATTATTGATTGGCTATTACCGCAACAAACCTCAGACTGTGACCTTACCCCACTCTCTCGACCTTTCTCTTCACTCCGACCATCACTTGGCCAAGCGACTTACCTCAGCACAAACGTACAGAACAATAGACAGACAGAAAACAGACATCCACAATGCCTCGCGGCTGGTACCTCGCTCAAGGCCTGATCCCACTCGACTACAGCAGCAGCGACGACGACGAAGGCCCATGTGAGCTGCCAAACGGTCGTCTTGTCTGTGGACCTCACGGATTAGTGCAATGTGGTAGATGTTGCAGCGACTACACCTTTATGGACGATGTCCTTGGTGAACATCGCGAAGAACTCGAGGATGACGGGAGCGACGAGGAGGACCACGATTCGGCTCCCGTCGGCACGCCATCCACCATAGGTGTCCCTTCCCTAGGACCTGATATGATTCGGGGCACTGGTTCGGTGTTGCCCTCCAAGTTTGGGCCTTGCGTTAGCCCCCTGCAACCGATGGAGTTGTTTCGCGGCAGGGCTCGGTTTATGAATATAGTTAGGTAAGACGCTTTTTCTTCGTCGCGTGCTTTCTCGTGCTCATCTAAGCCACAATCCATGGTCTCAGGTGCACCTACCCGAACGACAACTCTATGCTCCTCATCATGACCGACGGGGCATGTCTCAACAACGGCCAAGCCAATCCCAAGGCGGGTTGGGCTTTTTTCCAGGGGCTGAATATTGAGGGCCAACCGCTCGTTGTCTCGGGCCGTCTGGAAAAGCAGGGTCCTTGGGGCGATGACGGCATCCAGAGCAGCAACCGGGCCGAGCTGCGGGCCGTCATCGCCGCCCTGCGGTTCCGACACTGGCCGGGCGAAGGCTTCAGGACAGTCGTCATCGCCACCGACTCGGAGTACGTCGTGGAGGGCTCGACACAGTGGGCGAAGACTTGGGTGCAGAACAATTGGAGGAGGAAAGGCAGGAAGGGAAATGACTACGTCAACGTCAAGAACAAGGACTTGTGGGAGATGCTCCTGGGGGAGTGCGAGAATGCCCACCGCCAAGGCCTGGCCATCCAATTCTGGAAGATCCCACGTGAATGGAACACTCTCGCCGATGAAGGTGCGAAGAAGGCTGCCACCGCGGAAGAAACGCCTGTTGAGTGGCTGGATTGCCACGGCCTCGCATTATAAGGGTGAAGGCGACATAGTGCTCTTTTTCATGTGAGTACCAGGCTAGCTGCCAGCCTACTGATGGCGGAAATATGCCCAAAGAGGAGGGATCTGGGCTTACCGCACATGGCCTTCACAGACGGGCCAGGCGCAACGGATCACAACACGTTCACATATTTTCAACCTTGTGTTATTTCTTATTTTTTTTCTTTGGGTTTCAAGCCCGTATGACTTCCGCTAAACGATAGAAGTCATTCACCAGATGATCCAACCGATAGATGGTGGCAGACGTTCGTTACGAGCAGCACCGCGACACGAAGAACCGTGTGCCCAAAGATCTTGATATAATGTCTCTATTTCAGTTGGTTGGCTTCAAGCCCTGGCACATGGGCCTCGTTTGTAACGACTTTATCAAGTGAGCAGCTTTTTAACAATAACGAGTTCTCGCCCTTCTCGCCCTTCTCGCCCTCTACTGCGCTTGACCTGACATCTGCCTCGCCTATGTCAGCCAGATATCGACACGGTAAGACTAACTCGGGAGGATTGATGTGAAGCACCCCCGACAATAGCTTCAAGCCTGCCAATCTTGACATATTTGTTTTTGTTTTCAAGCGGGTTATGACATCATCTGGCGTTTATGGTGATTTGGGCATAGTTATATTGCCGCTCTGCCATGTCTGTAGAGGTAGCGAAAAGAAGTGGTAAAAGTTTGGAAGCACTGCGCAGCGAGCTGCTCTACGCATGCATCTTAGAACTTTGCTGCGGGTTGCCACTGACCGCGGTAAAGATATTGATCGCGATAGTGTTATCTCTCTCGCCAGGCCTTTTTGCAAGGAAACCGCTTTTTTTTCTAATCTAATCTACTCTTTCCAAGCGAACAGAAGACGAGCGAACTGCACCATGGCCAGGCTTTGAAGAATAAAAGAAAGTTCCTAGCGATATCACATAATGCAGGTTGTAAAGTTGAGGTCGAGTGGTCGTGATGCGAGATTTGCCAGTTGCTGTACCGGTTTTGATATCTTGGATTTTGATGGATTTCTTCAACGGTGCACCCGTCTGGGTGATCCCGCAGCAGCTTCGAGTCCCCAGGTCGACCCCGATACCCATCTCAAAAGTAATCAAACGGGCCCACTCTTGGTAAGAGGACATTGCTTGGTGGTATACTAGAAATGAGAAGCGATTAAAATGATTGAGATGATTGAGATGCCAACCAAGGGGCGA